GCTGGAGTGGACTGGACACCCTCCTTTTGGGGAGGATCAGTATGGACAAGATTTGTGCATTTGATTTTAAACTAATTGTGACTCGTCCGAATTTTGGGTGATCAGCTGGTCACCTGAATAACATAACTCTGAGTCTGTCATGGCACCCACCAGATGCGTTCTTGCGCGGAGTGTTCTGGCATGGCTCGTCCACATGCTGGAGTTGTCACACTCCCTCCCATCTCCTCTGGCCGCCCTCTCTCTTTGGCCTTCTGGATTTATTTATTTAATTTTCAAAAGGGACAAGTAAGACTAAAAATATATTTAAATTACATTTTGTGGTTCTTTTCAGACAGGTCTAAGAAACTGCCTAGGAATTCCATAAACTGTGTAACTGTATAAATGTGGGATAGTCTTCATTACTGATGAAGACGGTTAGGATAAACGAAGGCTGTTCAATAATTGAGACCTGCAAATCCAAATGGAAATTCACTTATAGTATATATTTAAAAAAATACTTTTTAATCACTAATAATAATAACTATTCCTGTACAACATGAAAGCCCAATAGGAGCTTGTAGGATATTTATATAAATTTTAAAATTATCCGTTTAACTTAAATAGTGTATTGTAAGGAATGCAGTGTTCATCCATATGAAGGATGAGGAGAATATATGGCGAAATCTAATATAGTTTTTCTTAAAGGAACACTGTTGTCACCCAGACCACTTCATCTCAATAAAGACTGCAGTTGCTTAGAACAAAAATAGCAGAGTTAAAGGAAACCTATAGGGTCAGGAACACAAAAGTGTATTACTGACCCTATAGTGTAAAAAATATGCTAGCCCCCCTTGTCCTCCTTGCCTCCTTAGAAAACTTACCTTATTTCCACTGGCGCTGGCTCCACCCCCGATCCACCTCCTTTTCTCTGAAAAGGCAGTGTTTACATTAAAAAGCCTGCAGGGACAGGTTGTACTCACCAGAACAACTACATTAAGCTATAGTTCGTCTAGTGATTATAGTGACCCTTTAAGACCACCTCTAGTGGCTGTCAATATTACAGCCAGTATAGGTGTTTTTGCTGCACTGACAGAGTAGAAATTGGTTACTTGATGCTGAAGCATTGATTCACTGTTTTCCTGTAGGAGGTTTGAATAGATTCCCAATGCTCGTATGATGTGCCTCTGATTGGACCATCGCAGGGGAAGCCATGCCTCCTCCGTGATGTTGCGGGAGGCTAATGAAGGTAATTTAAAATTTAAAATTTTTTTATTTAATGCACCGGGGGTGGTGGTGGGGAGATATGGATTTTAAGTAAATCCATCTTTTAAGTAAAGATGAAGAAAAACGTTTCTGAAAGCACCGTGCTTATTTTTCATTTTGTAAAACCATTGTTAACAGAGGAAAATTGGCTACATTTGGCCTGTAGGGAGCAATTGCAAATAAACAGCACAAATCAGCAAACTACACTCCGTTTCTTAATTTCATATTAAAACGTACTAATACTGCTAGACTAGGATACAATCATGTTTAGTGCTGTGCTGAGAGGCAGCAGGTCACAACCCTCTCTGTACTAGTTTCCCCTGGGCAATTGTGCCCCCGTCCCCATTGTCTTGCTGGAACTCCGTTGATTATGAAAATTAAAGGCCATCTAAAGTGTAAGAAGCAGGTCATGTTCATTAACAACAAAATATTAGAGGGACACTCCACTGCTAAAATATATATATATATTTTTATATATAAAGAAAGTATATTATTTGATAATATTTCATTTATCTATTTTTGGTCCACTGTTCACTGATCTCGAGTCTCAGTCTGGTGTTCAAACAGTTTTTCTTACGATACATCGTGAGTTTATATCCACAACTGCATTTTGCTTTGTGGTAACAAATTGAAAGCCTGTCATTGTAATACGTGTATGGACATGCTTATAACAAAGCATGGACCCTCTCCTCATGTAGTTGGTCATTAACAGGCACTTTGATGCAATGTGTCTACCAACGCTTTTCTGTGGTCACTGAATCACATCGCATACCCTATCTCTCTGTCATGATGCAGAGTTTATGCTTGCAAGGATATCCAGACCTTATCCACCTGGTATCCGCATAAATACTCCTATCGTTTACAGGGGTTAATTACATAATAACCATTGAAGGTAATATGTTGGTTGTTCTTCCTATAGAGGAAAGATGGACTTGCCCTAAAAGCTTTTTCATGGCTAGGACAAGCTCTTATAGAGAGAGGTAATGTACTTCTGACTCCTGAAAAGGAATATTGGTGGTCACAATATGGGAAATACTGTAATTCATGTGTTTAGTAATCATAAGCATTTGCTTATTGCCACATTACTGATGTACTGTTTATTGAAATATTAATATCTAACGTACTTTTTGGATTACTATATATTGGAAGTTTGTCAACATCACATGGTTATGAATATGTTTTTGTATGTGTTGATGCATGTACCAGGTTTACTTGGATATATCCTGTGCGAAGTGCAATCTCTGATGCCACGTTTTCTAGTCCCACTTCCTTAGTATGCATTTGATAATCCCAGGACCATCCATTTGGATGGTGGTCCTGCAGTTACTGCAAAGGAAACCTAAAACTGGGCAACCACATTTGGGTTACTTTGGGATTTCAGTGCCCCAACCACCCCCAAAGAAGTGGGGTTGTGGTCTGGGAGAATGCTGAGGTTAATGATTATTAACCAAGTTACTGGTTGCTTGCCCCACACAGTGGTATCTATTTATTCCTATGGTACAGATGAGCATTCACAAAATACCTGATGATACAAATGGTGAGACACCATATGAAATGTTACATGTTTTTTCACTGACAATTATATTTCTGCACCAGGGAGAGCTTAGAACCATTGGTTCTATTAGAGAAATTTAGGGATTTTTTTTTTTCCAGCCCACCTTGCCTTGCACCACCACCTATTTCCTTCTGTTGGCCAGTTTGTCCTGGAGAGGGTGACTCCGAGAACTTTTACTACAGAGAACAATCAGAGCCAACAGAGAACAGTAAGTTTTGATATTTTACAACATGCTAAATACTAACAGGACGTTCACAGAACCACTGACTGACACAATGGATGCTGTTAAAGATGACAAGATAAAACAAACAGAGGACGACAGAAAAGGCACCAGAATCATAGCCACGTAACAGACTAAATCATGAGCTGACATCTGAACCTGCAAATGTGAAGGAGAAGGATGAACAGACAGACGTGATACATTCACAGTTAACATGGAATGTATGAAAATAAATCATCAACATCATTATAAGAAAGACTCTGGAGAAAACAGACTGAACCTGAATTATCTAATACAGTAAAAAAGAAAAATGAGAAATGCAAAGATGGAAGCAAAAGGATGCTAGAAAATTGGAGTCTACTTCTTACAATCTGCAGCATTATCATAACATTAACCCTAGCTGTCGTGTTAAAGCTGCATTGGGATTATGTTAACAAGCAAGAAATGTTGTATTTCTTATTTCTTAACCTGTGTACTTTGTCTTTAAGAGATATTGCAAACTGACAAGGTATTAGAAATGGAAAATATTGTTTTTCATAGATGTTTCTTTATGCAATAACCTCAGTGCATAATATGTATGCGCCATTTTGTCCCAGACGAATTACAATAACAATAATGCATAAACAAGCTTCAAGGCTATTCTACGACACTTGCAGTACACAATATACTGTGGTAACCCCAAGTTAATGGGACTTCCCCAAATCCTGGAATCTCCCACGACTGTACACTTACGACTTAGTATAAACAACAGATAACCCGTTCAGACTTTAAGATGCCATCTTGAACTAAGTCAGGAAAATTTCCATGACGTATACACCCTTTAGTTATGGCCTTGTATGTTTGCCAAATTAAGGGAGGACCTAAATTGAATAATGTAAAAGAAGTGTTACTTTTTCATATTTGAACTACAGTAACCTAGAATGGAGACACCTAAGGTATAAATAGGTGTACTTTTAAATGTTAAGACACAGAGGAGAGACTTGGAGACAGACGCTGCTCCATCTTAAAATGACAGAAAGGCTGACATGATGACATGTTCAGAAGGGTATGTTAACCTATTAATGATATTTGCAAGCATGTAATTTAATCTTATAAACTCTGCTATAATGGATTTTATATTTTTATATAATAAATATCCAAAAAGACAATCTTGCTTCCAAGACAATCCTTATTTTATATTGTATTCTCAATTATTTATATATGTTAAATAGAGGATCTCTTACACTATATAAAATTATGGCTTAGATATCTGTATGGTTAGCCCTACTAAGTTCTATGCTTTAAGACATTATAGTGGTAAATAAGGGAACCACCTGCGGTTACAATATATTTAAATTATTGTTTAGTAGATATACCCCCAATGAAAACATGCATACATTTAATTATGCATCATTAATTGGAGGTTTACCTAAAAACAGCTTGTAAAAGCTGTAGATCTCTTCTTGTCTGCAGCCTCTTCAAGACCTCTTCACTTCTAACCCCGCCCAGACTTTCTGTGGCTGTCCAATCACAAACTTTCCAATGCATCTCAATGAGAAGTCTTTGCAAGGCAGGTGTTCTGGGCAATTGCTGCCTCTTGGGTTTAGCTCCCCTGAGTTAACCAAACCAGGAAGTAACAGGACCTGTTGTCTGATTGACAGCCTGGGCAATGTAACAAGGTTTATTTATAAATGTGCCAATTACTATTGAAAACAGTACTTTTTGCAAAATGAAAAAGAGGACACCACACATAAATCATTTTAGCTTGTTATTTTTTTATTACCTACAACCCCTTACTTACTCCTTTCACTTTTAAATCCCTATACATTTTGGGAAATAGTAAATTGTATTTGGATTCATTGTCCATGTGTTAAAATTCACTTGCACTGCATTTTGTGATTTGGTTCACTCTACCAAAAAAAAAAAAATTCAATGAATACAACTTTTTTGCATTCCCCAGTCAGTGCAAATTAGGCCACCTTAGTTCAGCTAACAGAGAGATAAACAATTGTTCAATGTGATGACTGAGATCGTCCCCCCAAGTGGAACAGAAGGAGCTACTGGTCTCCTGCCAAGTTGGAATGTGGCTAAGCAGAGTGGTGAATATAACTGTCACCATGTGAATCATGTTTTTATTTTCTTGTGTGACTGTCATTTGTTACCTCTTTTCTCTAGCTTTCCTGCTACATTTGTTTCTCTGTCTGTCAAAAGCCATAGAGGCTGGCTGCTTTTTTTTGTAAGTTAATATTCAGCTGTATCAAGTATTAGATTTTGACAACAACCTTCCCAAACAAGTTATGGCATCTGATTGCTTGGCAACCGTGCCACATGTCTTCACTGGGTTTCTATGAGAAGGACTGAATTGGACCACAACCATCATTAGTACTGAGTGGCTGTAATAAAGAGACTGTCCTGTATATTTTACCATCTAGTGTTACTGTTTATCTTTCCCTACTAATCTCTATAGGAGACATAAACAGGACAGCAGCCACGAAATACCAGTAATTAAGTCACTTTTTGTAGCATTGGAAATGTGTAACTTTATATGGATTACAGCTTTGTTGGTAACTAATTGCAACAAGCATAGAGAGAACTCTTTTTAGTGATGCAAACTGGCTGAGGGCATCTAAATAACACCTTGGCCCATCCCACCATCCCTGCATCCTCAGAAGCTGCATTGAGTTCTAAGAAGCTTATAAGATTTTAGCAGGAAACATGCTGGTAGTATCTCCTGAACTCGCTTTTTGTAGCAATTTGAGGAATGAAGGTGTGATCTTCATCGCAAAGCTCCCTACAGCCCCTGCCATGACATAGATATCAGGAGAGGGCAGCACAGGTGCGCTTGGACCAGTCACTATAGGGGCATGTGCCTTGTCTCTACCACTAGCCCAGCCAGGCACAGATAATATTAGGAGAGGGCAGCACAGGTGGGTCAGTCACTATAGGGGGCACGTGCCTGGTCTCTGCCTCTAGCCCAGCCAGGCACAGATAATATTAGGAGAGGGCAGCACAGGTGGATCAGTCACTATAGGGGGCATGTGCCTGGTCTCTGCCACTAACCCAGCTGGTCACAGATAATATTAGGAGAGGGCAGCACAGGTGGGTCAGTCACTATAGGGGGGCATGTGCCTGGTCTCTGCCTCTAGCCCAGCCAGGCACAGATAATATTAGGAAAGGGCAGCACAGGTGGATCAGTCACTATAGGGGGCATGTGCCTGGTCTCTGCCTCTAGCCCAGCCAGGCACAGATAATATTAGGAGATAGCAGCACAGGTGGATCAGTCACTATAGGGGGCACGTGCCTGGTCTCTGCCTCTAGCCCAGCCAGGCACAGATATTAGGAAAGGGCAGCACAGGTGGATCAGTCACTATAGGGGGCATGTGCCTGGTCTCTGCCACTAACCCAGCCGGTCACAGATAATATTAGGAGAGGGCAGCACAGGTGGGTCAGTCACTATAGGGGGGGCATGTGCCAGGTCTATGCCACTAGCCCAGCTAGACAGATAATATTAAGAGAGGGCAGCACAGGTACGTCAGTCACTATAGGGGACATGTGCCTTGTCTATGCCACTAGCCCAGCTAGACACAGATAATATGAGGAGAGGGCAGCACAGGTGGGCTTGGGTCAGTCACTATAGGGGGCATGTGCCAGGTCTATGCCACTAGCCCAACCAGTCACAGCTCGCGTGTGACCAAGACTGTGACTGAGTCAGGGAGCCCAGCTCACGTGGGCCATGTGGATGTCAGACTTCCAGCCAGCTGCCACAATTGGTGGGGAGAGGAGGGATGTGTACTCCCTTTCCATGCTGGGGGTGGGTGGGAGAGGAGGATCGCTCAGCACAGGACTGAAGGAGCCTGATTTGCACGATGTGCTGCAAGTGATGTAAAAGTGCTCAGAGAGACAGAGAGGCCACTTCCCCCGGCTCCCAGGAGAGCACCATGCCACCCATCCCTCCTGTGATCCGCTGAGTGAGGAGAGCAGCTCACATCCAGGAGACATGGCTAAGATCCGGGTGGCTTATGAGTACTCGGAGGCTGAGGACAAAAGCATCAGGCTGGGTCTGTTCCTGATCATCTCGGCGGTGGTGTCTCTCTTCATCCTGGGCTTCTGCTGGCTGAACCCCGCTCTGCAGGACCTGCAGGGCAAGACGGCCAACTGCACGGTGCTGTCAGTGCAACAGATCGGGGAGACGTTCGAGTGCACTTTTACCTGCGGGAGTGACTGTAAGGGCACGTCACTGTACCCCTGCCTGCAGATCTATGTCAATAACTCGGAGTCCAACTCCAGGGCTCTGCTCCACCAGGACGAGCAACAGCTCATCAGCAACCCCAAGGTAACAGCAACTGTGTGGGGGAGGTCTTACTAGCCCACTAGCCCCCTGGGCTCAGTTCGAGGGCTGGCTTTGCCTGCCAAGTGACCATGACCCCGTTTTCTAATGTCTCGGGTTGCTTTAACCCTTTAGAATGCGGTGTGATGTTTTCTAGAGCTTTGGAACGCTGTGTGTGTATTCTAGAATGTCAGTGTGCATTTCGAACGTTACTTTCACTGAACTGGATTTACTTATTTCATTATTTATTTATAAAATATTTTACTAGGAGGGATACATTGAGATTTCCCTGTTTTTTTCCAAGTATCGCTCTATTCATGCAACCAATGCATGACGCCTACAATATTACCAAAGGGATCTGAGAGGCTGAGTAACATTACAGTGTTACAGTAAAACCCTTTCCTACCTTTAAATAGATGTTTTCTGTTATATGATATGTTGTATGGCACTAATAAAAAATCTTTTGTGGGCAATTATGATGCAGGATGAGGCATCCATAAAGTAAAACATAGCTGGAAGTCATGTTACTTTCTCCAAGTGCGGCTAGCCCAATTCTGGGATCATAAAAATATACCAAAGTCTCACTGGTACTTCCCAGTTCTTGGTAAAGTGAAGGGTTAATGGGGCACGGAAGCCATCCGGGATAATACGCACAGCACTGGGGTTAAGTAACGTTTGAATAATGCATTTGATTCTTTCTATGTGCATCCCTGATCTCCTGCTATTGAGCAATGAAGAATAGTCAAAATGCATTCGTTGGGTCACAATGAAACAACTGAATTTTATAAATCCATGGTATAATAATATCATTTTTCTCATATCATGCCATGTGCTTTTTGACTGGGTTTAAATGTATCCATTTATATATATATAAAAATATATATAGGATTTTGCAGCAATGAGAGTTTTTGATGGTTGCATTGAAAGGGTTAAGTCTGCATGTCTGCAAAATGCCACAGATCAGTCACTTACAAAATAAAAACCCTTGTTACAGTGCCATTTTGCTGATCAGCCCTGATGAAAGAGTTAATACAATTGTTACCATTATAAGATTAGCTCTGTTGCCTAGGGGATGAGATTTTCTGGATTTATGAGGCTTCTCTAGCAAGGGACTCTTTTTTTTAAAATGAAATTGCACTTTATCACAGAATGTAGTACTTTTGTACTGCAAAATAGGCCCGGTAGTATTTTTTGGCACAATGACAAGCAACAAATACGTAGGGATTTATTCTCTAAATGTGACATTGTGTGGAGCAAATCAAAAAAGTCAAACTGTAAAATAGTTGGTCCACTCGAAAGTTCACAAGTGCTATAGAATTGGTTTGACAAACTGGGTACCCTTTTGGGCTTCATTCACAAAGGTTTGTTTTTTTAATCACTTGATACTTGCCCTTTTATTTACACTAAACAATTGATTTTTCTATTCTGCAGCCAGGGGTCATGTTCGTTTAAAACTTTGCTGTAGAAACAGGTTTATGCACTGCTAAACCCTGAATTTGAGAGAAATAAATGTGATTGGTAAAATGTGGGCTAAAATAGCGAAACTGTCAACATAGCTGAGTTTGAGATTTTTTCATATCAGTGATTTTCTTCTCAGTTTTGCCATTCGAATTTAATTCACTAAAATTTGTAATTTGATGAATAACCCTGTAAGTTTAAAACATCTTGACTTATTGATAAACTCTTAAGGATGCAATGCCATTGCACAACCATTAATGATGGCGATGTTTATAGTGTTGCATTAATGATGGCGATGTTTAGAGTGGTGCATTTATGATGGCGATGTTTAGAGTGGTGCATTTATGATGGCGATGTTTAGAGTGGTGCATTAATGATGGCGATGTTTAGAGTGGTGCATTAATGATTGCGATGTTTAGAGTGGTGCATTAATGATTGCTATGTTTAGAGTGGTGCATTTATGATGGCGATGTTTAGTTTGGTGCATTAATGATGGCGATGTTTATAGTGTTGCATTAATGATTGCGATGTTTAGAGTGGTGCATTAATGATGGCGATGTTTAGAGTGGTGCATTAATGATTGCGATGTTTAGAGTGGTGCATTAATGATGGCGATGTTTAGAGTGGTGCTGCTAAGCAGGGAACTAAGGAATGGTTAGCGGTTGGTTACATCAATGCTATGTCTGGCATTAAGTTAGGGAGGCCATAGCATTAGTAGTTAGTAAGTTAGATGTTTTTAGGTTTAGGTGGGCTTAAAGTTAAAGGTTTACTCTATCCCTTTATAACATACATTTTATTTTAACTTACAATGTCATATTAGGAATTAGTAAGTAGGTCCTGCCCCTTTAACACCTATAACCCTGACAGTAAGCTTATCTGAACTCCAGCTCCAGGCAAAGCTATCGATGCTGCTCTCTGAACCGCCATCCGACATCATCTCTGCACTTGCGCCGTCCTATCAAATGCTTCTCATCAAGAAGTTTAGTGTGCATTTTGGAATAAAAACATTTAAACTATGGTGGGATGCAGGTGGGAATGCTCAGAATGAGGGAGGAAAGGGAGAGCTGGCTGGCGCTCTGCTTACAAGGTAGAAGGTCAATACATCTGTCGTCAGCATGCTGCCAGACTTAATTTTTGCACAGAATTGATATTAGGCACCCTGGAACAGAGATCCCGGCTGCCCAAGTCACACATGCCGGGAGTCCTGCTTATCCCGGCACAAGAGTAATTATTCCTTTGGATGTGCAGTGTTTCATGCAGAAATGCTGCACATTCAGACTCCTAGCACCATGACCACTTAAAATTACTGAAGTGGTCATAGTTTTCGGCATGACCCTTTAAGGATGGTTTAAGGGTCACCTACCTTTAAGATTCCACGGACCAGCACACCCGAGATTTTCAGCCAGTCCATTAATATAAATTATACTAGAGTGTATCTGCAGTCTGTTTAATGTCTGTTAATGCAATGACGGCCAAACTTTTAATATTGACATTTACATAAGTCGCCAGGGGAATATTTATCTTTAGAATGTCACACACTTCTTACTAATAATTAAAGAAGCATGCCAGTGTCACTACAGCTCAGCTAGAGGAAAGAATACAGCGTTATAAAGCAAAGTTTGCTGTGACACAGTTACCTGCGCTTTTTACTTAAAATACAGAGAGCATGACACAGAGTCAACACAAGAGTTGGAATAAATTATTGTGTCATCTGGGGAGAAAGAGGGAACATGGAATGTTTATTTACCACCTGCTGCTAACAACATAGAATTTTAAGTGGATTTTGTGTATATTTCTATTACTATATCAATTAAAATTACTATTACTATATCATATATATTGACTGACCTAACCAGGGACCCAAGCTATTGGTTACAGATAGGAAAAGACAGATTGCACAAACCCGGTGTTACAATGTTTGTTTCTGTAATGAAAGCATACTTTTAAATTGCACAAATGATCTTTACCTTCTACCAGTATGCAACCAACCCGTAGTTCCTGGAACCAAATTGTAGAGGAAATTAACCAAGGCTATAATCAGGGCAAGTTTTCCATGTGGACAAAGTGGCCATTTTCCCAGAGTCTATCGGCTTAATTAACAATTCCAGTAACACAAAAAGACCTTTTTATTGTGCCATGGGCCTTGGGTTGGTATGGGTGGTCAGGAATATAGAATGGAGTAAAGTTTAAAATTAAATCTTGTGGGATAGTAACAATGCAAGTTGTTTGAGGGGCAGAGAAATATGCTTGTGTGCAGAAGGATAACAAGTTAGGGCAATGAAACAATAAAGTTTTGGGAGAGTGAAGCGACAAAGCGCGGGGACAGCGGAACAATAAAGTTTTGGGAGAGTGAAGCGATAGAGAGCGGGGACAGCGGAACAATAAAGTTTTGGGAGAGTGAAGCGATAAAGCGCGGGGACAGCGGAACAATAAAGTTTTGGGAGAGGGAAGCGATAAAGCGCGGGGACAGCGGAACAATAAAGCTTTGGGAGAGTGAACCGATAAAGCGCGGGGACAGCGGAACAATAAAGTTTTGGGAGAGTGAAGCCATAAAGCTCGGGGACAGTGGAACAATAAAGATTTGGGATAACTGAACAATAACACTTTAGGACAGGGAAACAATAAAGCTTTGTGAGAGTTAAATAATGCATGATAACAGATCACACCGAATTCTAGTGAATTGAAGACCACATTGCAACACTATTGGCAACAACAGCAGACAAGGATTTCTCCAACTCAGTTATAGTCACAGGTTTTCCATTTTAGCAATTAATTCAGTATGTTTTAGTGTTCAATGAATAAACCCCAAAGTGCTATGGAAAGTATCTCCATGTAGGAAGATAACTTGGTTCAAGCAGTTCAAGCAATCAAATGACGAGTTATAGGGTGGGGGGGAGGTGTTGGGGTGGGGGGGAGGACATATAGGAAGGGTTAATCTGACCAAAAACAGTGCTTGCTCTGTCTCTACATGATGTCATTGCAGAGCGGGTATCTAATGTACATGCACCTCGAGCGCCACAAAGGCATTAGGCCTTCCCCTGTAGGAAAGCATTCAATCAATACTTCCTATGGTGAATTTGAAGACACTGGTTTCCCTCATGCACAGCGTTAAACTCCTTTAAACAGCAGGAAGCGCCTCTCGTGGCTGTCTGGTAGACAGCCACTAGAGGCAGTCTTAACCTTCAATATAAACATTGCAGTTTCGTAACTCTGCAGTGTTTTACATTGCAGGGTTAATGGGACAGGGACACTGCACCCAGACCACTTCATTGAGATGTTGTCATATTTTTTTCATATTTATTGTCCTGTTTTCTCTCTGATGAACGTCATCTAGAGCTCTTGAGTCTCTGCAAGGGAATAAAATGAAGTTTAACCCCTTAAGGACACAACTTCAGAGATAAAAGGGAATCATGACGGAATAGTTCTGTCATGTGTCCTTAAGGGGTTAAGGTTGAAGAGATTCCTGAACTAGGATGGTATATTCACTTCTGCAAACAGTTCAGATGATATGGTGCAGCTCAGATGCAATTTTCAATTTAATGATGTGTTTGGAAAAGCTCTAATGTATCCTGCAATGAAATGCAGCATGCATAGAGTCAGACTCGGAGAGGTATGTTCTTGTCAACAATGCCGCAGTGCATGTGTTTGCTGAGGAAGCGAGTCAATAGCGCTGGTAACAGAAGAGAGTTTGTTAGAATAAAACTACTGAAATCCACAGTGAAAAAACAGACATGCAGACTGTGAGAGATTACTCCAAACTATGCGTCCTTTATCTATCTCTGACACTTTCATTGCTGCCAATTATAGTGAAAAATACCACAGAAGTCAGTTCTTATACCAGGCATCCCAGAAACCGTAGCTTGTCAGGACCCAGGGGAGCTGTCGCTTCTCAGAAAAATTATACGATTGCATAAAACAATACAAAACACCTAGAATTTATGGTAAACATTCTTTCATGTGATACTCCAGTCTCATTTTAATATATACATTAGCAAATTACATCACAATTAAAGGGACACTATAGTCACCTGAACAACTTTAGCTTAATGAAGCAGTTTTGGTGTATAGAACATGCCCCTGCAGCCTCACTGCTCAATCCTCTGCCATTTAGGAGCTAAATCCCTTTGTTTATAAACCGTAGTCACACCTCCCTGCATGTGACTTGCACAGCCTTCCATAAACACTTCCTGTAAAGAGAGCCCTATTAGGCTTTCTTTATTGCAAGTTCTGTTTAATTAAGATTTTCTTATCCCCTGCCATGTTAATAGCTTGCTAGACCCTGCAAAAGCCTCCTGTATGGGATTCAAGTTCAATTTAGAGATTGGGATACAATTATTTAAGGTAAATTACATCTGTTTGAAAGTGAAACCAGTTTTTTTTTTCTTGCAGGCTCTGTCAATCATAGCCAGGGGAGGTGTGGCCAGGGCTGCATAAACAGAAACAAAGTGATTTAACTCATAAATGACAGTGAATTGAGCAGTAAAATTGCAGGGGAATGATCTATACACTAAAACTGCTTTATTTAGCTAAAGTAATTTAGGTGACTATAGTGTTCCTTTAAGTTCAGTCCCGACAATGCCAGGACACACACTGCAAACACTGTTTCATCTCGTCGTCTGTCTAGTCTCTCTGTATAGTGATTTCCAGGTGAGAAAGGCACATCATGCTAACACAAGGCACTGTATACAGACTGCATAGGTCTCTCTGTCTATCACTATAGCACTATAGCTCTCTCTGCCTCCCCCCCCTACCCATCTCCTTCGTGCCCCTCTTTCCTGCGGTGGTAAATAAAGGGTTATGCAGGATCACGGCTCAGGCTACTCCGATGTCCCTCAACGAGTGGGCATTAATGCACATGCGCTGTGAGTGCCATGTGCGCATTAGGCCTCCCCATAGGAAAGCATTAAATCAGTGCTTTCCTATAGGGAAATAGCTGATGCTGGAAATCCAGCTTCAGTTACCGTAAAAACTGTTAACAGCCAGAAGTGCCTGCAGTGCCTGTCTGGTAGACGGCCACTGAGGGCAGACTTAGAGCTGCAATGTAAACATTGCTGTTTCTCTGCAACTTCAATGTTTCACATTGCAGCACTAAGGGACACACCAGGGCCGGACTGGGGAAAAAATTCGGCCCGGGCATTTTTTTATCACAGTGGCCCACTGAGAAGGGATGGGGCCAGATAGGGTGTGTTTTGTCATCATTAATGAAAAGCACACCCCATCTCAAAGGGAAGACCATGTGCAGAGCTCTGCTGATGAGCTCTAGCATGAGAAAAAGGCCCTGCATATGCTCCGCACAGTACAAGCAAATTTAAAGAGACACTATAGTCACCCAGACCACTTCAGCTCAATGAAGTGGTCTGGGTGTCAGGTCCCTGTACGGTTAACCCTTCCTGATGTAAACATAGCATCTGCTATGTTTACATTTGGGGTTAAGCCCGCCTCTAGCGGCTGTCTTCCAGACAACCACTAGAGGCGCATTGGCAATGATTGAGGCATATTATGCCTCAATCACGAAGAGCGTCCATAGGAAAGCATTGAATACTTTCCCTTGTCTTAGTGTCTCCAGATGATGCATCAAATGAGTTTCAGGGTCATTCAGGGAAATTCTGAGTCATTCAGCGTAAAAAAATAAAAAAATAAATTTATTTTAAATTATCTTTAAGCAGGACAAATATCAAATTATGTCTGTAATGCATAATTCTCCATAAATGTATATCATCTCAATAATAATCTCTGTGAAGCGTGAAACAGTAAAACAGTACACCCTGCAGTGTCCCTTTAGCACAGTGAATCTCAGCTTTTTATGGAGAAGTACTCCTGCAGGTCTTAAGAAAATTCCCAAGTGCCCCTGCCACGAGAAAGCAATTCCTATTGATTTAAATTTCAAATAAAACGTGTAGGCACTGATATTTACATTAATCCGATGTTGGAGAACAAGCCTGATTAAAGGTAGTACAGAATATTTAAAAAAATAAATATGATATAATGTGAATATTGTGTATGCAAGGAGGAGTGTATGAACTGTTTATTTGAAGTATAAAAGTCATAAAATTAAAATATAATACAAACATAATAGTTACCCACTGACACACACACACACACACACACACACATTCACTGACAGACACATACACAATCTCTCACACACACTCGCAGTTTTTTCTTATTTTTCTTATTTGTATTTAAGTCCACTAAACTCTCTACCTTTGGGAGAGCTGAAGTGGATGCTTACCCTGGAGTCTAGTGTGGCTGCTGTCATCTTCATTGTCTTCTTTCTCTCTACACGTATGCCATAGGTCAAACAACTGTGTGAATGCAATTAGCTTAAAAAGGAGACTGCTAAAGCCTGATTTTTCAACCGGTGGTACACATACCCTAGGGGGTACACACACCAAAAGCAGGGGGTACACAAAGAGCTGGCTGGATGGACACCTTAGGACCCTCTCCTCCCTCGCAACGCTGTTTAGTGATGGTGGTGCTGGAGTGACTTCTTAACCCTACTTCCGGCATCACTGCAGAGTGTGTAAGGTAGCAGTGCTGGAAGAGCTACAGCCTCCCCCGGACACAGTTTGTGGACTGAGCAGGCACCTGCCATCCAGGAAAGCAGAGGCCTACTCTGCCTTAGTGCACACTGGCCACCTCCTGGTGGGCCCTAAAGTGGCCAGCTGGCCAGCTCTTTGTGTACCCCCTGCTTTTGGTGTGCGTACTCCCAGTAGCAAAAATAGGCTTTAGCAGTATCCATATTAAGCTAAACATTCAGACAGTTGTTTGGCAGTATCCTTATTAAGCTAAACATTCAAACAGTTGTTTGGCAGTATCCTTATTAAGCTAAACATTCAGACAGTTGTTTGACCTATGGCATACTTGTAAGGAAAGCGACCGCGAGGCTCAAGTATCATTAAATCAGTGCAGACGATGAAGAAGTCAGACATTGTGATCTCATGGATCAGATCTCTTATGCCGATATCCTGAGATTGATTTTAGAAACGTCATTTTCTGGGTGAAACCCTGAATGTTCTATGGAGAACATATACATATTTTACTTTAGACCAGAAGTAGCCCTCTAGCATCTTAGCCAGTGCCACATTTAAAAATGTGCAGATCTTAGTTTAGCCTTTCAGAAAGAACTGCATTAATCAGGCACATTGTTTTATATTCCCCCGAATCTCTGTGAATTAATGCCGAATGATTGATGGGCTCTGTTCTCTGTCATTTAACCTGAATTGCACAATGACTGTTCCTCTTCGCCTTCTACTGCTCTGTCACATTTTTCTATACAGCTGAGTCTTTGATACCTGCCTGTCAATCCTCTTATTTTTCACCCCCCTTTTATTACTCTTAACATGGAAATTGCTTTTTTTTTGTCATTCTGTCCCATCTCATCCCAGTGTTGCTGTCATCGTTTCAATCAGACATTATGAGTTATTCTAAAAAAATGAACTTGGCAGAGTTTGAGTTACTTTTCCAACTGAGCTAAAGGAAGGAGAATTCTCTCTCTTACTTCCATACGCTGATTGCTAAAGACTATGCTCAGCTCTCTGATTGAAAGTTATCATAAAATAAGTGCTATAGGAGCTATATTTGACTATGAGATAGGGCACAATTGGGCACTTTGCTATCTTTAATTTGGGTCTTTTATCTCTAACTGTCATCAATATAGAGTGTTGGATGTCAGGCAGTTTCTAGTGAATAGCCTCAAACAGGGTATAATAAAGTGAGAATTCAATATAGCTAAAATTGGCAAATCTCTCTCTAAGTCAGATATGCTTTGCTTTCAGCTACTCTGTCCTTAAATTTGAAATTCACTTTAAATTCTAATTTTAGTAATTAGACCTGTTAGTAATTAAAGAGGAACTGTCACTATTTTGGAACTTAATCCATTGAATAAAACACCAAAAATCGCCTGTAACTTATGTAAAAATTTTTTCATGTGATGATTTGTTTTGTTTTAAATAAATATTAAAGCTTTAGCAGTGGACATCACAATTCTGTTTAGTTAAGGCTCAGCCATGGCACATTCTGTTTCTCCTCCTCTACCTTTGTTGCCAATCGCAAGATGGAGTCACTCAGTTGTAGGTGAGGGTGTGTGTATACCTGCATTCATTTTAGATCCTACATTATGTTGTCGACAACTGTTTAATAAGATGTTGTGATATCCAGCCCATCTGACAATCCAAAAGGCTGAAAGACCTAAATTGGTCTTTCAGCCAAATTTACTAATACTAAGTAAAAATTACTTAGTATTAGTAAATTGTGCCCCTACTCGCTATACCGCGAGTAGGGGCATGTCTATTAAACAGTGAGCAGCCACTGTTAAAAATGGGTCCCCCCTCCCGAGCCCACCTGCGACACGCGAGTGGAGGCTTTTAAACTAAAGGGGGGGTCTATTGCCCCCCCCCAGCCCCCACCCTTGAGCGGTGGGTGCGGGCCCTAAATTAGAATGAGGGGGGGACCTAATGTCCTCCCCCCTGGCCCCCACCCCTGAGCAGTGGGTGAGGGCCCTAAAAACTAATTAGTGGGGGTGGGGGCCCTCAATTAGAATGAGGGGGGGATCTAATGTCCTCCCCCGTGGCCCCCACCCCTAAGCGGTGGGTGGGGGCCCTAAATACTACTTAGGGGGGACCTAATGTCCTCCCCCTGGCCCCCACCCCTGAGCGGTGGGTGGGGGCCCTAAATTAGAATGAGGGGGAGGACCTAATTTCCTTCCCCTTGGCCCCCACCCCTGAGCGGTGGGTGGGGGCCCTAAATTAGAATGAGGGGGGCCTAATGTCCTCCCCCTGGCCCCCACCCCTGAGAAACTGTTTCTGAGAAACTGCTATGTTTACATCTGGGGTTAAGCCAGCCTCTAGTGGCTGTCTTCCTGACAGCCACTAGAGGCGCATCGGCAATGATTAAGGCATATTATGCCTCAATCGCGCAGAGCGTCCATAGGAAAGCATTGAAAAATGCTTTCCTACGGACATTTTGAATGTGTGCGCGGCAGTGGTGCGCATGCGCATTCAACGCCGGTGACGTCAGACAAGGATGCTGACGTTGGCGGGGGAGGAGAGGTAAGGTAGCCTGGCGGGGGAAAAGGGTGAGTAGCTGAAGGGGTTTTAACCCCTTCAGCGCCGCGGGAGGGGGACCCTTAGGGTGGGGGCACCCTCAGGGTACTATAGTGTCAGGAAAACCCTTTAATTTTATGACACAATGGAGGGAGGATTGAGACCAGGCACCAATAGGGAATCAATGGATTGTGTCATTGAACACACTAAAGGGCCTTCTTGCTATTGCTATTCACATGATCAGGCACATAAAAACTAGTCTATAGATGGTAAATGACACCAAGCCGACTCAATAAGGTATATACCCACTTATTTCCCTGTTGCTGGTGTTGTGGAGAGAAAGAAGGAAATATGATGCAGATTTGGTGGGAGTGCAGGGTTATCAAACCTTTGTGGAGATAAGTCTCAATTATATTGAGACTATTAAACATAAAAGACATTCCAGGTAATTCATGTTAAAACATGTCTTTTTATGTTATTTCCAACTGGACAGAGCAGATAACAGTTATAGTAAATTTAGCAGCCAGAAACCTTATAGCATGGAGCTGGAAACAAGCCACCTGTCCAACACGTATTCGATTGATTGATTGATTGATTGATAAAATAAGACAATATTGTTTATATGAATATGCAGCTGCAACATCTATGAGAAGTCAAATCAAATTCATAGAGGTATGGAAACCATGGCTAGACTTACTGCATAAAGACATTGGAATGTTAGGGACTAGCCAAACAACTGAGCAGACATAGGTTCACAGGGAATACTGATAGGATCAGGGCTCTATAAAGCTTTATGAGGGAGCATTAGAATTATTAATGGTAACAATAGTATTATAGATATTACTATGATTATTACGGTTATATTTTTATCTACAATATGCATCAATCTTTGTATCTTTTTTTTCTTTTTTGTGTGTGTATTTGATGGTTTTATGTGTTTTTTATTTTATTTTGTGGGACTTTTGTCCCTTTTCTTCATTTGTACACTATATAAATAATAAAGTATTAATGTAAAAAAGGTATTAACCCAGTATGTTCTATAAATGCAATGCATTTTTGTGCCATAGAGGCATTACATTTTGTATTTTTTTTTAGATTTTACGTTATATTTTGCTATTTTGCAGTTTTTCAATAAAGCAGAATGGAAGACAGAAGTCTAGAATTTTAGCAAAATGGCTGTTTTCAAAACATTGCTCAAGTACTGCATTTCAGTATAGGCTCACCACAGTCCGTAAACCTTTTTATGGCAGATGCCAAGTGATCTCTATATTTTGATACCCAAACGACAGTCTCAAAAATACTGGTGTGCATCTATACATTGCCCATCTACACAGATCAAGAAAGCCAGCAGAAAGCCCCTCATCCACTTTTGAATTTTTCACACGTTAAAATTATTCCAAAAACACTCTTATAGACTGTTTTGGAACTTCACGAAATTACACTGCAAAGAGTAGATAAAAGACAAAGTAACAACCAATTATTAGCAATTCGTAGAAGTAGTCACAAGTGTAAGAAAATGTTTCTTCTTCCTCAAAGATAAGATTGGAGAAAAATCCCATCGTCATCCCGGATCTATGAGAAGCATTGCACAAAAGTAACCATTACTAATGATGCCATCAGAAGTGGAACTGGTGCGGGGTGAGGGATGCGGGGTGAGGGACGGAGTTGTCTATCTAGGCCAGTCCTGAAGACCCACCAACTGTCCATGTTTTGTCAGTATCTCCATTGGAATAAAACAGGGTAATAAATAAATCCTGGATTGTTAATGGGCCATGAGGACTGATTTGGGAACCACTGATCTAAACAATAATAGGAACACTCTAATCTTAAAAACAAATATGTATTTAAAGTACATTTTCTATTCCAGAATTACAGAGCATAGAAATAATTTATGTATCTGATTTTAGTCTCTGTTCTCTACATCCCTGTACATGCTTGTAAATATTCTTCCAATTCTACGTGTCTGTTTTATGTCTGTATATTTAATTTACCTACGAGCCTGTATTGCTAGTCTCTTGGAAAACAAAAGTTGTCAGTATTAACATGCGTTTCATTTGATGTGAAATAAAGGAAAAGTAATTGGTTTTTGCTAAAATATAAATTAGCTGCATTGCAGTATCTAAAGTCAAGTTTGCTTTGATGTGCATTCATTAACACCAATAAAAAAACTCATAGAAATTCACTTTACTGTATAAGTAAATAATTGGATTTTTGGAGCATTTTAAAACAAATGTAGTCTTTGTGATCATTTGTCAACGTAAATGGAATTTACACACTTTCATTCCTTTCTGTGCTTTTCAAACTTTCAAGAAATATTAAAATTTTAAAGCGACATCATTTATTTTACAAACTTTTACTTTTTTTCCAAATGTTTTTCTTTTTTAAACAACAAATTATAGTAAGCAAGAAGTACCCAAGACATACAGTGCTCCAGTTTTACTGTGCGTACCAAACCTGTTAATGATGTTGGATTTTGCTATAGCCAACATACTCAAAATCTAGAATTTTATTAGTTTACATTATTGTCAGAATTCTGCCTGGCTTTTCTGAGACGTGATTTTTACTGCTTTTTGTACACTCGTCCATGTTACTGACAGTAGCATGTCTCATCTAGAACAACACATTCAGAGTTTGGGGGGTTTCACCAATGTTCTGTGTTCTGAAACATGGTGTGAGGATGTAAAAGGGGAGAAGTTACCGATTTAATGTGCCCACAGATTTAAATGTTCATTGCCCCATTTTTAGTACTTTAGACCATTTTTCAAAGCACAACACTGTAAACACAGTGTGGTGCAGGTGAGAGAGCCATGTGAGTCATGACACGTTCCCTTTAAAATGTTGATTTGGTAGGAAGCCAAGATAAAGGCACGCAGTTCCAGGTCAGAGGTAAATACAGCAGAGTGGCTTTCTACATATTATTTGTAACATATTTGCCAAATATAGAGGGACAAGTTAACATAGTTGCAAAAATCATGGGAAATGACTGTTGCCCTTTAAGAGCCCATTGAATACAGTCAGATTATACTTTTGTTTTTATAGTAATAATGCTTCATTGAACCTGGCAGTAATCACTTCCATTAAATGTCCTCTTTACACATATAAAGAAGTAAGAAAACAGTGGATAGTAAGTGTCATACTAAAAATGTAATACCACTGACTAAGTCGTATTTTGTCAAGGGCTCACTTGTTGTAGATGAGAATATTAATTCAGCTCTTTGACCATCAGGTAGAAGCCAGAGACCTGGTGTGTGCGTATTCTCTCTCTTTGGTATTTAGAAAAAGTTGTATTACATCACCAAATAATTTGTTATATTTGATATTTGACTGTTGACTGTAAATAGGAACACTAGATAAGTGGCCTGGTGGATCCCATGTAATAAGTCAAACTGTAGCAGGTTGTCTGTAGTAGTTATGGTGCTTGGGCTACGTAGAGCAGTTTATTTTTATTTTTAATTTCTATGCACTATTTGTCCAATAATTCAGCAGGGTCTGACAATGCTTGTATTTTTCTCATATTATACATTACTACAATAGCGGATTACCTTGATTGTGGAAGTTAACGTTCTTTGCTATATCATCTCGATGTGGTTTCTGAGATTAAAAGAGAAACATTCAAATTTTTGTTCTCACATCCATTATTTATCAGTTAAGGCAGTTACTCAGGTTCCCGTTACAAAGCAAGATTTTCTCAGTAACGTCTGTGAATTTACTAATTTACTAGTGTTTTTTTTTTAAATTCTATATTTTTCGTGCAATAGGGTTTACAAACAGGCCTGCGATGCCACGATAGCAAAAGCGGGCGTAGTGAGACACAAAATATCACGACAGGAATAAGTTGCACTTTTTTTTTTTTTTTTACACAGAATATGTACTCATGGTCTGCAATAAAAGAGTAAGTATGGTGGCAGTTGCGTTGGACTTGGAAAAGGCAAAACAAGCGAGTGTAACCTTTGCCATAACAATTATTAAAATAATAAAAACATTAAGTTGAATTGAATTGGGGTAGCAGAAAACTTAGATTGTGCCAATAAACTCACTGCTTGAAGGCAAGTAAATGGTTAAGGAGTTAAAGTATAGTTCAGCAGTGGGATGTTAACTAACCCCTGCACTATGCACGCTATTTAAGCTTGGTATCATACTATGCTACGCATGGTTTTACATTTACCTGACATTAGGTTATGCAGTAAATATATGTGAGGGACCTTAGGCAAACAAATATACAATGTAAACTAGATAACTCTGCTATGCCTAGGTCTGAAACTCTCTCCCTGCTAATTTACTAGTTTTCACTTTTATTTTTGTAAGTATCATATTTAATATATATATATATTAAAAAAAAAATATATATATATATGTGTATATATATATATATATATATTTATATTTATTTGTGTTTTTGGCAAAATGCCTTAATGAGTTGCATAGTGGTATATGCATGATACCTTCAAGACTTCTCGAGGGCTGCACCGTTCCTGTGGAACTTGCTTCCCTCCTCCATTAGATGCTCACCCAGTCTTCACTCCTTCAAAAAATCGTTAAAAACCCACTTCTTCATAAAAGCGTATCGATTAAACTGTTAATAGCTCCTGACTGATTCCTCTGGAGGGAGGGGCATGCAAATCGCCAGACTAGTAACGGTATGGGAGATAGAATGGGACCCAAGCCCCTCCCACAACTACAGGCCTAACCTTAAATATATATATATATATTTTTTTTATTTCTTTTTTAATCCCAGTTTATTATTTTTTTTTAGTACAAAGAGTGCATTGAAATAAGTGAACATTGAAAGATAGCATTAAGCAGTAACATGGCAAAATAGCAGTCATAATTGGTAGAGAACCCAATGTATATAGCCATCAACTGTACAATAAATTCTAAAAAAAATAGAAAGAAAAGATAAGCAGAAGAAAAAAAGAAGAGAAAAGCAGAAAAAGAAAAAAGAGTAGAAGGCAGGAGAATAACAATATTAGAGTAAAGATATAGAGCAGGGGATAGACAAGGAATCAGTGGAGGTAAGGAAGGTACATTGATGCTTCTATAGAAAAGGGAAGATTACAAAAATAATGTAATTAGTAAATGAAGCTAAATAAATACAAGGCAGGTAAGTTGGTGTTGTGTGACATGTTCATAGCCGGGGGTCACACATTTATTAAAAATGTTCCACAGAGTCACAAGTTGTAATATTTAACTTATTAGAAATGTTCTTGTTGTGTATCCATTATAAGGATTGGGTAGAAGAATTCAAGAACAATCAAATAAAAATAATCATATAAGATAATCCAAATCTAGAACGTATCACACTTAATGATGTCTAAGATTTTGGAGATGTGAAGTTGCCAAGCTGGCATGCTAAGCTCTCCCCATTTATTGCTACCTCACCCTTGCTGGTGTCATGCATAAACTAAGGGACTGACTCTCTATGTATTAAAATATACATCATGTAGAAAAAAAAGTGTAATTTATATGCATCTAATAATGTACTCTTTCCTACTCAATGTCAACATTTGTTATACTTCCAATATTCTCAAATCATAGTCTTAGTCATCTTAGTCTAGATGGAGTCATTTGTCCCAGTGGGCTTAATATGTTCTGGCAATATTTGATTTGACTGACGTGGTTTCATTGTCGCTTGTATACACTTTTCCCTTAGAGTGCCAAACCAAAATACATGTGTTGTATTTTTGGTCGGTGGCGTCTTTCCCAGGGCTGAACCTTGTTGGTATCTTGAAGTGACTGGTCTTTAAAACTCATTGTTCATACTAAACAGCAGACTGTCTCATTTCAGTTGGGGCGATTTATCAAAGTGCTGTGCTCTAAAAAATGGTGCAAAAATGTAAAAAGGGTGGAGTCACCAATGGAAAGTCCCTAGTGGTTTCACTGGTTTCCATGGTGACGGCCCAACTTTTAGAACTTTACACCTTGTCTTAGATTCTGATAAATCTCCCCCCGATATGTGACTTAGTTGTGAAAGGGATTTCTTCATTGGTGTGCTTCTGGGAATAACTGTATTGATCAGCACTTTTTAAAATTGTACTTGATAAATGTATGACCTTGGGATGAACAAGAGTGTCATTAGGGAAATACAAATAAACATGTTTTTCAGAGGTTACATTACTATGGTACTTGGACTTACCAATACTGCTTGTAAAAAATATATGTGTGATCACTGAGCTCTGGCCCCTGGAGTCAGTGGCGGATCCAGGGGGGGGGCAACGGGGCAATTGCCCCCCCCGAGAATTCCGCCGGTCTCCCTCCCCTGCCAGCCCTGCAATGTGCCTGTGGACCGGAAGGGAGATCACAGATCTCCCTCCCCGGTCCGCAGGCACTGTGCTGGCGGCCGGCGGCGGAGGGAGTGAGATAGAGGGAGGACCCGGAGCTCAGGCTGCAGCTCCTCCGGGTCCTCCTCTCGTGAGATTTGAAGCGTTGCCGCGGTTACCACGGCAACGCTCCAAATCTCACGAAAGTGAACTCTAGCCCGGGAGCGCGGGCTAGAGTTCACTGTAACCACTGGGACCACCAGGGAATCACCACTGGGACCACCAGGGAATCACCACTGGGACCACCAGGGATCGAAAGGGAATCACCACTGGGACCACCAGGGATCGAAATATGTCCCCCCTCCTCCCCAGTAAAGGTAAGAAGGGAGGGGGGACATAGGATAATATTTATTTTAATTAAATAAAAAAAAATATATATATATAATAAAAAAAATCCAAACACACACATATATATTGCCCCCAATACTGCCCCCCCAATACACACAAACTGCCCCCCCAGTCACACAAACTGCCCTCCCCATTCACACAAACTGCCCCCCCATACACAAACTGCCCCCCCATACACACAAACTGCCCCCTATACACACATACTGCCCCCCATACACACATACTGCCCCCATACACACATACTGCCCCATTAGAAAACACTTTGCCCCCATTCACACAAACTGCCCCCCATTCACACAAACTGCCCTCCCATTCACACAAACTGCCCTCCCCATTCACACAAACTGCCCCTCCCCCTTCACACACAAACGTACCTCCCATACACACAAACTGCCCCCGCACACACAAACTGCCTCTATACACACATACTGCCCCCACATACACACATACTGCCCCCCCATTAGAAAAACACTGCCCCCATACACACACACTGCCCCCCCACATACACACACACACACACTGCCCCCACATACACACACACACACTGCCCCCACATACACACACACTGCCCCCCCATACACACAAACTGCCCCCTAGCTACACACACACACTGCCCCCATACACACACACACTGCCCCCATACACACACACTGCCCCACATACATACTGCCCCACATATACACACTGCCCCCCATACACACACAAACTGCCCGCCATACACACACAAACTGCCCCCACATACACACATTGCTCCCCCATACACACACACATTGCTTCCCCATACACACACACACACACTGCCCACCCATACACACACACACTGCCCCCCCATACACACACACTGCCCCCCATACACACACATACACTGCATCCCTGACAAACACTGCCGCCCTCACTCACACACTACAACCTTCACACACACACACTGCACCCCTTACACATTGCACCACTCACACACACCACTGCTCCTATGCCCTACTACAGCCCCATTTCCCAGCAGATCTCAAGTAAGTTGTCAAACTGTTCTAAAACGGTTTGACTACTTACTGTGGGAGGGGGTCCCGGCACTATTGACACCATAACCACTACACTGAGCTGTAGTGGTTATTGTGTCTGGATTATTTCTTTAAATAATCTACAAGTGCCCCTCCCGAGATCAGGCTCTGGATCCGCCACTGCCTGGAGTGCCAGGTGATTCATGAAGAAACAAGGCTATTGAATATAGTACTGTGCAAGTAATTGATAACACTTAGGGGAAAACAAACTCTTTGCACAATCCCATAAAGGGTATTATTTATTATACGGTTTAGCTAGATTAACAAAAAAACATTTTCTTTGAAATCTACATGACATCTGCAGAAACGTATAAAATGACATTATTATCAGTCCTGATTTAATCTCTCATTTCTGTCTACAATCTTTCAAAATTATTTTTATTGAACATTTTTTTTTCTTTATGAAGACACAACAAAAATAATTTAAAACATGATTCTGTGTATAGTCTTAAAATAAATTGAATGCATGTAATAACAGAAGGGACATATGCAATATATTTATTGTTCAGTGTCATTGTTGACTTTTGATAGTTGAATTTATTGGTTAGTGTTTGCTTTGGTAACACATTGTTTTTTTAAATCTGATTTAATTGGAAGCCATACTTTTCCTAAGTTAAAGTAACGCTACAGTGTCAGGAATGCACTCATGTAGTCCTAAAACTATAGTGTTAAGCTACCTGTTTAGTTTCCCAGCCCCCTTCAGATTGCTTTGAGGACATTTCTACCACGCTGTGCCAGTCTCAACGCGTCGGGCCCCATCACCATGGCATGAGGCCTTAATGACCTCAGCCAATCCAATGCTTTCCCATGGGAAAGCATTGGAGGATCTTGCGCATGCATGGCAAAATGCTGCGCTGCGTCAATCAGCATCTCCTAATAGAGATGCATTGAATCACTACAGCTTGAATCATATTACGGTGTAGTGGTTCTGGTGACCATAGTGTTTCTTTTAAATATTATTGTGTTTTGGAAAATATTCACAACGTGGCATAATTTCTCTGTGTTGTTGGCAGAGTGAGACTGTCCATTGATTAAAGGGTTACTCAAAGTGGTTATAGTACCTGCAGTCTGTATGTGCAGCATTTTGCTATGAAACGCTGCATGTGAAACATTGAACCTCTCTGCTGCCAGAGATGTAACTCCACATCTGGTAACTTAACTGGAGTGTCCTCAGCAGCCCAGTATGAGAATTCACGGGTTAGCTAATGTCATTCTGTGCAACTTTCAGCTGTCAGTCATCTCACAATTTCAGCCAATGAATAGCGATGGCCACGGCTTCTGGCTTCAACTCTGCAGAAGCTAAAAGTGTGTCACTGGACAACCAGGGATAATCAGAACCCAACAGGGACCCTGATAATGGGAAAAAACATGGCTAAGTGGATTACCCAATTACCGAAGAACTGGGCCAGGGTACTTCTCACATCAGAATCACTACAGCGGCCTGAAAGGAACCAACAGATGTCGTTAATTAAAGAGCATGAAAGAGGATGAAAACAGTTTTATGATCAAAGCTCAGCGTTCAATGACCTTTCTCCTATAGATGCAGACTCGTCCAAACCTATCGTTAAATATGCAGTAGCCATCTCTTCACAACACAGGTGTATCCATTCCATTAGTCTGCATTGTTAATGTAAACACGATTTATAGTGTTTGTAAAACTTTTACCTGCGGCCTTTGCTAACCCTTTCCTTTATCACTGAGTGCTTGATTGAACGGCCACATGTACACTTTGTTTAGATACAAGTTATTAGACATGATCTTATTTGGTGCAAACATTTTAGCATATATTCCATTGTAGATTTGCAGCAGTCGAGTTTTGTAACTCCTTTTTTTTTTTTATCATTGTAACAAAGTCATACAAACCCATTACCCAATGTGCATTATGTGAATTATAGCAAACCATACATTGCTCCGAGGTAGACAAAATAACACGACCTGTACTGAAAAGAAAAAGATAAATGAGCAAATGAACACAATAATATAATACATAATAATATAATAATATAATACATAATATTAGAAACAATATAATAATGCTTGTAACTATGACAGGAAATAGTAGGTGTGGGAAGGTTTTGGAAGTCATTAGAGTGACGCGGTCGAAGTTTTATGAGAGAGTAGAAAACGTGGTGTTACTATGTGACCAAGGTAAAGTGCCATAAGGCAATATTTACAAATCTTATATAGGATAAATTTATGTTGTATTGAAATAAGTCAAGCAATGTGTCCATGTCTTGGTATATTGTGAGTGTCTGCCATGTATGCAAAGAGTCACATTTTATGTTTGTCAGAATGTCTGCTTTGTTAGCGACGTCTACAAATTAGTAATCCCACCTGCAGTCACACAGTCTTCTAATCTGCAGCATGTGCCACAGCCAAATATATGGAAGGACAGGGCACACACAGCTTACAGGTTATGTGTTATTGGGCTTCAGGAAGGTTTGTTTAGAAATGGTTTATAGTGGTTGGCTGAGTTATAGGACAAAGGTATTTTATCACAGAATATTGTCACAACAAGGTGAACACGGTTACGGCAACATTGGCTTGTTCTACATCTACTGGCACCTTATGGGGATATTGGCAGAAGGGAGTGCAAGTGGCAGGATTAGTGGAGGGATCTATATGAAGTGCATTTCATAGAACCTGAGTATTGTTCTTAAAGGGACACTCCACTTCCCAAATACATAATCAATACAAATCACTGTTTAGTATATATACACCAAATGAAAACATCTGTGCATTTAATTATGCATTTTTTTCATTGGGGGTATGGCTAAAACCACATTGCATAAATTGCATATCTCTTGTCTGCTGCCTTTGCAAGCCCTCCCCTCTAACCCCGCCCAGACTTTCTATGGCTGTCCAATCATAGACTTCCCAATGCAGTTCAATGAGAAGTCTTTGCAAGGCAGGTGCTCTTGGCAATTGCTGCCTCTTCAGGTCAGTGCAAATAAGCTCACTAAACCAGGAAGTAACAGGATCAGTTGTCTGCTTGAGATTTTCGATTGAAATCTGCACTTTTTTCTAAATGAATAAAAATAGGACACACTCATTACGCATAAAGCTTTTCATCAAGCTAAAGTGCTTTAGGGTTCTGGAGTGTCCCTTTCAATGTGCAAACTCTGTGTGCCTCATATATTTAGTTCTCAAAATGACTACTATGGTTTGTTCACTTTCTATTCATAGGTAAGTGTATCTATGATCTAAAATATGTACTCAGTTATATTTTTTGAATCTACAACGCTTTTTCATTTAGTGTATACATTGAAGTAAAAAGTGGAGTCTACAGAAATGTGGGATGAAACATTGATTTCTGGTGTTATTTGCATGTTTTGCAATGTGTTCGGGGTGAACTGTTTGAACATAGATTTTCAGGATGCTGAGATTAGAGTTCTTTAAAAAAAGAAAAAACCTTATGATATCTCATTATGGTGTATCAGTCTGTTTAGAATGTATTTACTCAGTGGAGAGAATTGTTTGCTGTAATCTGTGTATTGTACTTGTAACGTTATTTGTAGTTTTTTTTCTGTACTTCAACCATTTACCTTAAAACATGTGTGTATGTGTCGGTGTCTATATTAATTTGTGTGTATGTGTCGGTGTATTTATGTGCATGAATATCTGTGTAAGTATGTATGTATGTATGTGGTAGTGTATGTGCATACATCCAAGCAGTCAAACACCAGCACAACATACAGGCACACTCCTGCAATCAAACATAAATATTACATACAAATACACCCCTGCATTCAAACCCCCAAAATAAATAAATATATACAAACACACCCCTTTACTCAAACACAAATACTTCTCACAAATGTACATCTGCATTTAAAAGTGAACATTCAGACACACCCCTGCAATCAAACGCAAACATTACATACAAACACACCCCTGTATTAAAACACAATAACTATATACAAGCACCCCTTTAAACACCAACACTGTACATTACACTATAGTGACAGTAAATTCTGCAGCGCTGTACAGATATACAACCTAGAAATTTCGAATTGGGGTGCCTTGGAAAAAGTGAAATATTTAGGGCGCCTTGAACCTAAAAAGTTTGGGAACCACTGGTCTAGACATAGCAGTCACAACTCTCCGATTTCCATGCAATATATGCACAGAAGCACGGATGGCTTTCACTTTTTCAGATTTAGAACTTGCATTTCTGTACTTTTCCTTTGCTGTGACCTAGTGTTTTACAGCCTAGCGTTTAATGTCAACACACAGGTTTGGATTCTAATGAGTGAACAGATGCCCATTCATAGACTGTGTCACTCTCTGGGTCTCCTAGATCTGGTTTCAGCATTGTTGGAAATATTTCTGACAGCACTTTGGGTGAGTAATTGGTTCTATCTTTAAAAAAAAACAAAAAAAACCTTTAAAGGCAGATTTGTGGCAAAAATAGATTTATGTTGATGTGTGAACATTGACACTTCAGGTCCTATGTGCTCACTCCAGAGTGACAGGTGGGGTTCTGCACAAATGCATATTTTCGGTTATGAGATGTATTCAGTGTTTAGAAAAATATCGGATAGAGAACTGAGGAAAATAATGAGAAGCAAAAATATTGGAATATAATCATGCCATATATATATACATGTGACATATTACAAAATATACATTTTGTCATAATGCATAGTTGTAAATCTATCTAGAGTGAGTATGCCTATTTAAAGCATTCTGTTAAATTGAGACTATATGCATAAAAACTACTTTAGCTTCATGAAGAAGTTTTAGTGTATAGATCATGCCCCTTCAGTCTCGCTGTTCAAACCTCTGCCATTTAGGAGTTAAATCAGTTTTTTGTTTCTGTTTATGCAGCCCTAACAAACCCTCCCACCGGCTGTAATTTGCACAGCCCGCTTGCAAAAATGGTTCCATTCTCATGAGAAATTAACTTGCTTTAGAGGTTTTTAATTTTCTGCTCTGTAAAAGGAACTTTAATCACATACAAGAGGCTCATGCAGTGTCTAGAAGGCTATTGATATAGAAGTAAATAAGAAACCTCTTTTTACAGGAAGTGTTTAGAAAGGCTGTGCAAGTCACATGCAGGGAAGTGTGACGAGGTGTGACTAAGTGATTTAACAACTAAATGGCAGTTAGTTGAGTAGTGATACTGAAGGGTCATGATCAGGGCCGGCCTTAGGCAATTAGGCGCCCTGTGCAAAAAGTCTTCACGGCGCCCCCCCCCCCCGCCTCCCACCAAGTTGCCTGAATACAGTAACACACACAGGCACCGGGGACGTGTGTATCACGAGGCAAACAAGGCATCTGCCTTGGGCGCCACTTTGCAGGGGGCGGCAAAAAAAAGCATCCCTCCAAACCCCCAGGCAGATCCCTTGCTTGCCTCGCATCCTGGGGGGCTCAAGAGCTGACCGGCTGGCCACTTTTGAGCCCCCCCAAGGCTGGCAGCGGGCAGCGAAGGAGCATACTCACCTGAGCTCTTCCTGCTCAGCTTCCTCTGCGCCGCTTAATGAAGCCGGGAGCCAGAATATGACGTCAGTCCGGCTCCCGGCATCACTAAGCGCTGCTTACTCAGCCTGTGCGCCCCCTGCCTGCCTGCCCAGCAGCCACACTGGACTGCTGGTAAGAAATCCACTCCAGCTTTCCCAGGGAGGCTGGGTGGATTTAAAATAAATGTAAAAAATATTAGTTTGTGAGTGTTAGTGGAAATGTCTGTGTGTGTGTCTGTGAGTGTTTATTTTGAAGTGAATGTGTGTGTGTGTGTGTGTGTGTGTCTGTAAGTGTGTAATTGTGTGTGTCTGTAAGTGAATGTGTGTGTGTCTGTGAGTGAATGTGTGTGTTGGTCAGTGAGTGTATGTGTCAGTCAGTGAGTGTGTATATGTCGTCAGTGAGTGTGTATGTGTCGTCAGTGAGTGTGTATGTGTCGTCAGTGAGTGTGTATGTGTCGGTCAGTGAGTGTGTGTTGGTCAGTGAGTGTGTGTCGGTCAGTGAGTGTGTATGTGTCGGTCAGTGAGTGTGTGTCGGTCAGTGAGTGTGTGTCAGTCAGTGTGTATGTGTCGGTCAGTGGAGTCGTGCATCTTTCAGTGAGTGCTTGCGTCTGTCAGTGAGAGTGTGCATCTGTCAGTGTGTGTCCAAGTAATAGTGTATGTGTGTATGTCATTGTTTGTCAGTGTATATGAGAGTGTGTGTCTGTCAGTGAGTGTGCGTCTGTCAGTGAGTGAGCGTCTGTCAGTCAAAGTGCGGCCTTGACAGGAAGGGGTGGGGGAAATTTAAACTCGGTTACAGGCATGTACACACACACTCAGTTAAAGGCAGTCACACATACAGGCACAGGCACAAACAATGGCACAGCTACAGCGACACACACAGACAGACAGTCACATAGGCAGTCACACACACAGACAGACACACAGTAACACACACATAGACAGTTATACACACACAGGCAGGCAGTCACACAGATAGAAAGTCACACACACAGGCAGGCAGTCACACACAGACAGTTACAGACAGACACACACAGGCAGGCAGGCAGTTACATACAGGCAGTCACACACACAGACAGTCACACACACAGACAGTCACACAGACAGACAGTCACACAGACAGACAGTCTCACACACACAGGCAGTCACACAGACAGTCACACACACAGGCAGTCACATACATGGGCAGTCACACACACAGACACACGCACACAGACAGACAGTCACACACACACACACAGACAGTCACACAAACAGGCAAACAGTCACACACACACACTTACCTCTTTCCAGTGGATGCAGTTGGCTGATGGGGAAGCATCTTTCCCTCTTCCTGTACAGCAGGGGCTTCGGGAGGTATTAGCCCCGTCTCCGCCTCTCGATAAGCCCCGCCTCCGCCGCTCGGTAAACCCCGCCCCCTCTGCCGCGATTTTTTTTTTTTTAAATAGACCCGGGTGGAGAATAATTAATCCTCCAGCCAGGTACCTCTTTTAGCTCCCCTGCACTCCGGCCATGAGTGAGCTGTGTCGGCCACAGGGCGCCCCCTGTTCCATGGCGCCCTGTGCGGTCGCACAGCTCGCACACCCCTAAGGCCGGCCCTGGTCATGATCTCTACAGCCAGACTGCTTCATTAAACTAAATTTGTTTTGGTGACTGTGGCGGATCACCGCTGTATGACCGCTGTATCACCGCCAATAATCCTCTTTCCTGTAGTATTATAGCTCCTTCCAGTTAAAGTAGTGCTTATACCTGGTATAGTTTCTCCCATACATTAGCCGAGACTTAATGTTGAGTAGATCTGATTTTATTAGACACAGCATAGTCATTTATACACAGACCCCCAGCATGGGGTCCCTATTCAGTAACAAATAATCCTGACCTGGTGCCTCTGTGTCTGGGAGATAATTGTATTGCTGCTCGCTAAACCAATTATCTCCCAGAGTACAACACAAAAACACCCCAAAAACATAATAAAACCACACAGGAATATTATACATTCTCGGATAGTTCTGATCCAAGCTCCCATGTTGGCAAAATAGCGCCTGGATTCATGACGAAATATTCACATCGCCAATGGGGTAAAGTTTTGACCGACCGCACACAAGTTCCAGCCCAAAAAGTTACAGGGAAAAGGGATGCTTTTAGTTAGTTGGCCTGGAGGGAAAGGGGATGGGACCAGGGGTAGTAAAAATAGTCTCTTACGGGACAACATATGGAAAATCATCAAAACATTGATGGTGACTGGGTGGTTTGTCACAGTGACTATAGTGTCCCTTGAAGTGCTGCTATGAGCATTGGACTTTTGCCAGTGTTTGGCTCTAGCAGAGTGGCAGCCACACAAATACTAAATGTTCATTTATTTAGTTACTTTTTAAGCAGTCAGATTGCACACAGCATGCTTGAGGAGGGCTTGGGGCTTTTTAATGATGTTTAGAATTTGGACATTTTTCTTTGGTTTGGAATATTCGAGGCATGTGGCATGACATATTTTACTTTCCTGGCTAATCATGGCAGCATATACACATGGGTTAGCTCCTCCCCTACAGCCAATAGGACAGGAAAACCACCAAGGTTTTAAAAGGAGGCTCCATCCCTAAGGTCCTCAGTCTTTTTCCTGTCCTACAGCCCTTAGGACGTGAGCAATTTGCTCCCTTTACTTACGGACATGTATGTTGTTTTATCTTCATTACTTTATTTGCTGTTTTTTTTTTCAATTTGAAATTTTATTTTCATAAAGACAAGGAAATGGGGTACAGAAAAGAAGGGGAAACTTCAAATGTACATAGTGGGGTCGTACAATTGCTATACATTTTTCGATATACATTTGTAATTAAGGGGGGGAACAAATAGGAGGAAGGGGGTAGCTCCCTGACACATTGGCCTTCCTTATTTAGTATTACCCTGATGTCATGGTGTTACAGTAGATGATGCTCATGGGGGGGGTCTCTGTCGGATGGGGAGTTCGCTCATTTAGTGCGTGGATTGTCGTTATACTAAGTTTTGCGAGTATGGTTTATTTCGTTGTTGTTCGAGGTCCCTTGTCTCCAGGGGGGAAGGGTGTCATTGTGGGCAGGGTGCCTGCGGTATGTCGAGGGTGTAAGGTGAGAGTGGGGGGTCCCCGTGAATTGGGGGCGAGTAACAGGTGGAGGGGAGTAGCAGCGTGGTACCGGTTTGTGGCTGTTGGTGGGTCCTAGGATCGTGACCTCTATGTCACAGGGTGGGTTGGTAAGTGTGTAGGGTGGTCGGTGTTGGTTTTGAGGGTGGTGTCGTTTCGGTAGCCAGTGCTGTGGCCTCTTTGCGGGCTCGTTAATGACTGTGTTGGTGTTGTGTGAGCTGTTGTGTGTAGTTTCGCCATATTGCGGCGGTGTAGGGGCTCAGTTTCCCGATTTTTGCCTGCTTCCACATGATGAGTTCGTACTCCATTGCTTGTGTTACTTCTGTTACAACTTCTCGGATGGAGGGCAAGTCCGTTGTTTTCCATTTCCTGGCTATTAGTATTGACACCGTGCCCAGTATGATGTATATCAATTTCTTGATCGGTTTTGGAAAGTCGTCTGGGAGCAATCGGAGCAGGATTGTTTTAGGGTCGAGAGCTAAGTGGAGATTCGTGACACTTCTTACAAGTCGGACTGTAGCTTTCCAAAGATCTTGCACACTATCGCATGTCCACCACATATGCATCATAGTTCCTTTAGTTGCATGGCAACGCCAGCATAGGTCTGAAGTGTTGGGAAATATGGTGTGCAGACGGGTCGGTACCATGTACCATCGGTATAGGATTTTCCTGGATGCTTCCAGGTGTGCTGTACTTGTTGTGAGCCCTATATGAGAAGTGAAAATCTTTTCCCATTCGTTTGGGGATATTGTCACCTGGAGGTCTGTCTGCCAATCCTGCATAAACTTCCATGTGTCGCTGTTTTTAGGGTTGGCAAGGTGGTCGTAACAGATGGAAACTGTTTTCTTTGGAGGGTCTAGGGAGAGGCATTGTGCTTCAAATTTCGTTATGGACGATCTCAGTGAGTGTTCCATGTCTTTGATTACGTTGTGGGTTATTAGCGCTTTGATTTGTAGATAAGCAAATGTGTAGCTTGGAGGGAGGGCAAATTCTTTCTGCAGGTCTGGGAACGGTTTAAGACCTGCCTTGGTGCACAGTTGGTAGACATGTGTAATTCCTTTTTCTGCCCATTTATGATGTGGAAACAGGCCATTGCATTGGTACAGGGTCCGAATTGGAGTTGCCAGGGCCCACGGGTGTGCGGAGCACAGTTGGTCCCTGTAGGTGTCCCATATTGTGAGGAGGTGTTTGGTGGTGTTCAGCATGGTTGTAGGTTGCTGTCGCAGGTGCCGGGGTATCCAGAGCATTGTAGGCAGGTCCTGGTTCTTACTGTGCATATTCTCTACCTCTACCCATTGGGGGATGTACTTGGCCGAGTGAACACTAACTACATTCGCAAGGATGGCTGAGTGATAATACGCTTTGAGATTAGGGAGGCCCATGCCTCCATGTTTCGTATTTCTCAACAGAAGTGATTTGGGGACTCGGGGGTGTTTGCCGTCCCAGCTGAATCTGAGGAGGGTAGCCTGTAATTTTGTGAGGTAGCTTTGTGGGATCTTGATTTGTAGTGTCCGGAAGAGGTAGAGAATTTTAGGTAGAATTGTCATTTTCAGTGCTGCTATTCTTCCGACCCACGATAGGTACAGGCCCCTCCACGTTTGCAGCTGGGTGTCTATATCTTTGTGCAGCTTTACGTAGTTGGTAGGGAATAGTTCTTTTTCTCTGTGAGTTATCTTGATCCCTAGGTACACCAAGTAGTCTTCTCTCCAATCAAAGCAATGGCCGGATCTCAGGATTGTTTCTATGTGTTTTGGTGTGTTGAGGCACATTGCCTGTGTCTTAGCCACGTTGAGCTTGTAATAAGATTGTTGACTGTATGCATGTATTTCTTTGTGTAGGGAGGGGAGTGTTATAAGTGGTTGTGTGAGTGTGAGAAGAATGTCATCGGCAAATAGGCTTAGTTTATATTCTGTTTGGCCCACTAGTACCCCTCGGATGGAATCGTTGGATCGAATTGCTATTGCCAGGGGTTCTAAGGCTAACACATAAAGGAGAGGGGACAGTGGGCAACCTTGTCTGGTTCCGTTGGTAATGGGGAAGGCCTGTGAACTAAATCCTGAGGTGAGTACCGTCGCCCTGGGATCACTGTATAGGGCACTGACTGCAGAGAGGAAGGGTGCTGGGAATCCATAGGCTTGTAGGGTTTCCTGGAGGAATTTCCAGTTCAGGCGATCGAACGCCTTCTCGGCATCTAGGGATAGCATGACGCTCGTTTGTTTGGTGTTTTTCAATATGTTGTATATGTCTAGTACTTTCCTGGTGTTATCCGACCCTTGCCTTCCTGCTACAAATCCCACCTGGTCTGTATGAATTAGTGTTGGTAGTATGGACTTGAGTCGTTCTGCGTAGATTTTGGCATATAGCTTTGCGTCTGCATTCAGGAGAGAGATTGGCCTGAAGTTTTGGCATGTGGTCGCGGGTTTCCCCGGTTTGGGGATAGTGATAACATGTGCCGCTAAGAACTCGGTGGGGAAGGTTCCCAGTCGGGTGGCTTCATTGAAGAAGCGTGTGAGGTCTGGGGCAATTTCTGCCTTGAAGGCCATGTAATAAGCGTTAGTGTAGCCGTCCGGTCCTGGGGCTTTATTTTCGGCATTTTGTCTATTAGGGTGAGCACTTCGTCTGTGGTGATTGGTGCTGATAGTTGTGCTGCGTGCTGTTCAAGGAGTTTGGGGAGGGCAATCTGTGCCAGGTAGTTGCGAATTGATGTGGATGTAGGTTGGGCCAGGGAGTGCTGATCTTTCAGGTTGTATAAGGTGGTGTAATAATGTGCGAACTCATTGCAGATTTGTGCGGGTTGTATTATCTTAGTCCCGGTGTGTGAGTTTATGAATGGGATGCGGGCTTGTGCCTGCTTCATCCGGAGTCGCTGTGCCAATACTTTCGTTGCTTTGTTTCCCATTGAGTAGGAAGTTGCTTTGAGTTTTTTTAATGCTATGTTGGCTTTCTTGAGAAGAATTGCTTTAACTTCGTCTTGCGCTGTTTGCAATTTCTGTTGGAGGGTCTTGGAGGGGTGCAGTTGGTTTTCTCTATGGAGGTCTTGGATCCGTTTGAGAAGGTTCAGCAATGCAGTATGTGTTGTTTTCTTGAGGTAGGACGCTCGGCTGAGTAATAGCCCTCTGATGACCGGCTTGTGCGCGAGCCACAGTGTGGCGGGGTTGATCTCGCCGTTGCCATTGGTTTGAAAGTATTGTTGTATTTCTTCTCGTATTTTGTTGGTAAAGTCTGCGTCACTTAGCAAGTGTTCGTTCAGCCTCCAGGGGCTGCGATGTTGGTATTGGTAGGAATCGGCTAGGGTGAGAGACACTGGGTTGTGGTCTGAGATTGTAGAGGCGTCTATCTCACAGGATTTGATCTGTTGTAGTTGTGAGCTGTGCATTAGGTAGCCGTCTATGCGGGAATAAGTGTTGTGCACCTGTGAGTGATGGGTGTATTCCCTATCCATTGGGTGGAGGGTTCTCCAAGCGTCGTAAAGCCCATATGATGCTAGTGTTTTGTGCAGGGAGATGCAGTGTTTGCGTAGGGCCTTTTTCCTCTTGTGTGTGTGTGTGGCTGTGGAGTCTGCAACAGGGTCGAGGATATGGTTAAAGTCCCCACAGAGGACTAGGGTGCCCATCTGTATTTTCTCGATCTTATCTAGTAGCGTGGTCATATATTGGGGTTGGTTCTCGTTTGGGAAGTAGGAGTTAACTATTGTGTATGTGTTGTTGTTTAGCGTGCAGATGAGAATGATATACCTTCCTTGCGGATCTATCTGGATTGTTACTAGGTCAAAGGCCAAGGTGTGGCTCACCATGATCGACACTCCCCTGCTTTTAGATGGGGACGTGGCATGGTATTGGTAGGGAAAATGTTTAAGCCCAAGGATGGGTTTAGAGCCATGTTTGAAGTGGGTTTCTTGCAGGCATATGACGTCTGCTTGTGAAGTTCGGATCTCTTTGAGGAGATTGTATCTCTTATGGGGCGCGTTTAGGCCTCTCACATTATGGGTGTATATTTTCATTGTCGCGATCAGTGGTAGGTCACTTGGGTTGGTGCAGAGATGTAGGTTCTGAGTTGGGGGTCGGTGCTTTGTTTGTATCTCAGGAAGACCCTTCCGTATAATTTGTGAGGTCTAGGTTGGGTTGGGTGTCGGTACCAGGGGTGGGGGCTAACAGTAGGGGTAGGGTATTAATACCTGGGGGTGTATAGTTAAACAGTAAACTTTACAAAAAATTGGATGTACAAAGGGTACTTTCGGGGGTATGTGCCGGTATGGCACTTCTCAAACGGGGGTAGTGTAGTCGGGTCGAATCCAGCTGACAGCTAACTAGGGCCTATCTTGTGCAGGCCCCACCCGTAAATATGTTAGTTTAGCAAGTGTATGGGTGCGCTTGGTTCTCGCCCTGTCTTAGGTGGGTTGTTGGGTGAACGCCCCGGTACAGACATATAGGGTGGCGCATATGGCTTGAGTCGTAGTGGGCAACCCGGGGGGGTTTTGCTCATAGGGCCCTCTAATCTGCATGTCGTACCGGCATGGTGGTCTATCTGTCGGGGTGGGGGGCGGTACTTTGCTAACATTTTGGTGGTTTTGTCCCCGCCATTAGGGTTGCTGTGGGAGTAGTTGCGGCCTTTTTGAGTGTGTCTAGGCGCGTTCTGGGTGCGTCGGACAGGTGCATGGAAACAGTAAAACATAATCAAACATATATACAGGTTGCAGTTGTTACATCGCTTCCTCCATTCTGGCAAAGGTGGGCTATGAGAGATTGACACCACTTAATCTTACATGGTGATCCAGCAAGCTGAATCGCATGTAGTCTAATACAATCATATACTCGGGAGGGCTCTCTAAGGAAATAGAGAGGGAGTAGGCGTTAGGGAGATTAACATTGGGGCGTCAGCAGGCCTCTAAAGCCTTTAATCGGTGCACGAAAGCCCATACATTATGGACTACATACGTGGTCTCTAGGGGTCGTCTTAAGTCAAATGCCACGGGGAGGTTAAGTGTGGCTGATCCTGTGGATCATTAGTCTTGTCGCTTAGTTTGTATCTTACTCTGTTCCTGCAATATATAAGGAAAAACTTTTTTTTTTTTTTGTATATGTTTTACAGTAATTAGAGGTCGCCTGCAATTTGTCAACCCTTTTGGGATGTGGTTATTCTAGTCAGCAATTATTTTTAACATCAATCTATAGCTAAACATGTTTTAGGTTTTGAAGAAAGTAGAAAACACTTGCTATTCCAGGTATGGCTAGTGGTCATCGTCCCTGAAGGTAGTTCGCCGTTGTCGCTGAGGGCGGCCGTCGATATTCTGTGTCTTGCGCGGGCCTGGTGTTTGTAGATTTGGGGCTATGTCCCATTTGTGCAGCAGCTCCAGGCCTTCTTTCGGTGAGGCGGCTATGAGTTGCTTCCCTCCTTTGGTGATGAGGAGTTTCGCTGGGTAGCCCCATCTGTAGGGGATGCGGTGGTGTCTTAGAGCCTCTGCTACTGGTTTGAAGGATCTTCTCCGCCGGAGTGTCTCCGCCGACAGGTCCGTAAAGAGGAGGATAGGTTTAAATTTATCAGGCAGGTCTTTCCTAGTTCTATGTGCACGGAGGATTTGGTCTTTTGTGTGGTAATAGTGGAGCCGCATGAGCACGTCTCGTGGCACGGTTGGTGGTAAGTGTTGCGGTCTCGGGATTCTGTGGATGCGATCTAGTAAGAGCATGTCTGCGGGTATGTCTGGCAGGACCGCGCGGAACAGCTCCATGGTGAAGGCCGTTAGGTCCTGGGCTTCCACATCTTCTGGGACCCCTCTGAGCCTGATATTGTTGCGGCGAGACCTGTCTTCTGCATCTGTGATTTTGGTTTCATGCAGAGACAGTTTCCTTTCGATATCCTCTAGCCTGTCTTCGATAGCTGCATGGGCTGTGGCGTTTACTTCCATTTTTTCCTCTAGTTGGGAGGTTCGTGCGTCCAGGTCGGTGATCTCGTTATTAATTTTAGCCAGGGCCGATGTGAATGATGCCTGCATTTTCAGGACCGCTGCGTCTAACATCTTTTGTAGTAAATTCGGGGTCAGCGGGGTGTCCGCGCTTGCCTCGTGTGTGTCGGCAAAGTCCGCGTGGAGTTCAGCCTCGGCGCCATCTTGGGCCTGTATTTCAGCCTGCTTGAGGTGTGGAGTTCGGCAGCCTTCGTCCTTCGTGTCCACACATTTCTTTGCGCGGTGTTGGGACATCGTGACCCGGGTCTGGGAGTCGGGTGTGAGCCAGTAATAGTGGGTTTTAGCCGCGTTTAGGAGCCCTTAGCTACGGAGCTCTTTCAGTGTGCTGCCAGCTTCATTCGGCGTCCGGCCACGCCCCCCTTATTTGCTGTTTTACTGTAGTACATTATGCAGTTGTGCTTTTATGCTGTGATGCATTTAAGCTTTGATATCTTTAAACTAGTACATTATACAGCTGTACCTTATTTTTAAGATTGTTGTACATTATGCGGTTGTGCTTTTGCTAGGAAGCATTTAAGCTGTGTTGCATTTAAGCTGTGTGGCATTTAAAACTGTTTCATTTAAATTTGCATTTAATACTGTTGCATGTAATACCGCAAGTCATTGGAAACCGCAGTACATTTGGAAAACTGCAGTGCATTTGAAGACTGATATATTTGAAAAACTGTGTTATATTTTGGAAACTGTTAGATTTGAAAAAAAAAAAAAAAAAAAAAAATTTTAGGTCCCAGAACAAGAGCAGTTCCAGGGACAAGTTTCGCCTCTCTTCTGGTGCTAAGAGGAAAAGCACATGAAAGCCTACACTGGACTTAAGAGGGGCCAACAAGAGGCTGAATGTTAGAGTCTTCGGGATGGAGTCAATCAGATGCATATCTCAAGCAATCTGGAAGGATAATTTCCTTACCTCTATATATCTCAAGGATGCTTACTTTCAGTCCAATCTGCAGACATCTTCGGCATTAGCTCAGAAGAGAACTTCCATGTTAGTGCCCTACCATTTGGCCTTAATGCGGCCCCAAGGATCTTTCTATCTGCTTATAGTGTTATTGAGAGTCCAGAACTCCACCTGGTTCCATTATCTGGCGGATCTACTTCTGATAGCCTTAGACCCTCAGAAGGCAGGCACACATAGGTATATAGTTCTTTCATAACTCCTAAAGTTTGGCTGCTTGATGAATATCAAGAAAAGCAGCTTCAGACCAGCTCAGTGGTTGACATTCCTGAGTGGAAAATTCTAGGCTCTGCTTTTCCCTATCTCGGGAACAGTTCCACAGATTGTAAAGGTTTTCTCTCCCAGTTTCTTCATTTCTGCTTGGTAACAGCAAGAAAATAGAGGCAACTACTAGGAATCCTGGCTTCCACCAGCAGACTTGTCAGATGGGCCCAATGGCATCTCTGGATTCCTTACAGATCCTTCCTATCTTGGTCTAACAAGAGAAAGATTATTGGAGCCAGCCACTTACTATGTCCCCATCAGTGGAGTTGCACCTTACCCTGGCAGCTGAAAGAGGGATTAGATCTGAGTTTCCAGTGAACAGAACCTCATTGGTCAATTATTAGCTCGAATTCCAGTTTTTATAAGATTGGTTACACAGTGTTTGGACCATGTTGCACAATATTTCCATTCATTTGTATGGAATTAAGAGTCATTTTCAAGACTCTTCTTCACTTCAGAGGCTTGCTGAAGAACGAGTGGGTCCAAATTTGCTCAAATATCAATGCAACTGTATCCTATATCTACCAAGATGGGTCTCACAGATACGTATTGATGGAATTCCAGCCCATAATGATCAGGGCACAGAAGAGCAACCAGTGGCTCAGAATACCATGGCTGTTTGCTGGAGCCGAATAACTGTGGACAAGGTGTATTGGCAACCATGTCCTGACGTATCCTCATGGTTGACGCAGATTGTCTGATACCCTACATAGATCTTATGGCCATTTCTTGGAACTACCAGGTCCAGAAGTATTTTTTACATGCTAGGACCAGAATGCTCAGGTTCAGGATACACTGGCTCAAATTTAGAATTTTAGTCTGATGGACATATTTTCCTGTTTTCGACCTTAAAAAGGCAATGCAAAATGTGACAGTGGAAGACCGCGTTGACTCTAATTCCTATGATGAATAAGATGATTCTGGAACCTCCAAGGGAAGTTCCTGTACGTCCAGACCTATTACAAGGCCCCATGACACACCAGGATCCTCAAGTTCTGGTGTTGATGCGGGAGTCCATATTAGTATAGGCATCCCTGAGACGGTCATTGAGATCCTCTTACCAGGGCCGTCTTTAAGGAGGGGCAAAAGGGGCAGCTGCCCTGGGCCCAGTTACTCCTGGGGGCCCTAAGGCAGCTGCCCCATGGGCCCCCTGCAGCACCTGAGGTAATCAGGGGCCACAGCCCTTTAATACTGCTCTGGACCGGGCCCTTGTAATATGGGGGTTGGCTGAATACAAACACACAGCTAGCCCCTCACACACTGCCCTGTGATCCCTTTTCTTCTCCGTGGCATGCTGGGAGGCAGTGAGGTCAGATCACTTCCTCCTCAGTGCCGCTGGGGAGGAGGCACACACCACACGGAGGAGGATGCAAGCATTGTTGGGGAGAGGGACTGAGAAAGCTGATGGCAGACTCCCATCAGCCTGGGCCAACAAGCTCCCACTGGACCCCAGGGAAGCCACCTTTCTGTACCCAAAAGGTAAGGAGACAGGAGGGTGGCTAAATATGTTTTGTTTTTTTGTTTTGCTTATTTCTGATATCACTTTTATTCAAGTGTTGGTGTTTGTAATGTAACACACAGGGAATAAGTACATGTTAAAAATCCTAGAAGAACCTGACAGTTCCCTATTAAATATAAATTTTAAAAGTATTTATTTTAACATATTATTGCATCAAGTGTTATCAAAGGCTGTATACCATTTCCAAATGTCACTTTTGCCAAATTCTGGACCAGGGTATGTAAGAACAGAGTTGAGACATTATTATGGCCAAGGTTGCTGGGAGTTGCTGTCCAAGAGCTGCTAGAAGGCAGAGATTAAAATATGTAAATGTACACATATATGTGTGTGTGTATCTGGCTGTGTTTATGTCCTTGTGTGTATCTGGCTGTGTTTGTGTCAGTGTTTGTATCTGGCTGTGTTTGTCTGTGTGTCAGTGTTTCTGTGTGTATGTATACCTGTGTATGTGTACTTGTGTGTCAGTGTGTATGTGTACCTGTGTGTGTGTGTGTTTGTTTGTGTGTGTGTGTATGTATGTGTCAGTGTGTGTAAGTGTGCATCTGAGTGTGTGGTAATGCATACATCCCAGCATTTTAATGCCAACACAAATACACTCCATCTCTAGCACTGTACACATATACAGCCCTGCATTTATACCTTTATGTATGTGTGTATCTGAGTGTGTGTGTACATACCTGTGTCAGTGTGTGTGTGTGTGTGTACCTCTGTGTGTGGATGTGCCAGTGTGTGTGTGTATCAAAGTGCTTGATTGAAACACCAATACTACACACAAATGTACACAACACTACATCCAAACAACCCCCTGCATGCAAATACAAACATTACATACAAACACATTCCTCTATTAAAACGCTAAAATTATATACAAACGCCAACTCTACACACAAAAGTACACCTGCATTTAAAAGCCAACACTACAGACAATCACACATTACTGCATTCAAACGCAAACACTACACACAAGTACACCACTGCATTCCAATGGTAACAGTACATACAAATACACCCCTACATGCACACATACACTCTATACAATAACATGCTGACATTCAATTGCACAAACACTGCTCAAAAATACAACCCTGCAAGGATGGTAGATCCCCACCTGGCATAGCATCGCAGGAGTTGTATGACAGATGGGGATCTATCTTTTCTTTACTCTTGTGCTACAGGGCAGGCCTGAATTATTATTATTTTTTTTGCACCAAGGCACTCTCTACATTAGTTTCGCCTCTAGGTTGGGGTGGAGGGAGTGATTGCATGCCCAGGGGGCCCAAGCAGATGCTTGCCCAGGGTCCAATCAATATTAAAGACGGCCCTGCCTCTTACAATCCTATACAGGCTTTACTAAGCTTGACATGCTTTTGTCTGTTGGAATTACTCCTCGTTCAGGCCTTGAAAGGTTCTGTGTTATAACACTCTAGAGGAACACTTAGCTGCACTTTGCTTCATATAGGCATTGATTGAAATCATGCCTCCACTAAGTGTGGTGAAGCCAATATGTGACGTACCAATGGTCACACGGGCCCTGACTGAACCATTATTCGAACCTCTAGAAGGAGCTTCCATGGTGGTAGCACAGAAAGTGCTGGTGGCTGGTACCCCAGCAAGGAAAATGGGTGAACTCCAGGCTTGATCCTGTGAACCCCCTTTCACTACTTTTCAACAGGTATGGTCGTCTTGCATTTGGCACCTGAAGATCCTGCCTATGGTGAATGCTTATCTATGTCATTCTCTACCTGTACTGAAGGGTACCGATTGAGCATTGATGCCCCTAGTGCTTTGCTTCATGTAAGCAACAATTGAACTCAAGCCTCCGCTGAGGGTGTTGATACCAATATGTGACGTACCAATGGTCTCACAGACTCTGACTGAACGTCTAGCAGGAGCTTCCATGATGTTAGCCCAGACGTTGCTGTTGACTGGTACCTCAGCAGGGTGAATGTGTGCGCTTAGCTGCACTTTGCTTCATATAGGCATTGATTGAAATCATGCCTCCACTGAGTGTGGTGAAGCCAATATGTGACGTACCAGTGGTCTCACGGGCCCTGACTGAACCATTATTCGAACCTCTAGAAGGAGCTTTCATGGTGGTAGCACAGAAAGTGCTGGTGGCTGGTACCCCAGCAAGGGGAATGGGTGAACTCCAGGCTTGATCCTGTGTACCCCCATTCACTGAATTTCAACAGGATATGGTTGTCTTGCATGTAGCACCAGTGATCGTGCCTAAAGTCAGAGCCTTTCAATGCCGTTCTCTACCTGTAGCAAAGGATTTGGGGCATTCTCCACTAGTGCTGTTACAGCATCTCGTGGGCTTCCATGGCAATGGTCTCTGCTGAAGCTTTGTAAAGTTGGTATTTGGACCTCTTTGAACTAGTTTGTCCTGCATTACATATTGGACATTGAAGCAATTAATGAGGCACAATTTGGACGTCACGTCCGTTCTCTACCTGTGCTGGAGGGTATCAGGGCACTCTCCTCTCATGCTGTTGCAGCATCATGGGTTGCCATGGCAATGGTTTCTGCTGACACTTTTTGTAAGCTAGCATTTGAACCTCTTTAGACACGTTTGTCTGGCATTTCATACTGTTCGTTAAAACAGTCTATGATGCACAATTTGGTACTCAAGTACTTAACTCAGTTCATTCTTCTATCTATGTTGAAATATTCTGATAATTTGATTGGCTATTCTGTCCCTCCCTTTGTAAGCTTGGGTATTCCCCATGTGTATATGCTGCCATGATTAGCCAGGAAAGTGGAAAATGTATTCATACTTACCGTAATTTTCTTTTCCTGGCTATTATTCATGGCAGCATATACTTCCCACCCATTAATGTCTCTATTTATGTACTGTAGAGCTTGTAAACTGACTGAGGACCTTAGGGATGGAGCCTCCTTTTAAAACCTTGGTGGTTTTCCTGTCCTATCGGCTGTAGGGGAGGAGCTAACCCATGTGTATATGCTGCCATGAATAATAGCCAGGAAAAGAAAATTATGGTAAGTATGAATAAATTTTCCACTATATAATAATGGACTTCTATTTGTTTTGAAAATATTTTAGCACCTTTTAAATATTTGCTCATACCATTCACCTTTTGATTGCTAGTAAATCATAATACAAATTGTAGTGATAAAAAAAACTTTATTTGTATCTTGTCACTTTTCAACCTATGTTGTATATATTTTTTGTTCACTTATACTTGTTTGAAATTGTATACATTTTATGTTTACTGATACTTGTTTATACATTCTAAGTCCAGGCAGGGTAATAACTGCTGAGTAATGATTGTCTGAATTGTTAAACTTGATTAAAAAAATACATAATTATTTAATGAAAATGAAATGATTCTCAAATTAAGATAAATGGTTCCTTAAATGCTGGGTGAATCATTTATTGTTCTCAAAGGGGCACAATACTCTCCATTACAACTGCAGTTGTTGTTTTGGTGTCTCTAGCCTGTCCCTGCAGGCTTTTTAATGAAAACACAGTCTTTTCAGACAAAAGGCAGTGTTTTCATTGCTGCCTAGTAACACCTCTAGTGGCAGTCACTCAGACGGTGTTCTTGGTTCAGTTCTGCACAGTGTGCAGCACTGGTGTTCGGCATCCCCACGCTCTGCACGGAGACACTGAACATTCCTACTACATTTCCTCAACTACATTGATTTAATGCATCTCTATAAGAAGATGCTGATTGGCCACAGCGCGGCATTTTGCTGTGCATGTGCAATAGCCTCCCAATGCTTTCCAATGGGAAAGCATTGGATTGGCTGAGATTTTCAAATGTGCACCAGAGGCAATGTGAGGCAGGGCAAGCCATGGTGAGACTGGTGTAGCACATAAAAAAAAAGTTGCGTAAAATAACCTTTTTTAAAAAGGGTGCAAAGGTTGCTAAATACCGATTTTACCACTATTGTTTCAGGGATACATGTTTTTGTTCCTGACACTATAGTGTTCCTGTAACTACTCAAGATAAGTATATGTGAACTAATTATTTATGTTTTTAAGTAGATCATTAAAATGCTATTAATGCATCCAGTAAGCATTAGTTCTTTATTGCCGGCCAGCAGAATTAATTGAAAACTAAAGCAAAACAGAACTAGAGGACTATATTTCTATGTTTTGTGAATGTTCACAAAAATCGCATCTTTGAAAACAAGTTTTACAATAAGCTGACTCAACCACTATAGGAGACTTAGATCCACTTTATTAAAACAGGATCAATAGAGGATTGTGCAGAGTAAGATCTTACTGTGGCTGCTTACACAAAGTGAAGCTTGAATTATTTGTCTGAACATTAAATATTTTTCGTTTTTTTACAAAGCAGATTCTGCAGACTGTGCTCAGCTTCTCATTAGTTACGGTAAATTGTGTGACTCAAAAGCTGCAAAATCTTACTATGAAAGACATCACAGAACCCATGCTTAGATCACAAGGAATCATAAAGCGAGTGAAAACGATCCGTGTCCCGTCTTTCTGTCTGTTATTCTAACACCCACATATACAAACGAACGGCATATACAAAATGTACAAATAGTGCTATGTATGGGTTCTGGAGAGATCATAAATAATGAGACCTGAAATTAAGATGGTATAACACCCATTAACCTGTTTAGGTAAGTTTCTATTAATTACATTTTTAAAGTATTTTGGTATTCTGTAGTTTTGCTCCGTGACAGTTCCAGTGCCCATTGTGGATTGGAACACGTACACAGAACCATGCACACACAGCATTATAAGCACAGGTAGATACTCAGATACACACACACTCATATGCACACACCTGGCCACCCAGTATTTGTTTCCCTTTTGCCTTACATTTTGTGTTCCTGTGCTGCACTTTGATGTAGGAACTTTGAAATCATTATGTATCTCCCCACCAGAATAACATCCAGATTTTGTTATATATATTTAAAACTTAACATACTTTCTGCAAAATTTTGTCCTGATTCAAGGGATTCTATAGTTAGGAATATAAATCTGTATCTCAAAAACTGCAATTGGTTACATTGCAAGACTAAGGGGGACAGGGGCATTGCACCCAGTTCACTTCATTGAGCTGAAGTGGTCTGGGTGCCTATGCTGTCCCTTTAAAGGGACACTATAGTCACCATAACAACTACAGCGTATTGACTTTGTTCTGGTGAGTAGAATCATTACCTTCAGGCTTTTTGCTGTAAACACTGTCTTTTCAGAGAAAATGCAGTGTCTACATTACAGCCTAGTTATAACCTTACTGACCACTCCTTAGATGGCTGTTAGAGATCCTTCCTGGGTCATGGCTGCCTAAAATGCATCCAAACATTCAATATCTCCTCCCTCTGCATGCAGACACCAGGGCTGTGTTTGAATCATGCTGGCTCTGCCCCTGATCTGCCTCTTTGTCAGTCTCAGCCAATCATATGGGGAAGCACTGTGATTGGATCAGACTACCACTTCTGATGATGTCAGCGGACTGCTTGTTTTTTTTAGGCAAACAGCATGCAGAGTTACAGCATCTGGCTTGAATACAGTAAGATTTTGCTATATTTGTGGCGGCATGAGGGGCCCAGGAGGGCTAGATGGTGGTTTCAACACTATTGGGTCAGGAATACATGTTTGTGTTCCTGACGATATAGTGATCCTTTAAGTCTGCACTACTTTCACTTGAAATGTTGTGGCAAAGAGCTAAATAACTTGTATTTTTTTTTGTTGAAATCAAATTATCCTATTATACATGCTGTCTCTAGGCTTGTGCATTTTATTTTTTTCTTTCCGTCTTTTTGATACATATGTTTGTGATCACCTTATTATAGCATTTAATTTGTGTATTTTCACTTCCACTCATACCAATAACTAAGAGCCTTTAACATATGAACTAAATTGCATTTGTTGTCCTATCTACCCCCTTGTTGTTTTCATAAGAGGACAATTCCTTTCCAGGTTTACTTATCCCCTACATTTAACAGATGTGTGTCTGTGCTCTGAAAAAGTTAATGGAGAGATCCACACTGCTACATTTACCTCTATTCTGGAAGTTCCTCTATTCTGGCTCCTCCCTTTGCACCTGTCTGTCAGCTTAGAGAGAGGAAGAAAAATAAATACAATGTTTCTATTTCCTCCTCTTTCAGTGCAATGAGTGCCTTGACAGTGCCAGGATGGAACTCGATCGTGATATTGGTTTCTAAATCTTTAATATACGTTTTAAATAAAAAGGATCAGAAAAAAAGGCAAAAACACAACGTTTTAGGTGATTTTCAATAATTTATTCAGTATTGTATTTAAGTTATGGTATCATCATAAACCTTGTATTTAAATTTTTACATTATTAATAGATTTACTATTATGAATATATATATACATACACACACACACACACACACACACACACACAGAATGTATATTTAAAAAAACAAAAAACGAGCATCACATTCTCATTTTTGCTTTGTTTTCTGATGAAAGCAGGAACATAACACGGTTCACAGCAGGATATGATTGTGTGCGCGATATTATGCTTTGTAAAGCGTATTTAATTAAGAATATTTCAATATTTACCTTTTTGCCATGTGGCTGCTCAACCTGCATATATCATCAAGACTACAGTCACAACAGCATTTGCAGTGTGAACATCACATAACTCAGGGTTATTCACTGATCGGGAATTCAAAGTGAATTTAAAGGGAATTAAACATTTTAGACTGAAATGGCTGAACTGGAAGCAGAGCTGACCTTTTCTTCCAGTTCGTATATTTTGGCCTTAATACACTTTGAATTCTCAACAACTTTCACATTACTAAATTACAGACGCTCCTCACTTACCGATCGGGCTCCGTTCTTATGACCCAGTCATAAAACGAATTGGTCGGTAAGTGATAATGAGATACAGAGCAAGTGCACCAGTGCAGGTCTATGTTCAGGGAAATTTCCCCGAACATAGACAAACGCACCAGAGCAGGGAATCCCTCAAATCTTTGTTTGGGGAAATTTCTCCGGACATAGACAAACGCACCAGAGCAGGCAATCCCTCTTATTTATGTTCGGGGAATGTTCGAGGGATTTCCTGCACTTGTCTATATTCTTTTCTATGTAGAGACCAGCTCTCTAACGTGGGGAATCCCTCGAATCCCTGTGCTAGAGAGCTGGTCATAAGTCCGAGTCGTTGTTAAACAGGTCAGTCATAAAGTGAGGACTACCTGTACTCTGAATGTGTGAAATACTGGGTGTTTAAAATGAATTCATGGTAAACCTTAACTTTAGAAGGCAAGGAGAGAAAAAACATATTAAATCTCTGTTTACTGAGAAAGTACAATCATAGCACACGTATCTTTCATGTATATAATTATTAGAATGTTTGTTAAAGGTGTTAACAAGGAGGTTAAGAGGGTCACCGGTGACATGAGGCTCCTGAAATTACAAACCTATGTTTGGTTTGAGATAAACCTCTTAGGAAATGGTAGCCTTGATTTTGCTTCCTGTGTTTTAAAAAAACACTATGACACTATAATCACTTCATCTCATTAAGGTGCTTATGGTTCCTGTAGTCCCCTGTTGCCTTCCCTACATTCTCTTTCACACAGTTTGCAAACCATTAAACACACAAATGAGGTTCCCTGGCAATCTGCAGTCTGGTCTCTGATAGCTGTATGGCTCATTAAGATTAAACTCTGCCTTAACCCATACCAATTTATACCAGCATTGGATGACTGTGATAGGCTGAGAGTAGTCAGCTGACATTGTCAGCCAATCATTGCAGCAGCATTAGCCTGAGCTGCACAGAGGCTCCGTACGCTCCGGGTAACCATGATTTCTTGCTTGTTAAAAAAATGAGGGCCGGCACTAGTGAATTACAGGCACCATAACTACTTCAACAATATGAAGTGGCAATTTTGTTTAAAGCTTTTGTTGACAAAATTAAGTATATGTTTAGCTTGCCAAAGTTGAAAATCAAAGTTAAACAAACGCAGGAGGAACACATTCCATTTAATGACACAGTACAAATCATACTGTTCGTAAATAGATAGAGGAACTATTTAAAGATGACATTTCAAAAAGATAAATATTATCATTAGGAAAATACATTGTATTCTTTAAGCCATTCCAAAAGGATTCAGTATTAAAAAGGAAGAAATATCTCCCCTTCGCTTGTATAAACAAATGAAGAAAGACGTGATTAACGTAGAACGGTGAGATTGTATCTTTAGTTTGTCTCTTCTTTAGATAACTGCCTTTCTTGGTGATCCTACAATTAAATGGGATCCTAATAAGGAAAAGTTATTGAGAAAGCAAAGCAGAACAAAATACCCCAAGAACACAGAGTAATACCGTGAAGAAACGAGGAAAGACGTGGTGGAACCTGGCAGGCAATCTAAAACATAACTTACAAATCTTAGCAGTCTAGTAAATTTGCCCCGAGCTGTCCTAGTTCCCTTTGAGGATTCCAAGTAAGGGTCGAACATTTTGTACCATCTAAAATACTGGTAATAAATCTGAGACCATGCTAAAATATTCAGTGGTGCAACAGTGAAAATGTTTCATTTAATCTGAGCATGAAAATCGAAATAATCCTTCTCTGATAATAGAATTTGATATGTATGTGATAATGTTTGGAACAATCTGAAATAGAAGAAATTAAGGAACACTAACAGGGTTATTTACTAAAGAGAGAATTTAAAGGGAATTTCATATGTAATGCCAGAGTAGCCAGACTGAAAGCATAGCTTAGTAAAATAATTTTCCCAATTTGACAATTCTGACCTCAAATTCATATTGAATTCTCACCTTAGGTGTACTATAAATGCCAGGAATACAGCCTTGTATTGAATTCCTGGCACTATCGCTCCTTCTGCCTCAACCCTCTCCCTTTCCTCCTCCCTGCCCTCCCCGCGTCTGAGTGAATAAAGGGTTAAAAACCCTTTATTTACTTACCTTTTCCTTCGATGCTGGGACGACACTCCGCCCACTTTGACGGTGTGCACATTAGACCTCCCCATAGGGAAAGCATTGAATCAAAGCTATCCTATGGGGAAGAATCTGACACTGGATGTCCTCATGCAGAGCGTGAGGACGTCCAGTGTCAGATAATGGACCAATGGCCTGTTCACTTACTTTGAAATGTCACAGAATGAAGTTCATGCTACCCTGTACCTCTACAAATACACAAGGTGTTTGCTAAAACCCCTTTTCTTTAAACATCTACTTCACCGCTCTGTGTTTGTGTCTGTAGATTTATTCAGGAAACTTAACACTATGTAGTTCTTTTGGTGAGTTTAATATCTCCCTTCAGGCATTTTCATATAAACACTGCATTTTCAGAGAAAAGGCAGTGTTTACATTGCCCCTAGGGACACCTCCAAGTTGTCACTCAGCAGATGGCCACTGGAGGTGCTTCCTGGCTCAGTGCTGCACATTAAGCAGCCCTGCCGTTCAGCGTCCCCACGCTCTGCATGGAGATGCTGAATTTTCCTCATAGAGATGTATTGATTCAGTGCATCTCTATGAGGAGGTGCTGATTGGCGTTTGGCCCGTCCCATTGCAGATTTTAGCCAATTGGCAAAAAATCAGCAATTTTGATGATGTTACCAAGGGGGCAGAGCCATCGCTGACGGACCCATGGAGAGCTGAAAATAAGGTGAGTTTTAACCCATTCTGAGGGGGCCAAGTAGGGGTAAGCCACCTAAATAGGTGGTTTTCACTATAGGGTCAGAAATACATGTTTGTTTTCCTGACCCTATAGTGATCATTCAAGGACACATTGTTTTAATTAAACCTCTTGAAAACGGTCTGAACCAGAACAGGTATCTGGGGTCGGCTTCCTCGCCGAGAAACGAGCTATGAGATATAGTGGTTATGCTGTTCAGGCTGCCCTTTAAATGCCTTACAACAGCTCAAACCTGGGCTGTCCTTTTACGTTCACTGAATATATTCTACAAATGCCAGTGTTCAAAGAGCGTTTACTGGTTATATTGTGGAGCTATCGAAATACTCGCCTATGGTAGATGGACGTGAAATTTGGTTTACCTCTCCTTTTCTCTAGCAGGCTTATTATAATGTTGACATAAACATCATTTTTAAGAATTATTTTTTTGCGGTGTGTTGGTAGGTCGGCAAGTCTTGCCACAATATAAACACTGCTGTGGAATCATATTTTGTTTCAGGGCTCCTTGACATGGCTCACTATAAACTATATTTTACATGATCGGTTCTGACAGTCTTCCCATTGTCACAGAGAATACAGCGGAGAAAACCAGAGGAATCATTTTAATAGGAGGCCCTTATTTATTTGTTTTGATCAGTAGAAACATATCACAGCAGGATGTTGTTAGCATACCAGCTACAGCTAAGAGTATGTAATACTATTTAAACATTTAACTAAGAAGGATGCATTTAACTTTAAATATAATCATTTCGTTTACTTTGGAGGAGGAAAAACTGGGCTGATCTTGCCATGAATTAAACATGCACTGTTGAGTTACTTTAGCTGGACCATTAAAGGGTTATCTCAATGAAATGGTCTGGGTGCAATAGTACGGTTATTTTAGCCCTGCAGGATAAACACTGCAGTTTTGTAGATTGTCACCATTTGTTTTACAAATGCAAATGGTTTTATGAATTTTTCTGCAACTTTTTCCGACAGAAATGACGAGGAATTTTCTTAGCTCTTCTGAAATGGGCTTTTGTAGAACATGGCAGAGAATTGAGCCTACCCCTGTGCCTGGCTAGTATTATTATTTTTCAAGTACGATGTGTTCCTTTTAAATAAAAATAAAAATGTAAAAAGTGATTACTGCAGAGGAACAGTCTGCTCACCGCAAGAGACTTGAGAGGCATGATCTATACACAAACTGCTTCATTAAGCTAAAGTTGTTTTGGTGACCATAGTTTCCCTTTAAAGTTGTATGATTAGAATGCCTTATACCATAACGACAAGCACAAAAATGGCCTGCCTGGTTGACAATATCTTGATTTAAAGGGACTCTCCAGTGCCAGGAAAACATATCTCTCCCTCCCAGCCCCAATCCCATGTTGCTGAAGGGGTTAAAACGACTTCAGTGACTTACCTGAATACAGCGCTGATGTTCCTCGGCGCTTGGTCAGGCTGTGTCCACGTTCCTCCCACGCCGACATCGGCCGGTGGGGGAGACCTAATGCGCATGTGCGGCAATGGCTGTTCATTAGATCTCCCCATAGGAAAGCATTATTCACTGCTTTCGTATGAGGATTCTGGCGACGCTGGAGGTCCTCATGCATAGCGTGAGGATGTCCAGCGTAGTTTAAAACACTTCAAAGAACAGAGATGTCCCTCTAGTGGCTGCCTGATAGATAAAAGCATACGTTCCTTTTAGAAGTTGATATATATGCCACTGCAATTTAAAGACAATTCTTTTTGAGATGGCAATATAATAAGAATCATTAGCATTTTATTTTGGAAAATAGAGAAGGAGCTTTTATTAGATGCGTAATAGAAGGGAATAGGTGAAAAAAATAGGGAAATGGTAGGAGTAAGAGGAAATAGTAAATAACAACTATGTAAACTTTTTAGGATAAGGAATATACGCTAGGGTGGCTGGGGTTTAGAGTCTGTAATAGTGAGGGTCCATAGTGAAAAGTATTTATATTTGTTACTGAATGAAAGGGCAGGGGTGGGAGATATGGTTTTGTCAAAAAGGCAAGAGAATACACGTCTGAGGGGAGGAAGAGGCTAGATTAGCCAACATTATGACGATAAGATAAGTTACCATAGTCTGAAGCTAAGATGAAGGCCTGGAGGTGATCCAGAATATTGAAATAACTATCTAACAATGAATTTCTATGTGTAGGGGAATCCTGATTAAGCGTTGGGGTTTATAGAACATGCTTGAAGATATAAACAATATATGTTTCCTCACTGTCTGTGTATGTGCTTGGGAAATTCATGTAGCAGTTAAAGTTATAAAACAGCATCTTCAATTCTTTGGCAAGAGGCATTGCACTTACAAATAAATCCTGTGTGGTAGATGTCAAAGGGAACAGAAACAGCAATTTAAAAAAGGAAAGAAACAGACCTTTCTTTAACTTGTTACATTTTTTTTCCATTTTTTTTTTCCATAAGTTTTTTTTTTTTTTTTTTAGCTAGGATTAAAAAATAAAGTACTCTTTGTGTCACCATGGACTGACTTTCTATAAGTATAAATCAAAACACTATTATTCAGATGTATTCTACTGGTAAAATGCTGCTTCCCAGCTCTAGAACATCAGTAACTCATGAAATTGATCAGTTATGCCCAGGGCCGGTGCAAGGATTTTTGCCGCCCTAGGCAAAAGTAAAGTTTGACGCCCCCCTCCTCCCCCCCGTGACATCGCAATGCCCCACCCATATGACCTGCCATGTTAACTAACGCCAGTGCTGCAGTGCCGCTGTGTTTACAATAAAAGGCATGCAGGGACAGGCTATAGACACCAGGACCACTACATTAAGGTGCAGTGGTTCTGGGGACTATAGTGTTTCTTTAATGTGAGGTAAATTAGAGATTAGTGCCACAAATAATATACTAGATTACCTACTTACAAGCAGATGAGGATGATGATGGGCTCTAGCTGCAGTCTGGCTCCACTGGTCTGGTGTATAACAGGATCTCTGGAGGCTGTTTGTAACTGTGGTCACACAAATCAATGTTCTGGTAGAACGAGAAGCAGCTCCATTTTTTGGGGGCCCTTTACACAGCTCAAGGTCTGGGTCCCAGGGTCCACCTTCATTTTCCACCAATGAGTTTGTTCACAGGGGATGGAGTGTGTAGGGAATGTCCTGATTTGTGTGTAAGGAATGCATTTTGTGAATCTGTGTTTGTATGTGTAAGGGCTGCAAGGTGTGTTTCTGTGTATGTAAGGGATGAAGTGTGTGAGTCTGTAAGGGGTGCATTGAGTGTGTGTAAGGAATGCATTGTGTGTTTCTGTGTGTGCAAGGGATGCATTGTGTGTAAGGGTTGCATTGCGTGTGTGTGTGTAATGCATTGTGTGTGTAATGCATTGTGTGTTTTTCTGTGTGCAAGGGGTTCATTGTCTTTGTGTGTAAGGGGTGCATTGTGTGTGATTGTGTGTGTGTGTGTGATGGATGTCAATCTCTCCCCCCTCCCTTGTCACTCTCTTCTCCCCCTCCCTTGTTACTCTCATTCCCCCTCCCTCCCCTGTCACTCCCCCCTCCCTGTCAATTTCTCTCTCCCCGTCAATTCCCCTCCCTGTCAATGTCTCCCCCCGTTAGTTTCTTCCCCCCCCCACCTCCCTGTTAGTTTCTTTCTCCCCCCTCCCCTGTCAGTTTCTTTCTTCCCCCTCCCCTCCCCTCCCTGTTTCTTTCTTCCCCCTCCCTGTTTCTTTCTTCCCCCTCCTTCCCTGTTTCCTTCTCCCCCTCCCTCCCTCCCCTCCCTCTTTTCCCCTCCCTCGTTTCTTTTCTTTCCCCCTCCCTCATTTCCTTCTCCCACCCCTCCACTCCTTCCTGTTCCTTCTCCCCCCTCCTCCCTCTTTCTTCCCCTCCCTCCTGTTTCTTTCCCTCCCTCCCCTCCTGTTTCTTTCTTCCCCCCCTCCTTCCTGTTTCCTTCTCCCCTCCCTCCCCTCCCTCTTTTTCCCCCCCTCCTCTGCTTTCTTCCCCTCCTCCGTTTCTTCTCCCCCCTCCCTCCTTCCTGTTTCCTTCTCCCCCTCCTCCCTCTTTCAGCTCCCCCTCCCTCCCTGTTTCTTTCCCCTCCCTCCCTCCTGTTTCTTTCTTCCCCCTCCTCTGTTTCCTTCTCCCTCCTCCTGTTTCCTTCCTCCCCCTCCTCCCTGTTTCTTTCTTCTCCCCCTCCTCCTCTCTTTTCTTCTCCCCTCCCTCCCTCTCTTTTTTCTTCTCCCCTCCCTCCCTCCCTCTCTTTTTTTTTTCTTTCTTCTCCCCCCTTCCTCCCTCTTTCCTCCCCCTCCCCTACCTGTGTGGTAGTGTGGCCGAGCCCAGTATAGTCCGACCGGTACAGGGAGCTGTTGTTTCCTGTACCCGGCCGGACTAACAGGAAGTGAACACTCAGTGTTCACTTCCTGTTAGTCCGGCCGGGTACAGGAGACAGCTGCTCTCTGTACCGGTCGGACCATGCCATAGAGGGCTCGGCCACGCTACAGAGAGGGAGCTGACAGGTGGGAGCGCTGAGCGCTTCCCTCCTGTCAGCCTCTCCTCAGGCTGCGCCCGGGCGGTGCGGTCCGCCCTCATGGACGCACCGCCCGGGCAAAGCTGCAGCCGCCTGAGGCTCTCTACAGAGCGCTCGGGCGGCTGCAGCATGAGCGGGGCCGGCGCTCCTGGCGGCGCCCCCTCCCAAGGGGCGCCCTAGGTGGCTGCCTAGTCCGCCTTACAGGTAGCGCCGGCCCTGGTTATGCCCACAATACAGAGAAAATATTCTGTTGTAACAAGACGAGTGATTGACTAGCTTATAGGTAGGCAGCCTTCAGCACGCCAGATGTTGTGGACCACATCTCGCCTGATGCTTTGCCAGCATTATAAGTTTAAGAGCATTATGGGAGATATAGCCCGTAACATTTGGAGTCCCGTAGGCCGCCTACCCCTTAAAGGAACACTGTAAAAAAATATATATATATTACTTTTCAAGTACGATGTGTTCCTTAAAAGGGCTTCAACTCTTTTAAATGAAGAAAAAAATTTAATTTAAAAAGTGATTAAATGCACCTGCACAGTAACAGTCTCCTTGCGACAGCATTTTGTGTGATCAATACTGATGTGATCCAGTCAAATGGTTTTCTGCAATCTGAAGCATTGCCGACTTATAACGCATGTACAGCATGATCCACCTGTTCAGCACTGAAACCATTGCTAATCTAAGCATTCGTTGCATTCGCTGTCACAATGCTATACACATGATACTGAACGTGAAGACCTTTGGAAATCAAAGGTCGAAGAGCCACTAGAAGCGTGTTCTCAGACAAATGGAAGGATTCCCATAGCTCAGAAATGGCAAGGTTTTACATTGTCCAAAAAGAGGGACAGGGTCTTTGAGCTAAAATAACTTTATAAGGATATCGAAGTTTTGGTGCTTAGATCGTCCCTTTAATAGAATCAAAAGCATTGTTCTTTTTGATTGGAGTATTATTTACTCAGCTAATATTTTTAGGGTTATTTACTAAATTAATTTCAAACTTGCCTGGGTCCACCTCAGTCTGATACTCATTAAAGATATCGATAAAGTCAATATTTTTACAGCCATAAGAGCTATATCAATTGTGTGGTTTTTTTTAGCCAAAATTGGCTTGGCTTAGAATTGAACAATACCATGACATTCTTCAGCCAGTGAATTCCACCCAAATCTGGACAGAATTGATGTTGCTAAAATTAAAGGGAACTGATGCTTAAGTGATATCTATGAAGATGGGCCAGACTGTGGGTGGTCCAGGACCCAGGTAATCTTCACTCCATTCTAAAATGGTTTGACTCTTAACAGTGGGACTGAGTAAGGGGACACCTGGCACCATAACCACTAAAGAGCATTCTCGTGGAGCATGGCCCAATGTTTCCATGAGAATATTGCTCCTTAACTTAATTTAAAAATATATTTCTGCTCTAATTGATGTTGCTTTAACAAAAATGTAAAAAAAAAAAAAACACAAGTAGCACTTATTTTAATACAGCTCTGTAATATTAATTCTCTTCAACCCTTCAACCCTTTATGAGTCATCCTTATCATGCTGTTCGATGAAATGATAATTTTCTGTTTCTTAAATCCTTGTTAACAGTGTTCATACATACCACCCTGTGAGCGAGAAAACCAGAAGAATTCAGAAAATGTTCTTCACTGGCAGGAATACTGGAATAAAGAGATCGGGTTCCAACCTTTCACTTGCTATTTTAATCAACACAGAAGGTAATTTTTGTATTTTTTTTTTATTCTTTGATAAAGCAATTCATTTCTGATTTTCTGTGGATATTATTAATATTTCTATTTTTGTATTTTATTCTGTATACTTAAAATAAAGCCTCTTTTGGCATCTAAAGAAATCTAATTTTGAGAATTGGTGTATCAGTTCTTATCGAGTAACTTATTGGCATTGAGATCCCTAAATGAACTTGAACTTCATAAAATGTACCCTATCTGGTGAAATATTCTGGCTTTTATTATTTGTTTATTTTTATATTAAAGGAAATACAAACATGTATCCTGTTACACTATCTCTTTTGAAATATAAAAGATAAACCCCATTTCCTCCAACCCCCCCCCCCCTCACTAATTTAATGTGATGTGGAAAGTACACAATGTGAAGGTAAAAAATAAATGACCTAGACAGTCAATACTGTAGATCAATCATATAAAACTCAAACGCTAGCATGGGCCAAATAAAAAAGGTTTAAGTTTATGTGGGCCAACATAATAATAAAAAAAAAATACATTTTCATAGAAACTTAGTTTTATTTGGAAAAGTACAGTGGAAAAAAACAATGCTATCCCCCTCTTTAAACCCTAGCACCCTCCTCCACTAAACCCCAGTCCCCCCTCTATACTAAATCCTAGCAGCCCCCTCTATACTAAATCCCAGCACCACTCTCAACTAAACCCTGGCCCCTGTTTAAAAAAAAGCAAAAACATTTTTTAGCCAACATTTATACTCCACTCACATTGCCACTGCCAGTATGCGACTCCGGAGTCCAGCCCCAAGGTAAAAGTAAACCCCAATGGCGCTGTCCGCACCTTGTGTCAAAGTGGATCCTCCCACTACTCCTTGAAACCCTGTGAAGGTGGAGCACATTGACGTCACGTCTGAATGTGACCTGGCGTTGTGTGCCCCCGTGCACCTCCAGGTCCTCCACTGTCCAGCCACGGCCATCGCAATACTGACCAACACGCACTCACTGACAGACACACACACTCACTGATACACACGCACTCACTGACACACACACACACACACTTACTGACAGACACACACACACACGCACACACTGACAGACACACACACATTTACACATTCTTGCACACTCACAAATCAGTGTCTTGCTCCTTACCTTTGGGAGCTGGTGTGGAGCCTGTGACAGAACCATCTGTCTGCTTGGATTTTTACTACGTTCGTCTGTTTGTCCCCCGTTCGTATGAATGGCTGGTTTCTATAGCCCAGCCATTCGAATGACTCTTTTTCCCGAACAAACCTGCCGAACGAACGGCCACCCAAGTGAGGAGTGTGCTGCTGGTTAACGAAGTGATCCCAATTAGAACGTTGTGGTTAACCGCAGACACTTCTCAATTAAACCGAATTCAGGGTGGTCGTCGTTCGTATGTCGACCACGAGGCAGCGGCCATTTTAAATCAAGCGAACGCCCAGCGGTGTTTGGCTCTATTTCTATGGAACTGAAAACGGACACTTTTTCTGCCGAACACCGCTGAAACAACGGAACGCCTGGCTGCCTCCACGAAAGCATGCGAACACCGGCCGTTCGGGAGATTGAGAGCATACGAAAAGACTTAACCCAGATAGCCTTCCCATGGAGTCATTCGTATACCGAAAGACTGTAAGAACTTTGACTCCATGGCGATTGAACTATGTGTGTGGGATCTGAGCGCTATTCGCTAATAATATGCACTCAGATCCAGGCTATCTGGGGACATGTAATACGAATGGGAAATGTTCAGTTTTTATGTAGTTATATATTTTTATGTCTTTTATTATTTTATGTCTAAGATGGCGACTGGCTTTGTCCTGGAGTTAATTGAGTTACTTGGTAATTAACTCCAGGGCAGAGGGGAGGGAATCATAATGCACTGTGGGTAAAATCTGTGACTGTGTGTCTGGGATGTCCCCAGATCTGTCTGTAATTTAAGTCTCCCATTTGGTCCCCTAGGGGAGTGTCCACCAAGTGGGGGACCTGCATAAATACGGGCAGGTAGCCCACAGTAAAGCCGGATTATGTTTGACCCTCAATGCGGAGCTTCTGTCTCGTTATTGGGGAGATTTCTTCTTCACGTTTAGAGACTGCTGGATGGAACGAAAGCCGCTTGGGGAATATTGCTGTTCGACGGTTACCAGCAGTTCGTGTATTGCCGTTCGGGAGTTTGGAGCCGTTCACGGATCTCGATCGGGAGATTGTCGCTTCCCCTGCATTTGGTTCGTGTGTTACAGAGTAAGCGAACGGAGACTGTGCTGCAGCCGGGGAAGGTCTACTAAACGGCGGTTTGGCTTAAAGACACTAGAGGTGTCTTAACAGAGCCTATCCCTGGGGACTCCCTTCTTGCTCCTTACGTGCACAGTTTAGTGATGCTGGGCCGGAATGACGTCATATTCCGGCACCCGGCATCACTACAGACGGCGCACACGAGGGAGCAGTGAGGAGCAGGAAGACTGAGCTTCCTCACTGCATCCTCCTTCCTCTTCACCTGGCCGGGTAAATTTTAGCAGAGTAGGCACTTGCAATGTGGGGAGCAGATGCCTACTCTGCCTTAACATGTTAAACTCGCAGCTCGCTGGGCCGCAAATATATTCATTGTGCGCCGCATGCTGATCGCGGGCTGCAAGTTTGACATGCTTGTTGTTGATAAACCATAGGACTTCTCTAAGTCCTCAAAAGAAAAAAACAAGATATCTACAGTAGAAAAAAGGAACAAAATACTCATAGGGTAGTATGGGGCAAACACCAAAAAGTGTGAACACTATATATTGCACTCACAAACACAGATTGTAGGCATATGAAATGGTGTGGAGATCTTCAGCACAGATGGACAAACATATGGGAACAAAAAATGAATTCCGTTTGTAGCACATCAAACTTTTATTTAATCATATAAAAACATCAAATTAATTAAAAAGTATAAAATAAAAGTTCCCTTTTAGATGTCAAAACCCTCATTTAAAAGGGAACTTTCTTTTATACTTTATAATTTATTTGATGTTTTTATATGATTAAATAAAAGTTTGATGTGCTACAAACAGAATGAAGAGTGGTTATCTACAGGAAAGAGAACAAAGACCACAGCCCAGTGGAGAGATCATCTATTTGGTTTGATGTGCCTGTTATCGGCAGTGATCCTGTAAGTGTTACTTATATTAAAGCGCAGCTCTTCTGAAATTATACATTTCGCACTATTATTTCTTCATTTTCTGTTCCCAAATGTCTGTCCATCTGTGCTGAAGATTTCCACACCATTTAATATGCCTACAATCAATTTGTGTATATAGGGGGACTGAGGTTTAGCAATATATAGTGTTTACACTTTCTGGTGTTTGTACAATTCTGTAGATACTGTACTATCTATTTAGAGTCAGTCTTTGATCTCTCCTGTCAGCCTAGACCCATGGCCATCGCGGCCCACCTGGCATTTGCCCGGTTTGCCTGATGGCCAGTACGGGCCTGGTTACAGCTCAGTGCCAAACTGCATTTCCTCATAGAGATGCATTGACTACAGGGAGCGTGCAGCGTCTCCATGCAGACACTGAATGTCAGTCCTACAGTCCAAGTTGGACCACCTCCAGGAAGTCCTTTGAGTGACAGGTACTAGAGGTGGTGTTAGGCAGCAATGTAAAAGTCAGCATTCACACTGCTCAGCCTCCAGGGACAATCTCTGTGCCCCAGAAACAATACATTACGCTGTAGTGGTTCTTGTGCCTACAGCAAGCATGTCAATTTTGCAGGCCGCTTGCTGCCCACAATGGATATATTTGCGGCCCACCTGCCCCTGGGGCACTTCAGAAAAATGGCACTTCGGAAATTCAGCAATTTGGACATTCGGAAGCATCCGAATTGCCGAAATTCATCTGAATGTCTAGCCTTTCAGTTTGACATGCTTGGCCTACAGTGTCCCATTAATGAAAATAAGGAAAAATAGTTATATGCTTAACTTAATTGCATAAAGTTTTGTCAGGGTGGATTTTTTTATACCCTTTATTTTATGCATCATGCATTAAAAAAAAGAAATAAATCGAAATGCTCAACTCTAAATCTCTCAAACAGTTGTTCTTATAAATGTGGAACATCATCTTTGCATTTAACAGCAACTAAGAAATGGCTGACATCTGTTAGGTAACCCTGGATCTTCTATTTATTTAGAAAAGGGAATTATTAAGCGTGTGTACGTGTGGCTACACAACCATGATTTGTAATTATTAATAAAACAGAGTGCACAATTTCCTGCACAAGACAAAAAACAAACCCAAACCCAGCAGGCATCCACACCTGGGTGAGCAATATTCACCATAAATCATGTCATACATGACCATCTGATAATGAGCAACTGTCTACGTTTGGTGAGCCCTGCAAAATTATAGATTCTTTTACGTATTTAATGTCAAGTGGCAAGCATAAAATCATTTTTTCCTATAGTGCAGTAATTTGAATCTGCCACAAGGTCCTGGCCATCACCATATGCTTGCATTTTTATCTGAACAAGAATATATACACTAGATAAATGGTTTTCCTCCTCGAGTGTACATCATTGACCAATGCTTGTCCACATTGCTATGTATCAAGGACTATTCTTCTCCCTTGGTTTGCTTGGTACTTTGCTTTGAATTTTGTAACCCAGAATATGGTTTGTGTTAGAGATATTTCTACCAGCTCATCTGACATCTCTAGGGTTCTGTTGTATATTGGGCTGTCTTCAAATGCTACTTATCACAGAGTTTATTATGACAGTGTTTGGATATAGGTGGTAAAAGGCCAGGCAGTAGGGATGTGCATGATCCAAAAATTTGGTTCGGAAATTCAGGTAAGAGATTTTTTTTTTTAATTTCGGCAATTCAGGACTTCGGCACTTCGGTTCGGCACTTCTGAAATTCGTGAAGTCGGCAATTCGGGACTTCTGTTCGGTTTGGAACTTCGGCAATTCGGTACTTCGGTTCGGTTCAGGACTTGGGCAATTCGGGACTTCAGCAATTTGGAAAATCTGTAGGGCTCCCTAATTCTAACCCTACTCTACCTCTACCCCTAACCCTTCCCTAACCCTACCCCATCCCCAGGGGTCAAGTCCTGGGGAATAAAGTGTGGGAACTCTCCCAAGATCCCCCCTCCACCCCCCCAAAAAAATAATATACACTTGTATATATATATATATATATATATATATATATATGCATGCACACACACTGACACACACACATATATACACGCATGCACACACACACACATACACTCACAGACACACACACATACACTCAGACACACACACACAGACACTCACAGACACACAGACACACACAGACACTCACACACTCACAGACACACACACAGACATACACAGACACACATACACTAACAAATAATTTATTTTAAATTAGAAAATGTCCACCCAGTCCCCCTACCTGGAGAGCTGGCGTGGATCTGTCCCTGGGGTCCATTGGGGCTTCAGTGCGGGAGGGAGTTGTGTTCTCTCTGCTCCCCCTCGGCGTCTGGGCTGTCTGCTGATGCCGGGAGCCGGAATATGAAGTCATATTCCGGCTCCCGGCATTAGCAAATGGCGCGCGGCAAGAGGGAGCAGAGAGCTTCCTCGCCGCATGTGATATGGAGACAGATGCCTGCCGAGGTAAGGGGGTCCATCAGGTGACCTCTTGGGCCCCCATGACAGGTGGAACACGGGGGGCATTTGGGGGGGCATTTTTTGCCGCCCCCTGAGTACCTGCAGCAACAGCCTCACTCTCTTGTTTTGCCACTTTTCAGAAATCCGAAGCACTTCGGCACTTACGAATGTCCGAATTTCCTGTAATTCGTGCAAATTCACATTCAGACTGAAACAAATTGCACATATCTACCAGGCAGTGGGTAGGACTATATTTACTTTTCTTTCCTGCAGATTATATGCTTTTTATGTCGCGCAGTAAGCTAAGATAACCAGAGCATCCACGGAAAATTTCCCTGACCCATCTTTCTTGGAATCTGAAGATCTTCACACATGAAATTCACCCATACATGACAATTTCTGACATATATTCACGTAAAAGTCTTCATAAAGACTAACTACTTTTTAATTTATTTACGAATTTGTTCGTTTTTTGTTTTTTTTCTATGATGGAACCTGCTTAAAGAATGTTAGCTCGTTTGAGCAGGGTCCTCTCCAATCTATCGTTCCTGTAAGTTTTTTGTAATTGTCCTATTTATAGTTAGATTCCCCCCTCTCATAATATTGTAAAGTGCTACGGAATCTGTTGGCGCTATATAAATGGCAATAATATTAATAATATTAATAATATGCAGTCCATCTACTCTTAATTCTTAAATAGGAACATGTTACCCTGAGGAGGAGTATAGGCTTTTACAACCAATTAGAAGATATCCGTCATAATTTCTTCTGAGAACTCCCATCTCACTCTTTATGCGTATTTTCAATAACCTTTTTCACTCTGAAAGCAGCCTTTTCCCTGTTTTGTAAAGTGACCACAACAGCATTAATGGATTGTTTTGAACAAATTTACTACTTTAATCATTCCTTGACTTTTAGACTGTTAGTGATTATTTTACTTCTACTTGATAAATAGCCCTCTCCACTGCGGGATTAACAACAACTGGCATGATAAAGATGAGAATTGATTTATCCTGCTGGTTGGCGAATGGCTTCTTGCAATTAATGTTTCAAGAACCCAACAAGAATTATTATATATATAGCACGTGTTTTCTAATTTTAATTCTATAATTGTGTCATAAACCTGAAGAACATATTAAGTTCAATTCTGAATTGATTATGAAAAATAAGAACCTGATTTTTCAGGTTTGCCTTACTTCCCTGTCATGTCCTTCTTCTTTTTGAAAACACCAGGAGAGAAAGATCAATTAGTTGGTTATGGTTGCCACGTTCATGCCAATATCCGATGTGCTTTGCATGCCCAGTAGACAGGTTTTTGGATGGCACTGTGTCTACTAGACATGTGCAATTCGTTTCGGTCCGAATATTAATTCGGACGAATTTCGGGCAATTCGGACATTCGGGTACTTTGGAATGGCCGAAGTGCCGAATTGCCGAGGTCCCGAAGTTCAGAAATTACTGAATTTCCGAAGTGTCGAAGCTCCGAAGTGCTGAAGTGCCGAAGTTCCGAAGTTGCCGAAGTGTCAAAGTGCCGAAGTGCCAAAGCATAGTATTGTCTAAGTACTAATATACTTACCCAGTGAAAGAAGAAGAATGTAACATTCTATACAATTTTAAATAAAAAGTATACAAACATAACCAGGATTCAGCTGTAAGCATTTGCAACACTTACAACAATCAAGTAACATACATTCATATAAAATGTAAGTTACTTAGCCTGTCTATGTAATGACAGGAATGAATAAATAGATAACTCCCTAATTCCCACGGTATAAGGGAGCTATCTACTAAAAGGCTGAAAGACCTAAATTGGTCTTTCAGCCAAATTTACTAATACTAAGTAAAGATTACTTAGTAGTAGTAAATTATGCCCCTACTTGCTAAACCGCGAGTAGGGGCATGTCTATTAAACAGTGAGCAGCCTGTGGCAAAAAACCCCAAAAAGTCCTGCCTCCCCCTCCTAACCTGAAGGGGGGACCTATTGCCCCCCCCGGCCCCCACCCCTGAGCGTGGGAAAGTTCTTTGGAATTTTCCCACGCTGTGTAATTTGACTCATAACTCTCTGATTGGTGGATTAAGTAACCAATCAGAGAATTATGAGTCAAATTACAGAGCGTGGGAAAATTCCAAAGAACTTTCCCACGCTGTGTAAAATGACACAGAGCACTCTGATTGGTGGATTTCAAGCCAACCAATCAGAGTGCTGTGACAGGTAAATGTAGAGACTTACCTGTCAGTGCCTTCATTTACCTGTCAGAGCACTCTGATTGGATGGCTTAAACCCACCAATCAGAGTGCTCTGAGCCTAATTGCAGGGCGGGGCAAGGCTTTATAAGCCTTCCCCCTGCCTTGCAGAGCTCAGTCTGCGCAGAGCCCTTGCCGGGTGAAGATGGATTATTATTTTTTTGAGCTCTTTTTTAAAAAAAAATTTTTTTTTTAAATTGCGTCGGTTATTATGTTTTTTTATTTGGCCTTTTTTGGGGCTGAAAAAAAAGAAGATTTTCGAAGAATGAAAACATCGAATGGTAAGTTTTATTATTATTTTTTTTTTTACAGGTACTTAGTTAACCCCTTAAGGACAGAGCTTCAGAAGCTTGTCTTTCACTTAATGACAACAGCATTTTTTTCATTTTTTGCTGTTTGCGTTCAACTGCAATTTGCATTTTTACTAATTTATTGCACCGATACATATTACATATCGTTTTTTAAAGGACAGAAAGGGCTTTAATTTGATGTAACACACAGATATATAAATGCTTATTTATTATAAAAAATACAGAAAAACGCAAAAAAAAAGAAAAGTTTAGTTTTTATTTTTTTACAGTTTTTGCAATAATAATGTGTGCATAATTAGTGCAGGTTAAGGAAAGTAATTAAAAATAAATTCATTTAGTTGTTCTGATTTACAGAATATATAATGTGTCTGGGATTTTAAGGTTTTTTTTGGTAGTCACAGGTCACAAAGCACAAGGAGTAAAATAAACTTTTAATGTGGAGCGATTTTAGAATTTGGTATTAATAGCCATAAAAGAAAACAAACAAAATTGCCACACAAAAGTATATATTTATATAAAGTAGACATCACAGGCTATTTACGTAGGGTTGTTTTGACACTTTCTACGTAGCCATTTCACCGCCAACCTCTGCTAAATATTGGAGTAAAATTGTGTTTTTCTTAAAGTTGGTGTGTGCTATTCATGTACAAAGTTTTAGTTTGTGTTCAGTTACATCTGCTGAGTAAAATGACACCCCCATTGTATGTCTTTGGCACTATTTCGTGAAGCTACAGTGTCATTTGGAGACCTGTCCTTTTCAGTATTCACAGTAGTATTTTGAGAGACGGATTTAATGAGCCAATGCTTCCATTTGGGGTATTATATCAGTTTAACTGTTCAAAAAAAACCCACAAAGGCCTACCATTCGTAAAAGTAGACACTCCAGGGTATCTCATAAGGTGCATATTGTGCCTTAACATGCCCCCATTGTTTCACCAATATATGCTAAAGTATGTGATAAAAAATAATTTTGTGCGTTTTTTTCATATGGATTGCATTTTTGCTGGGCATTTTGTATATTTCACATGTGCCACTAAGTTCAAACCCCCCAAATTATGCTCGGCTAATTCCTCTGAGTAAAAAGACACCCCCATTGAATGTCTTTGGCACTATTTCGTGAAGCTACAGTGCCATATAGGAGACCAAGCCATATCAGTTTTTACCGAACTTTGAATTTTGACGCTGGGCCCATGTGCAATTTCCATCTTAGCAGGGTTTAAATTCAAACTACCCCACAAAGGCCTACCATTTCTTAAAGTAGACACCCCAGGGTATTTCAAAAGGTATATTTTGAACCTTAGTGTGGGATCATTTTTCCGCTAGCTTGTACCAAGTGTAGTGGTAATAAGTGTTTTTTCTGCCTTTTTGACACACAAAGTGAGTTTGCACAGTATATTTTGCAAACCTTATGTGTGCTACCAGTGTATAATACTTCATATGTTGCTCAGCTATGTTGGCTGAGTACAGCAATACCCCCGTATGTACCTTTGCCAGGTATATGTGGACATCGGAGGGGCACATTTGGGGCACAGCCATTCCAGTTTTGTTTTTCAAACTTTACATTTTTACGCTGTGCCCATGTCCCATTATAGAGTATTTTACCAGGCTATATAATCCAAATACCCCATAAAGCCATACCATTTCTTAAAGAAGACATCCTGGGGTATTTAAAAAGGCATATTTTGAACCTTAGCGTGGGATCAATTTTCCACTAGCTTGTACCAAGTGTAGTGGTAATAAGTGTTTTTTTTCTGCCTTTTTGACACACAAAGTGAGTTTGCACAGTATATTTTGCAAACCTTATGTGTGCTACCAGTGTATAATACTTCATATGTTGCTCAGCTATGTCGGCTGAGTACAGCAATACCACCGTATGTACCTTTGCCAGGTATATGTGGATGTTGAAGGGGCGCATTTGAGATGCAGTCATTCAGTTTTTTTCTAACTTTAAAGTTTTACGCTGTGTCCATGTTCCAATTTGGAGTAGGATCCCCCCCTATTGGTATTTAGGGCCCACACCCACCGCTCAGGGGTGGGGACCAGGGGCGAGGACCTTAGGTCCCCCCCTTTTTAATATTTAGGGCCTCCACCCTCCTGCTCAAGAGTGGGCACCTGGGGGGAGGACATTAGTTCCCCCCCCTTATTCCAATTTAGGGCCCCCACCCGCCGCTCAGGGGTGGGGGCCGGGGGGAGGACATTAGTTCCCCCCCTTATTAGTATTTAGGGCCCCCACCCGCCGCTCAGGGGCAGGGGCCAGGGGGGAGGACATTAGGTCCCCCTCCTTATTCCAATTTAGGGCCCCCACCCGCCGCTCAGGGGTGGGGGCCAGGGTGGAGGACATTAGGTCCCTCCCCTTATTAGTATTTAGGGCCCCCACCCACCATTTAGGGGTGGGGGCCGGGGGGGAGGACAATAGGTCCCCCCCAACATTTTACTTTAGGGCCCCCACCCGTCGCTCAGGGCAGATCAGTGCTGCTCACTGTTTACTAGACATGCCCCTACTCGCGGTATAGCGAGTAGGGGCAAAATTTACTAATACTAAGTAATTTTTACTTAGTATTAGTAAATTTGGCTGAAAGACCAATTTAGGTCTTTCAGCCTTTTGGTAGATAACTCCCTAATACCGTGGGAATTAGGGAGTTATCTACTAAGTGGCTGCAATAGAAGTCCCGAAGTGCTGAAGTCCCGAATTTCCGAAGTACCAAATTTCCGAAGTGTTGAAGTGCCGAAGTCCCGAATTGCGAAAATCCAGAATTTCGGAATGCCAAACCGAACCGAAAATTTGCCCCATGCACATGCCTAGTGTCTACTCAGCTGCAGGTGCCTGGCTGGCCAACATTCCTCCACATTAGGACATACCAGCTATCGTCATTATTAAAATATACCTCATTCTGTATGGTTACCCTTGTGATCCTGTAGAGGTAGAAGGAGATAGAGTCACTGCTAATGAATTGGGAAAATTCAATAATAAAGTTCCAATAAACATAGAATGTGATATGACGACAGAAACATTCGGCCCATCTAGTCTGCCCAATTTTCTAAATACTTTCATTACTCCCTGGCCTTATCTTATAGTTAGGATAGCCTTATGCCTATCCCACGCATGCTTAAACTCCTTTACTGTGTTAACCTCTACCACTTCAGCTGGAAGGCTATTCCATGCATCCACTACCCTCTCAGTAAAGAAATACTTCCGAATATTATTTTTAAAGCTTTGCCCCTCTAATTTAAGACTATGTCCTCTTGTTGCGGTAGTTTTTCTTATTTTAAATATAGTCTCCTCCTTTACTGTGTTGAATAAATTAAAATTGGGTAAACTGGAGGAATTATTATGCCTGAAAAGCAGTCAGTACATGGCATTGTTTTTTTATACTATGATTGTGTCTTGACTGTTTAACTCATGTTTCAAATAAAGGTTATTTTTTACACTAAATGAACTCCCATAACAACTTCCTCTCAATTAAGTCATTAATTGCAGTCCCTTGGCATCCTCTTACCTTACAAGGTTTAACAGTTTTAGTCCAACGATGCCTCCTCTGCCCTCCTCCCGGTCGCTGAACTGATCCAAAAGGTTTGCCTGAGGTGCCTGTAGCCACTCATTACATATAACAGTATATATAGTTACTCAAATCTGATACACACTGACACAATACACGTATATACTAACCCGTACAGACACATATTCACACATACATATATTTAATAACTATAATATCCCTTTTCTCTTCCCTGATACATCTTTTACTCAGTGAGAAAGTCTTTGTTCTCCTTTGGTGTGCACCTGTACATATACGACCAATGCAGGCCAGGTTATGGCATCACATCCAGGCACCTGCCTTCTGTCCTAGTAATAGCTTGTGTTTACTATTGTACTTACTGACAGTAACTCTGCAAAGTTGCATTGAAGTATCTGGTTGCTATTAATGCTCTTTCCAGTACCCATAAATGCCGGTGTGATAGCCACTCATTTGCATCGCTCACACCTGTGAAATTCTCCAAAGTGCAGTACCTGGGGTGAATGCCCTGCTCACCACTTCCAAAATACAGGTACATCTGATCTGAATGCAGGCTCACGGTATATTTTTACAATAGTCGTTCCTCTACATATTCTTGTGATTTATTTTCTATCCTTATTTCCCAAATCATGGTGAAATGAAACAAAAGAACAAAGACAGTAATACGCCTGTGAAAATATATGGATTTATTAAATGCTCTGCTGCTGTTTTACAGACTATACTAAAAATTCTATCTCACTTAATTGTATTGAACACATGTATAGCACGCGTTTTATCTTACACTATATTGCTTCAGCTGTGAAATAAAAATAACTGCAGACAATAACGGTGCGTTTTCATCTCTTCATCCTTGATTTCAGAGAATGGACACAAAAGATGTAAATCTGTTAGCGGAATTTGATATTGCCTTCAAAGCCTTCTTTTTTTTCTTCTGAAATGAAAACAGATGTGACCTTTTCGGCTTCTGACTTACTTTCTAAATCTAACTGAATATGAGAAGAGAACTTTTACGTTTGAGATTTAATTGCTAGAGGGAAATGGAGTGGTGAAAAACAAAATAGATTCCTATGGTGCTGCTTTTTCATTCTACGTTTGTGTTTCTTTGCCTGTGTAGATGAACTCATGGAAACACAAGTTAATGGTCGTTCACCACGGCATGGTTGACTCGTCTTTTGTTTTGTGTATGGTTTAGATGTCCATTACTGTCGTTATTCCTTTTGGACATCTGACACAACTGCATTACGTTTTTATAAAATGGGTGTTTGAAAACCACCAATCTCGTTAAAGCTTTAAACTTGTCATTACAAACAGCAAGCAGTATATACTGCAACCTGTTTTAACTGATATATTTAGATCTTTAGCAGTTTAAATGTGCTATTTTACAAACAAATATGTTTTAAAAAAAATTAGCGAAAAGACATGTTATACAACTTTTTGGGTCTCCATTTTCCTAAAGGACCCTCAAGATTGGGGTGGTCTACTCAAGATCACTCAGATTTAGTGTGGCGTCAATAAAAATGATTTAAACAAACATATATTGAAATCATTAGTTTGTAAATATTTAATAAATGACAATAATAAACAATACAATTCTCATATTAAAACTTACCTATGAATGTCATCTCATTCACCTGTCTTTGCTGATCTCCTGTACAACTTCTGAAAACAATGGGAGAAGCCACTCACCCAGTACCACTCACACCCTCACTTACTCAACACCGCTCAGATCCTCACTTACCCAATACCACTCATACTGTAGTTAGGATTGCAAGTTTTTCTCTAATCAGTCTTTAAATTATAACACTGATTAATCAACATAATCAGACATTTAATCATAAAAAAAAGTAAAAATTATCTTGATATACTTGGGCAGTATCTATTGGTGTTTTTTGTAAAGACTTAATTTTAGTGAATTGAAAATCAAACTCCAGTATGAAATATTCAAGCTGTGACTATAGCCGTGTTGGTGATTTTTTTCTGCATAAACTGCTTTAGACTGAATTTTGTTCAGGTTAATATTTCGGTACATTTCACTATAATTCCGCACGCACGCACGCACGCACGCACGCACGCACACACACACAGACACTGCTGCTAATACAAATGTGATGGAAAGGTCTATGACACAATTGCTGTGGAGCTGAATTGTTACTTCTTTGTGACATGTTTAAATGCGGACCATTTGTGAATCTCCCTCTTTGGTTTTCCTTCCAAGACATTTTTTTATATTATTTAAATGCAACTTAAATAGTGTTCTGATGGTTCCTTAATATTTTCCATAAGGTCATTCACATCATGTATCATATGCCACTGCAGTGCAGTCTCGGTATCATTGCCACCTAACCATTGAAGAAGCTGACTGTAGGCTAAATCCAAACCATTTATAAAAAGATACTGTTAGAAGAAGATAGGATTGATTCAACCCCATCCGATCATCACTAACAATGACACAGCCATAGAACTGAGTAGCCAAAACAAAATATATATATATATACTTACATAGTGAAATAAATATAAATTGCTGAAACCATTAATAATCCACGTTTTATACCTTCCTGTTCTAAATCAGTTTAAGATAGTAGCAGTATGCCAGCAGCAAATTATTTATTGCAGATCAAGGACGGGTACACGTGCAATGCTTGGCAGTAATCAGCTTCTGTGCATTGGCATGGAACAGTTAATGTACTTACCTACACTAAGCAACAACGAGCCAACAAACTCATTTCAAATGAAATATTTTCCTAAAGAAATCTGATTTTCTTATCAATGCAAGTAATAGAAACCATTCCAAACCCCTAAAGTCGTGGCGATTGCTGAAGTAGTTTATTGTTAATATTGTCTCCCCCTCTGTCTTAATTCATAAAAGTGGGGGTTTCAAGAAAAACTTGCATTTTTATAAAGCTGGCAGTGGGGCACACACTTTGATGTCAGGGTGCCAGGAGGGTTCTCTCCCTCACATACATTGCCCACATGCATAGTGCTGACAAAGCTCATATTAAAGGAAATACCCCAAATTAGTGTGTTAAATAATGCATTTGAACTGCACTTAAAGGGGTACTCCAACTACCAAAACCGCTACAGCCTTCTATAATGGTTATGATGGTAGGATTACCCTGTCACTGTTCACCTGTAGTGGAGCAAATTATTTTACTGTGGTTTGCCCTCTTACCGGTCTCCTCTGCAGCAGGCTTATGATTTCTGGATTCTATATAACAGAAGCTGGATGCCGATCCTCTCATTCGTTGGCTGAGAGAACCAATTGATTGCTCTCAACCAATAGCTGCCCCCATGCATAACAATATGCACAGAATTGACATTAGCCAGGCTTCCTAATGATACCCCAATGACTCTACCCGAGATGGAGCTACACTGACAGCAGTGAATGGGGTTAAGCTCAATATTTTCAGCGTTTCCTAACAAAACGCTGCACATACATACTTCAGGCATCAAAACCACTTCAAAACACTGAAGTGGTGATGGTGCTCGGAGTAACCCCTTTAGGATTGGGGTCCAGAGTCATGACTTTTGTGCTGAATTTATATCAGTCTTGACATCATATGTGACATTGTTTTTAGAACAGAAAAGGTGGATTTATTGAGCAAAGCTAATTACTGTTAAAACGCTAAACATGATTAATAATAAAACACCCAGGATAATGCTGTAAATCACCCTACACTTTCCACCAAACACGTGTTAGTGTCTGGAGTACCCCTTTAACCCGTTAAGGACACATGACATGTGTGACATGTCATGATTCCCTTTTATTCCAGAAGTTTGGTCCTTAAGGGGTTAATTGCTTGAGATATTTTTCCACTCGGATGGGACAATCTGTGACCGTGGTTTTCCTGTGGGCCAGCACTGGCCGGTGGTATAAGAAAGGCTGATTGATATGATTGATTTTCCTTGCAGCCGTCTCCTCCTGTTTATAAATGGGCCAGTGACCACAAGGGAGGCAACCAGGTTTTTATAGAATTTCTGGCCTATTTCTCCTTGTAGAGAAATTTGTTTCTCAGGAAAGTGCAGATGGAGTTGAGAAAGAAAGGGTTAATGTAACAGTATCACCCACTATCCTTTTGCATAATAAAGAGCAGATAATATATCACATGGGAACTGATTTTGCAGATGCCTTTCCACAATCGAAAATCTGGTACTTCCCGTCATCTAATAAACCCTCCAGAGCCTTAACAAAGATACGTTGTGCGTTTAAAAAATGTTTTTATTATTAACATTTATATAGCGTCTGCATATTATAAAACGCATTTCAGTTATAGAAAGGGGATATTTAGAGGTGAAGAAAGCCCTGTTCAAATAAGCTTACAATCTATGAAGATTTGAGCTAGATGAATATAGAAATATATATATTTGACTGAGATCATCTGACCAGTTCTAGAGCAGTGATAAGTACTTAAACCTTATCCTTTAAAGGGACACTATAGTTACCTGAACAACTTTAGCTTAATGAAGCAGTTTTGGTGTATAGAACATGCCCCTGCAGCCTCACTGCTCAATCCTCTGCCATTTAGGAGTTAAATCCCTTTGTTTATGAACCCTAGTCACACCTCCCTGCATGTGACTTGCACAGCCTTCCATAAACACTTCCTGTAAAGAGAGCCCTATTTAGGCTTTCTTTATTGCAAGTTCTGTTTAATTAAGATTTTCTTATCCCCTGCTATGTTAATAGCTTGCTAGACCCTGCAAGATCCTCCTGTATGTGATTAAAGTTCAATTTAGTGATTAAGATACAATTATTTAAGGTAAATTACATCTGTTTGAAAGTGAAACCAGTTTTTTTTTTCATGCAAGGCTCTGTCAATCAGAGCCAGTGGAGGTGTGGCTAGGTCTGCATAAACAGAAACAAAGTGATTTAACTCCTAAATGACAGTGAATTAAGCAGTGAAATTGCAGGGGAATGATCTATATACTAAAACTGCTTTATTTAGCTAAAGTAATTTAGGTGACTATAGTGTTCCTTTAATTTGGTATTCATGTGCATTTACGGATGAATGATCAACCAACAATTTTCTAATCAAGATAAAGTTTTAAAGCAAATATTTACATACTTTCAGCACTGCTCATTGTTTTTACCCATTATGACTCACAGCGTCGCTTTTCAAACCAAGCAGATTGAACGGAAGAACAAAAAGAGATTCAAATATTGTCCAAAGTCCCTTTCCAGGCTTCCCCAAACTCTGGCCCTCCATATATTGCTTAACTACAACTCCCATGATTCTCAGCCTATCTATTTCATTCATAGAATCATGAGAGTTGTAGTTCAGCAACATCTGGAGGGCCGGAGTTTGGGGAAGCCTGCGACAGTTCGAAGTCAGGGCATTATCTGTGCTGGTGTTTGACCACCGGCAAATGGAATGCAAGAAGCAGTGTTTTCTCCTTTTCCAAATCACATCTTGTCCAAAGTTCCAGTAGACTTTTCTAGCTTAGATTTTCTTATTTTCTAGAACTGAATGGATTGGGACAAAGCAGTGAAAAGGGACTTTGTTTTTTTTTGTTTTTTCAGTTCCAGTCGATCGTTCTAGTGTGGACTTATCTTATTTCTTTCCAGAACACCAAAATTGGATTAGGATAATGCAATGAATAGAGATTTTGTTTAGTTTTTGCCTTTCTGTTTGAAGAGTCTGTTGGATATACTCAGCACCTGCTGAAGATAACACGATTGGCCTAGCGAAATATAAATATAAATATATGTATAGAAAAGTATGTATAAAAAGTCACAGGAGATAAATACGTAACCATAACAACAGACAGAAGTGTGATCTTATGGGAAGATACATTTAGGGGTTCAGTGCTCAGTGTTGGTCCTAATAAGCAAGTCTAATTTCAGTTGTCTTTTACAGAATTGGTACTAAGTGATGGGTAGAGACAAACTTGTGAGAGGGACTACTGGGAAGAAATGTGGAAGAAATATGTTCATAACAAACTTTGTGTTGCTACTCTGACATGTCTACTACATTCCCAATGTGAGAGCCAAACATGTACTGCATCATTTCTATTCTTTTTAGTTAAAATTTAATTGGATTTCCCCCCCTGTTATTGCTCTACAGCTGCAATAATATTATTACAGTTACACTCCAATGCCAAAATACTAAATTAATAAAAATCACTTTTAGTAGATATAACCTAAATGAAAACTTGCATGCATCTAGTTATGTATTTTTTTATTTATTGGAATTACATCTAAAATAAGCTTGTAAAAACTGCAGTTCTCTTGTCTGTTGTCTTTGCAAGCTCTCCACTTCTAACCCTCCCAGAATTTCAGTGGCTGTCCAATTACAGACTTTCCAATACAGCTGAGTAAGAAGTCTTTGTAAGTCAGGTGCCTCGCGGCGATTGCTGCCTCTTGATGTCAGCTGCGTTAAGCTAACGAAACCAGGAAGTAACATGACCCGTTATCTGCTTGAAAGCCAAGGGGTGTAACCAGGATAATTCATAAAAGTGTAAATTTCTGTGGAAATCTGCATTTTTGCAAAATGGAAAAAAAAGGACACCCTTTGTATTTACACTATTTTTACTGCGCTCTCTTGTCTGTACATTTCATTAAACTAGGAATGTTTTGTTAATTGTGGCCACAAGCAGTTTTTAAGCTTTGCTAAAGCCGCACTCACTGCATTCATTACATTTTTTTTTCTCGTTTTTTCACGTTTCATACATCTCTGCCATATTTGTATATGTTTTCACACTATCAATATTTAATCTGCATAAAATAAACTACTTGGTATAAATCAATCTGAACATTAAGGGGTCCTCTGCCAAGAAATGAATGTTTCACAGTTCATTAGTAACTTTTCTATGTGATTTTCCATTGATTGACATCAATGTCAATCCATTTTATATATTCTTGTCTAGCAGTTGTTTTATACTTCGCTAATAAAAAAAAAGACAAATTAAAATGGCTGACACCTGTCAGTGATTTACTGTGGAATCTCTATGACGTTACCCAATTAATCAATTACTATTCCCACACACCCATTAAAATGGAGAATACACGAAAACTTACCTGCATATGTGGTGTGGCCATCCTAAACTACATGGTTCAGGGACCTGGTGGCGGGAGTCTTGCCGAGACCAGTGGAATTGAAACCGCGGACCTACTTACTATTATACAGACAGTATTAATTGGCCGAGGGTTTCAGCTAACACTGGAATACAAATTTCTAAAATGTAAATATTAGTTAAAGGATCACTAAAGGAACCCAGACCACCTGGGGTGCAGCAGCGTTTTAGTTTAGTAGATATGGCATGTTATGTTATGATTGGCGAGCACAGTGATTTGCTGCACATGTAAACCAGCCTTCTAATGCTTCCTTGTTGGTTGGATTGAATTGGCTGAGATCATGAATTTTGATGATCTCAGCCAGGGAGGTAAGGCACCACGTGAGAGAGGTAGGCACACTCCAAAATAGGTAGGATAAAACTATAGTGTTTATCTATGAGATTGTACTTCTAAAACAAAGTACATAATTATCTTATATTTTGCAATAAATATTGAGATTTTAGAAATGTGCAATGTGACTACCAATGATTGAGGGTCACCCAGATTTAGTGAAGTGGTCAAATGTGTGCAGCAGAAAACTAATCAATATTCAACAAATTAATCTTGATTATCCTAGATTATGTATAAAACACAGGGTCTGAAAATAGCCTAAGAAGTTGTGCAGTAACAGAAATACTCAGCTGAAGTACCTGCAGGATGTTACAATTGTAGGCAAGCGGTGGGATCACTTCTTGGCTATGAAGCACATCCTAACTACCATGGACATGGAATAAACTGTGAGCAATACACCAGCTTGAAGAGGGGTACCCTAGAAGGCTTGATGGAAGCTTATTGTTTTGTAGCCCGCAATCTGACCAAAAAAGGCTTAATCGAGATACTCATGGAGGGCGACCAAATTTGATTGGCTGATGAAACAGTGGCTGTGCTACTATGGCTCAAATCTCTCCGAAGCAGCCACCGGAGAGGTCATGGCAGATGTCTTAAGGACCCTGGAGCAGCAGTCGGAGAGAGGTGAGAGAAACCCCTCATGGTGCGTGGAGACATCTCGACAGACTGAATTTGAGGAGAGAAACCGACTGCCTTGCTTACATTGCATTTAAGACTTTCAATGATGTGGAGCGAGATATCGATGGACATCTATGTGATCATAAGACTAAATGTGGGTTACAACAGTTGCCGAAAGAGGATTGGATCACCATACTGATGAGCAAACTCTCAGGTTGGGCAGCCAAGCCCTACTGAACTGTGTCCGATGAGGAGTACAACGATTATGATCGTGTGAAAGCAAGACATATATAAGCAACAATTTCGGATCTAAGAAACACTGAAGGTCGAACCTTCACAGAGTGGGGCCGCCAGATGCAGCAGGCGGTCGAGAGCTGGATGCAGGGGTGCCAGGTAACTACTGTAGCCAAGACGGTTCAAATCATCCTATTTGAACAATTTCTCAACTCTGTCCCCCCTGACATCCAGGATTGGGTTCAGGATCACCAGCCCCGGTCCCTCCAAAAAGCAACTAACTTGGCAGATGAGTATCAGTCAGTCAACCCATATCACCTCCCTCAAGGAATGTCAGCACCGGTCCCAATCAGAGACTCCCTTCAGTCTGAACTCATCTGCCCAGGCAGGCTGGACCCTGGTTCTATAAATGGGACAATTGTGCCAGAGATGCCCAATCTTGTCACAAGTTGCAACTGAGACCTACCTGGAGTCGGGCAACCCTCCAACCGAGCCGGGCTTGGGCTCAACATCGCTATGGAGGAATCGCTGTTTCTTGAAGAGGACTGGGGAGTACTTTACGAAGATGACCCAGTACAAGCAGCATCTGGCGACAACCAATACCGTCATCGGAAGGCCAAATGGGTGAATGGGCGGGCTTCCCAAGGGTTACGGGACATTGGGACTAGAATTACACTGGTGCAACCTTGATTGGGATGTGGGTGCTTTGGATGTGAATGTATCCAACCAGGTAGTTGAGTGCTGCACACTAGTATCTTGATACACTGGGGCTCTATGGGGGAGGTCCGCTAATCCCCCAAATAAATCCAGAAATATAGAGTCACAGGCTACACAGTGCAGGGTGAAGAGTAATTTATATTTAATTATGGCCCAAGAGACAAAACAAAGATACAGTGTTTCAGCCATGAGGCCTAAATCATGTATGTGGATGTAGGCATTATGAGTAGCCTGTCTGCTGAAGTACTATTGGGGAATGACCTAGGCTGGCTTACCACCTAGTACCAACCGGACCACCTCGCAACAGGCCTGCAGAGCAGTGGATTCCACGCTGGATAGGACCCGGGTTAGATTGATTTTCCAAGACCCTACAGTGACTGCCCGGCCTATGAATTGGACATCCCAGATTACTTTATATGTGAGATGGAGACAGACCCGACCTTGGCATCCTACCGTAGATGGGCTGAGGTGTCCCTTGGGGGAAGGCGGAGGAGGAAGCCATGGTCTGGGAAAGGGGGTGGCTATAACAGGTGACTGATGGTATGGTGCTGGGGCTGTGAAAATCCCCAAGCAACAACAGGTTTTAGGCCTGAACTTTTTCACATCGCCCATGACATTACCCTATCAGGACATATAGATACCAAAAAGACCTGACTCTGACTGACCCAAAACTTCTTTTGCCGGGTGTTACCAGTGAAGCTAGAGTATTATTGCTGTGGAGCTCTGTTAGACACACCAGCAACATGGAATCTAGAAATAAGGTGCATTAGGATAGAACAGAGGGACAAAGAGATTTGGGTTCAAAGTAGGGACTGTATTGTACCTCCTAAATAGGGACACTTGGGAGGTATGGTGAATGTCAGAGTTTAGATCAAAATAGCTAAGCACAAACCTAAATATACATGTAAAAGAAAATGGTGCATCACAGGAAAAAATTGTTAAAGAACAACTACAGTCACCAAGACCACTTAATCTCAATGAAATGGTCTGGGTGCAGTGGTCTTGTCATTTTACTCCTTCAAGGTAAAACATTACCATATTGCAGAAAGGGCAATGTTTATCTTAAAGGGTTAAACACCTCTCTTGTAGCTGTCATACTGTGATAGCCGTTAGAGGCGATTCCGCTGCAACGACTGAGTAAAACTCTGTCGCATGACGTGGAAACACAATGCTTTGCTCTGAGTAGTATTGGATGAACACACAGCGACCATTGCCAGATGAGACCTTAACTCCTCAATGACGTTGTTAGAGGAGGAAAGGTGAGCAGCACAGCGCTTTAAAAATGCACACAGTGGGGATCTGTATATACCTAGGGACAGGGGCACTACAGTGTCACTAACGCTATAGTGTTTAACTTAATTTTGAATGTTTTTAAATGTTTTTTTCCATTATTTTATTTCTAGAGATTTGATGCTTTAAACAATAAAAAAAGAAAAGATATTATGCATATTTTATTTATTTTATTCACATTCATTATATCTCTCCAAATAAATATTATTGCAAATGTAGCATATGACTGCACTTAGACTTATTTCATTAAAGCATTTAAGTTTAATATATTATGATTGTTTATCAAGTTTATTTGGTGCAGTGTTTTTTTTATAGCAGTCTCAAGAGATGTACAAACCAGAATGAGGTCAGAATTTTTCTTTGCCACTAAGTAAATATTAATGGACATTTGCCTCAGTTTACAACTTGTCTCCTTTTATTAAAGGAATTAATCACCTTGGGTCCTGACCGCTTTTAGACATTTTTCAAGAAAACGTGATTTTAAACTCAATCGCAGCTGGATTACTGTCTGTTTTCATATTTAAAGTTTTACTGAATCCCACCAGAAGTTGTCCAACAATTTTTAATTTTTTTAAAATTGCTTTTACTAAGAATTAATAATTTTACAAATACTTATTATTGGTAGTCACCGATTCTTAATTGGTCACATTTATTTATCTACTGGACAATAAATGTATTCCCTAGAAATAATGAATCCCTCGAAATAATGAATATAATCTATGAATCACTTACTTGGTTATTCTTTAAACTGTAATTTGGTGGGAATTGCCTTTTATAAAAATATTTGGACAAAATTCTCCAACTTTAAGGCATTCTTTAACAAAGCTGTTTTCTTGGCACTATAGTTTCTAAGGTGCCCGTCTTCCTCATGCCCCCCTCCAGTGGCGCTGTTTAAACCCCTTCAGTCATTTACCTGAATAGAGCGCCGATGTCCCTCAGTGCCAGGCTCTGCCCCCGCTACTCCCCCGCCGATGTCAGCAATGGCCTCGCTCGCATTAGGATTTACCCGATGGAAAACATTATTAAATTGGGAAAAATCTGACGCTGGAAGTTCTCATGCAGAGCATGAGAATGTCCAAGGTCAGATAACGGACCAAAGGTCCATTTCGGAAGTCTTCTAGTGGCTGTCTGGTAGACAGCCACTGGAATGTCTGTCCCTTTAAGTAAGGTTCTGGCTTAGCTATTTTTGGCTTAAAATTTAACATTCACCATACCTCCCAAATTGAAAGCAGGCCAAATGCCTACTAAATTGTTTCTGAACAAATATATAATTAGTTAGCCCTGTTGATACCATAAACAGTCAGTGGGCTCAATAAAAACAATAATTACACAAAACATGGAACCTTAGGACCACTCATATATATGAGACAGTTGAATGGCTCCTTATTTTCTTATACTATCCATGTGTATAAATATACCCCAGAGTTCCACATCAATAACTATTACGGTAACCTGCACTGTGTTTAAGTGCTTCAAAGAGCTCCACATTAATAGAGCTCACAGGAATGTGTGTTGGGTATTAATGGATCACAGAGCTCCACCTCAATAAATATTACAGTAACCTGCACTGTGTATAAGTGCTTCAAAGAGCTCCACAGTAATAGAGCTCACAGGAATGTGTGTTGGGTATTAATGGATCACAGAGCTTTACAGCAATAAACCTTGAAATTCTGTGCATTGTGTATGAAGGTATCACAGAGCCTCACTGCAATTAAAGCTATGGGACTGGGCCCCCATTACAGATTCCTAATCACCACGGCCCCAGTGCCCATTGTTGGCACCTCATACACAGTAAAGCCCTCTCACCAAGGGCACCTGCCCCTCCACCCATGAGAAGCAATGACTATCATAGGGCCTTCCTAAGCCCACCAAAGAGACCCCACTCCCATCACATCCTCACTCTTGTCCACTTTAGATTTGTGGCCCATTTTGTATGTTTTTGCACCTTCTCATGTTCTGCTGTGTGCATCCTGTTACACTATAATTCTAAATTCATTGTGCAGTCTGCAGCCAGCCTGTAACTTAACCTGCCAAGTACTTACAGGTACTGGCTACTAATGGCAATAGTCAATGTCAATGCTGGCAATGCATCATGGGATTTTTTGATTCTGCACTGTGGGGCTACCTTTTGGTCGTTCCTGTAGGCTGATGCATTTAAATTTATAAAAAAAATTTCATTTTATTACTATATTTATTTTTACTTTATGCTATATACTTGTAATTTATTGTACACTTGAGCTGTTCTGACATTGGCTTGGCTGTGTATTGACTACGAGTTTAGCAGTAATGAGAAGAACACTTGCAAATAAAACAAATTAAGTGAAGGATGTAATCCATAATAAATGTCATTTTACAGAGCCACAAATATTTGAGTTACATATGTTTCTAATTAGCTCTCGGTCCCTTACTAGTGACCTTCTTAAATACACAGTGACATAGACCACTCATCAATAAGTCATGAAGATAAATAATACATTATCCATCATCAGGGCCCATTTAATAGACATACGCTGCATGATATAAACATACATACGTTGTAGTCATTAATGCAGCATTGCCATGCCACAACTCGCAATAAATGGCATTGCAATCTATAAAAATATAGTATATAAACATTTTTATTATAACAGAAGCAACTAACTGCTTATTGGTTAATCTGTATCTTTATCTAGAGAATTAAATATGTTTCCTATTTTATTTCCCCTAATCATTTTGTTGGAAGAAAGTCTGCCCTTCCTATTGTACCTAAATTCAGGCAATAATTACATTTTGATCATCTTTTTTTTTTAGTAGTTTTGGTGCCTAGATTGCAGATTATGTACACTTTGCCTACATAAAGTTGTAGCTGCTCAGCATAATATATATTTAAAGTGAACCTGTTTTTGAATTTTTTACTTTGCTGTGCAGTGCCCAAATAAACCGTGTTTTCACTACCATTCAATTTCTCTTTTTTTTTAGCAATACTCACCTCCTGCTTAAACCTTCCTGCGCTGCAGTCACCCCTCCTTCATGGGCTGCAACCAGCTCTCAGCCACAGTCCTTCTTTGGGAAGCCTACTCTCGCATCCCAATGCCTGGCACAGCCCCCTTATATAACCCTGAAGTGCTGGCTTCAGACTTATTACATGATCATAGTGCATGCACGCTTACAATGCTTGAAGACAAGCAATGGATTCGTGCTAACAGACATTGGCATAGAGTCTATGCCAATTATCTGAGTGACAGAAGTGGGGGCCGCCCAATTTTTACAGAACTAACAAAATGCATAGACTGTTTTAAGAGAGGAATTAAACTATATTAAAGGGACACTGTGGTCACCAAAACAACTTTGGCTTAATTAAGTAATTTTGGTGTGTAGATCATGCTCCTGCAGTCTCACTGATCAATTAGCTGCCATTTAGAAGTTAAATCACTTTGTTTATGCAGCCCTAGTCACACCTCCCTACATGTGACTTACACAGCCTTCCTAAATACCTCCTGTAAAGAGTCATCTAATGTTTATACTTACTTTATTACAAATTATGAATAATTTAGATTTTCGTATCCACTGCACTGTTAACTTTATAGCCTATGCAGGAGCCTTCTGTATGTGATTAAAGTTCAATTTACAGAGCAGGGGATTAAAACTTTAAAGTTAGTAACATCTGAATGTGTGGCATGAGCTGCATAAACAGAAACAAAAGTGATTTAACTTCTGAATGGCAAATAATTAAGCAGTTAGACTGCAGGGGAATGGTCTATGCACAAAAATCGCTTAAAGGGACACTATAGTCACCAGAACAACTACAGCTTATTGATTTTTTTTCTGGTGAGTAGAATCATTACCTTCAGGCTTTTTGCTGTAAACACTGTCTTTTCAGAGAAAATGCAGTGTTTACATTACAGCCAAGTGATAACTTCACTGGCCATGCCTCAGATAGCTGTTAGAGATCCTTCCTGGGTCATGGCTGCCTAAAATGCATCCAAACATTCAGTATCTCCTCCCTCTGCATGCAGACACTGCACTTTCCTCATAGAGATTCATTGATTCAATTCATCTCTATGAGGAGATGCTGATTGGCCAGGGCTGTGTTTGAATCATGCTGGCTCTGCCCCTGATCTGCCTCTTTGTCAGTCTCAGCCAATCCTATGGGGAAGCATTGTGATTGGATCAGGCCACCACTTCTGAAGATGTCAGCAGACTGTTTTTTTTTTTTAGGCAAACAGCATGCAGATCTACAGCTTCTGACTTGAATACAGTAAGATTTTGCTATATTTATGGGGGCTAGATGGTGGTTTTAACAATATAGGGTCAGAAATACATGTTTGTGTTCCTGACCCTATAGTGAACCTTTAATTACGCTATTAATGTTTAAGTGACTATAGTGTCCCTTTAAGTGAAAACTATGATGGCAGGTATTCTATATTCATTAGCAAACAACAAATGCTTCTCATCATTGGGTTAACTACCGTAGCATTTGAAATCATGGCACTAGAAAAAGTGCAGAGACGAGCTACACAATTAATACAAGGAATGGAGCATTTAAGTTACGAAGAAAGGTTAAAAAATATCAATCTCTTTCATTTGGAAAAAACGGCGCCTAAGAGGGGCTATGATAACATTATACAAATATATTCGGGGCCAGTACAAACCATTATCTGGAAATCTATTCATTAACAGGGCTATACATAGGACACGAGGTCACACATTTAGGCTGGAAGAAATGAGATTTCATCTAAGGCAAAGGAAAGGTTTTTTTTACAGTAAGAGCAATAAGGATATGGAATTCTCTGCCTGAAGAGGAGGTCCATACAGATGTTTAAACTGCAATTGGATAAATACTTACAAAAACATAACATACAGGGATATAATTTCTAATTAGTGGGGTAATAGCTGCTTGATCCAAGGAGACATCTGACTGCTATTTTGGGGTCAAGAATGAATTTTTTCCTAATTTGTTGTAATATTGGAAGCGCTTCAGACTGGGTTTTTTGCCTTCTTTTGGATCAACAGCAAAAACAAATGTGAGGAAGGCTGAACTTGATGGACGCAAGTCTCTTTTAGGCTATGTAACTATGTAATTTGTATTGTTGTCAGCCGAGTTAAAGATGTTCACAATCTATTAATCTCAAATGTAGGAGAGAACATAAATGTCATAATTCACTCACACAATAATTCCATAAATCAAATGAAAAGTTATAAAGATTACAAAACAATATAAATTCTACTAGACAGCAGTAGAACAGTACAGCTATAGCAAAGTTGACTTTCAGGAATTATTTGATGTCTGAATTTCAAGTGGCAATCATCTACTCAAAGGATGGAGTAGTGGAATTAACACGTCGCGATTTAATGAATTAGAGCATGTTGGTGGAATGTTGTATAGATTAATCACAGTAGGTAGTATTGTTTGCAATGTTGCTTATCAGTGTTCATAATGTTGTGCTTGGAATCACATTGATAATTCTGCAAACGTCAATTAATTAAAGCTTGTCAAAATATGGTATGGATGAAAAACTAAACAGGGAAGAAAATAATTCCGCTGTTTATTTAAATGATATTAAAAGTGTTTTAGGGATTTACAATCAAATGTGCCAAGAGTGGAGCAGCTGCTGTATTGACCCATTTTCATTCTCCTGTGTACTTTACTCGTATAATCTTATAGAGTCTGGGAAATACAGAATTTTTTTTTCATTAAGACCCGGCTGCTGAATATAGAAATACAATGTTTTAAAAATACATGCTTCCATCAATTGTCATATTATGCATTTAATTTTGGTGTTTGCCATCTAATTAGTCTACCATAAAACCGTAGAAAATAAATAGTGTTCACAAATACAATCAGTAACATTTAAAGGGTTAGTCCAAACACCATAACCACTTCAGTGATATGAAGTGGGCATGGTGTTTGGAGTCTGTATGTGCAGCATTTCACTATAAAACACTGCACATCCCGCCGTTAATCCCTTTGCCTTTTAGAAGTGGATCTCCACCTCCAGCAGCATAATTGGGGTGACATTTGCCAGCCCTGAGCAAGAGTTCAGGTCTGGCTAAAGTCAACTCCGGGCATATCTGTTTGCACATAAGCTCATTCATTGGCTGAGAGTATTCAGCTGACACAGGTAAGAGGGCAACCCATTGTAAAACCGTTTTTTGCATTACCAAGGCATGGCGGCAGGGCAAGGCCAATTCTGGGTGGGTGCAAAGAGGCGGATCAGCAAGATTGGTAGCGTTAGGCTCCAACCCTCAAATTAGGTCCTGCCCTCTGATTAGGCTCTACCCCTCACAATCGGCATCAGGCAGCAGAGCTAGAAGGAAAAAGTACAAACTGACAAGCTGAGAACAACTCGCCACCCACGCCTTCAAACCCACCCAGGATTGCCCCCATGCCAGGGTACTCCTAGCACTATAACCACTACAGTCAGCTTACGGGTTATGATGCTGGGAGTAAACATTTAATAAACATGTAAAGTAATTATACAGAAAAAGGCTGTAATAATAAGTGATGTTTTCAGGATACGTTGATATTTTTATTTTTATTTCAGGATTTTAGGCGATTTTAAAGATGATAAAAGTTATTATTACCGTTATGGCATATATTTTATTGACCTCTAACTCCCTGATAAAGAAAAACATAAATCCGTTCTGTCTTCTCCCAGAGAAAAAATATTAGGCACTCTGTTGGGAATATATGTCCAATTAAATTGAGTGCCAAAAGTAACCTGTCCCCACTGGACAAGTTCTCCTGCTCAATGAGATTCTGGCTGAGGCTGGTGAGAGTTAAAATATACATTTGATGTAATGAGATAGTGAGACAGCCACTCGCTAAACAGCTTATGTGGAATAAAACTCCTATTAACCCCATCCAATGCTTAGCTGTACCTTTTAGCAATTTCAGTACAGAATATCTTCATATAACAAGTCATATTAATGGCCACAAAAAAACATCATGGGCGTCCGCAGGAATTTTTCCAGTGGGGGGCATAATTGTAATGACATCCATGCATGGTCTCTTTTTGACAGTGTCATGAAGGGGAGGAGCATAGTCATTATCACATAAAGCCAGGGTGAATAGTGTTTGCACAATTATGGTGTCAGGAATACATGTTTGTATTCCTGACACTATAGTGTTCCTTTAAGCAAATTAAAGGAACATTCTGGTCACCATAACAACTTCATCTAAATGAAAATACTATGATGCCAGGAAGACCCTGAGTGCTCTCTTTCCTTTAAGGGGTTAAACCGCTCTCAAATGGTTTAACCTCAAAGGCTTCCTCCAGCTCCGGATTTCCAGGTCGCTCAGTGGTATTCGGCTTCTGAAAAGGAGTGTCAGGAAGTGCAGATTGACGTCAGGCATGGGTGCTACAGATTGGCTAGAGTGGTCAGTTGACACTCTAAGCCAATCGCTAGTTCCCGGTTCATAAAAATGTTTTACTTTTTTATGAATTTGGAGCTACTGATTGGCTTAGAGTGCCAGCTGACCGCTCTAGCCAATCAGCGACACCTCTCCCCAGCGGCCCTCTGTGCTTCCTGACACTCAATAAATAAAAGTGAACACATTAACATTGATATTTTTTTTACCTGGGGAGATGAGAAGGTCCAAAGTTTCCCTGCCAGGCCCAGGTACCAAAGCCTTATGATGTGGTGTCCAGAATAAAGTGGAGGGTTCAATTCACTTGTCCTTCCTGCTCCAATCTCATTTTCTTCTCCTTCATTTGACACAGTCTTCTTTTTCTTCTGACACTGTCTTCTCTCCTCCTTGGCTCCTTCTGTTCCTTTACCTTTTTGCTACTTTCTGCTTATTGTGCTCCCCCTTCTGCTCCTTTCTCTTTCTGGTCCCTTTCTGCTCCTTGAAGACCCTTTCTGCTCCTTCTCCTACTTTACCTTTGTGTTCCTTGCTGTCCCTTTCTGCTCCTTGCTACCCCCTTTCTGCTCCTTCTCCTACTTTACCTTTGTGCTCCTTCTGATTATTTGTGCTCCTTTACCTTTGTGCTCCTTCTGTCCCTTTCTGCTGTTTGCAGACCCTTCCCTCTCCTTGCAGACCCTTCCCTCTCCTTGCAGACCCTTCCTACTCCTTGCAGACCCTTCCTGCTCATTTCTGTTCCTTCTCCTACTTCACCTTTGTGCTCCTTCTGTCCCTTTCTGCTCCTTGGTGCCATTTTCAGCTCCTTGCTGACCCTTTCTGCTCCTTGCAGATCCTTCCTTCTCCTTGCAGACCCTTCCTGCTCCTTGCTGCCCCTTCCTGCTCATTTGTGTTCCTTTGTGCTCATTCTCTTACTTTACCTGTTGTGCTCCTTGCTGTCCCTTCCAGTTCCTTGCTGCCCCTAAACCCAAACAGAATCAACCATCTCTATGAAGCATCTGATTGGTCAACACTCAGCACCAACGATGAAGTAAGTGCTGGGCAAAAAGGGGGTGGTTCTTCAGTCGTTGCAGAGGTCAGTTCTACAGTCTGTGTATGTGTTTTTGGACAGAGACTTTTCCTTTTGGAATGGTTAAACTGTATTTAGTGAATGCTCACACTAGGCTAAAGCTTACTCTGACCATCTCTGGATAGTTTATTGCTTCGTAAGCTTTTTAGACAAGAATAGAAACCTACAGTTTACCCCATACGCCAAAACCTCTAGCAGGAGGGAATGTGATTCCTTTTTCTTTTTCCTTTTTTTTAATTTTTTTTTTTTAATGATAATTAAACTAGTTCTGCTGTAAGAATGTACAAAACATCTTAACCTGTTTTCTTAATATGTACACCACTTTCTGCTTAATTTTGCACATCTCTTGAAATCTCCAACTTTCCGTTAACTAGTTTAAATTATAAACCCTTGCTTTACTTTAATAAATTGGAGTACTCATTCAGCCAACACTGTCAATCCGAGTTTGTCCCTCCCCAAGTACTTCCCTAAAGATGTCCTCTTCCTCTAAGGTTACAGATGTTAGGCTGAACTTAATGGATGCATCTCTTTTCAGCCTATGTAACCATCTATGTTACTACACATATAAGATGCATATAATTGTCACTTCTAACAATCCCCAGTGTGATATCAGGAACCTGAATGATAAGTTAAGTACATTCTATAAGCATTATAACCAAAACAATGCACTATAGTGGTTATGTTTCTACACTATAGAGCAGGGCTTGACAAATTTGTTTGGAATCTAGGAGCCAGCTAAAAAAGTTAGGAGCCAGTTATAATTTTTTTTAAAGCGGCACTATAGTCACCAGAACCACTACAGTTTAATGTAGTGGTTCTGGTGCCTATAGACTGTCCCTTTACCCTTTTCAATGTAAACGCTGCATTTTCAGAGAAAAGGCAGTGTTTACATTGCTGCCTACTAAGACCTCTAGTGACAGTCACTCAGACGGCCACTAGAGAGTCCTGTGTCTGTGCTCTGCATGGACGCGCTGAATGTTACCCATAATACAGAAGATGCGCAATATCCTCCCAATATCCTATTGGAAAGCATTGGCTTAGCTGAGATCAAAAAGATTGATGAACCTGGCAATGGAGTCATAACAAGCCATGGCAAAATCTGCACAGCATGGGGGAAAAGGGGTGAGTAAAAACACCAATCGTGATCGCAGGTACCTAAACAGACACACACACTGACAGAGGTATAGGCACACACACTGACAGGGGCATACACACACACACACACACACACAAACTGACAGAGGCATAGGCGCATACACACACACACACTGACATACACTTTCTTAAACACAAATGTACATTTTTTTTTACATTTTTATTCACCCAGCCTCCCTACCTTTTGGGAGTGCTGAGTGGACGTTCCATGGGGTCTAGTGGGGCTGCTCTCTCTTCCTGTGTGAGAGAGAGCAGTAATCTACCATGCAGTTCCTCTCTGCTCCCTGTGATGCCGGGTCGGAATGACGTTAAATTCCAGTTCCCGGCATCATTAAACAGCGTGAGGGAGCAGAGAGGAGCTGCTCCCTCGCACACTGCCCCAGCCGACTGCCTCCCTAAAGCCCAGGGCGGCCGGCTACAACTCTCACTCAGCCGGCCGCCTCCAGGAAGCTCCATGCGGCCGGCTACAACGCTCACTTAGCTGGCCGCCTCCATGAAGCTCAGGGCGGCCGGCTACTATGCTCACTCAGCCGGCCTCCTACATGCTCCTGCGGGTGGACGGCCAGCTCCATTATTTGCCCAGCCAGGCATTTTAGATAAAAAGTTGACAAATCCCAGACGCCCTGGCAAACTTTTTAGTCGCCATGGCGACTTGGTGCCTGGGATTTGTCGAGCCCTGCTATAGAGGTTATGTTTTGCAGAAGTCTCCTTGTGGTTTCCAAGGTTAGGCTGTTAAACTGTTCAGATTGGTTTGTCCGATGCCGACCTATCTTCCCTTTTGTTCTGCTAAAGCAGAAGTTCATACCTTTGCGTTTGTATACCAATTCTGGACATTATTCATTGGCTGAGAGCGGTCAGCTTACACTATCAGCCAATGAAAAACATCTAAAGTTGTCCCTTGATGGTAACACCAGAGTGCGTAATATTGTCTTCAAGACAAACAGTCAAGCAGTTTAATGTAGGAAATATATATTTTTTCTATTTGTTTTATAGTCTTTTTCACTGTTATCTTGTAAGTGTGAATGTATTGTCTATGCCCGGGTTAGGCAAACTTTGGCACTTCAGATGTTGTGGACTACGTTTCCCATAATGCTCTTACAGCGATAATGCTGGCAAAGCATCAGGGAACTTGTAGCCCACAACATCTGGTTTTAGATACAGTGCCTTGCAAAAGTATTCACCTTGACTTTTTACCTATTATGTTACATTACAGCCTTAAGTTCAATGTTTTATTAATCTGAATTTTATGTGATGGATCAGAACACAATAGTCTAAGTTGGTGAAGTGAAATGAGAAACATATATACATAAAACTATTTTTTAGAAAACAGAAAATGGTGCAACCAATTACCTTCAGAAGTCACATAATTAGTGAAATGATGTCCACCTGTGTGCAATCTGAGTGTCACATGATCTGTCATTACATATACACACCTTTTTTGAAAGGCCCCAGAGGCTGCAACACCTAAGCAAGAGGCACCACTAACCCAGCACTGCCATAAAGACCAAGGAACTCTCCAAACAAGTAAGGGACAATGTTCTTGAGAAGTACAAGTCAGGGTTAAGTTATAAAAAGATATCCAAATCTTTGATGATCCCCAGGAGCACCATCAAATCTACCATAACCAAATGGAAAGAACATGGCACAACAGCAAACCTGCCAAGAGACGGACGCCCACCAAAACTCACAGACCAGGCAAGGAGGGCATTAATCAGAGAGGCAGCACAGAGACCTAAGGTAAACCTGGAGGAGCTGCAGAGTTCCACAGCAGATACTGGAGTATCTGTACATAGGACGACAATAAGCTGTATGCTCCATAGAGTTGGGCTTTATGGCAGAGTGGCCAGAAGAAAGCCATTACTTTCAGCAAAAAACAAAATGGCATGTTTTGAGTTTGCGAAAAGGCATGTAGGAGACTCCCAAAATGTATGGAGGAAGGTGCTGTGGTCTGATGAGACTAAAATTGAAATTTACGGCCATCAAAGAAAAAGCTATGTCTGGCGCAAACCCAACACATCACATCACCCAAAGAACACGATCACAGTGAAACATGGTGGTGGCAGCATCATGCTGTGGGGATGTTTTTCAGCAGCCTGAACTGGGAAACTGATCAGAGTTGAGGGAAAGATGGATGGTGCTAAATACAGTGATATTCTTGAGCAAAACCTGTACCACTCTGTGTGTGATTCGAGGCTAGGACAGAGGTTCACTTTCCAGCAGGACAATGACCCCAAACACACTGCTAAAGCAACACTTAAGTGGTTTAAGGGGAAACATGTAAATGTGTTGGAATGGCCTAGTCAAAGCCCAGACCTCAACCCAATAGAAAATCTGTTGTCAGACTTAAAGATTGCTGTTCACAAGCGCAAACCATCCAACTTGAAGGAGCTGGAGCAGTTTTGCAAGGAGGAATGGGCAAAAATCCCAGTGGTAAGATGTGGCAAACTCATAGAGACTTATCCAAAGTGATTTGGAGCTGTGATTGCCGCAAAAGGTGGCTCTACAAAGTATTGACTTTAGGGGGGTGAATAGTTATGCACATTGACCTTTTCTGTTATTTTTGCCCTATTTGTTGTTTGCTTCACAATAATAAAAAAAATAATTCTTAAAAGTTGTGGGCATGTTCTGTAAATTAAATGATGCAAATCCTCAAACAATCCATGTTAATTCCAGGTTGAAGGCAACAAAACATGAAAAATGCCAATGGGGTGAATATTTTTGCAAGGCACTGTAAGTCCTTTAAAGGTGATCTTGTTGTTTTCTATGATTATCTTATTATCTTTTTTTGTAACAGAATGAATTGTCACTAATGAATCAATTGATTTCTTTCTCAGTGATGCGTTGTTATTTAGTTAATATTAATAAAGTCCTATTGCGATATAAAATATAGGCTTATGCCATTCTCCATTACGAGATTTAGTTTTGTTATTGCCAACATTTCTAGCCAACTGTTTCTAAGATATGGAAACTAAAGATATCTATTAAAAATAATACAGATCCCCAAATTAATAGGTAAGTAAAGTTGATTTCCTTAAATTTTGCTCAAATAACTATTAAAAGGAAAATCACTTATTATAGCAATCGAGAGTAATATCGAAAGGCCCACTTATAGAGCACAGTGCCAGATATCTAAATGTGTAATAATGTGTAATAATGCTAGAGATATTGTTGCATATAGTGTTTGTTTAGCTTACTAAAAATAGGTCACGATTCACCTACATATCTGTATTACTAACGCTATAGTCCCTATGTAATTTCAGCCCCCCGCCCCGTCTGCATTAAAAAAATTTACATTAAAAGAAACCATACGAATAAAAATATTTAACACACCTTCTCCTCACCTTCTGCGGCCTACTCTTACCGTGATGACACCTCGGAGGTGTGCCTACAGTGTAAAGGACCAATCCAATGGTCCTCATAGAGGAGCATTGGGGATGTAGACACCTATGAGTCTCCCATATAGAAGCATTTAATGTAATGATTCTCTTTGGTAGACTGTGACGGCACTGCACATGCGTGTGTGATGTCATTGTGTACCAGGGTATGAGAGCCGAGAAGTACCAGCCTTGGCTCTCTCTAGCCAGAGGGCTAGCACTTCCAATCCTTATTATTATTTTTTTTAAAAATGGTGCCTGGGACTGAGGGAGAAATACTGTAGGCACTATAACAACTTAGTTAGGATGAACTTGTTATAGTGAGCACAGCTTTCCTTTAAGAAATTATTGTACATTGGTTTGCTAAGTCCCCCAGGGGGTTTGTTCATGATTTCGTTGATGATGTGATATCTATTCTGCTTGTAGATGTACGCCATTCTAGAATGAGATTGTTTCCACTGACCTGTGAATAAAACCGACTGAGGTCATATGCTAACTTTTTAACTGTTTGTCTTCCTTAACGAGATGCTGATATAAATAGCAGTTTTCAAGAGGGTAGTTGCTCATCTGCTTATCTTACATGCAGGTTATATTCTGGGAAGGGTCGGTGCTATACATACAGTATAATGCTGCAACTCCTGTATTCAGAGAAATGATTAATTGTTCCTACTTTTCTGCGGCATTGCTTATGCTATATCTATGATCTATGTATATATCATCGGTTCACGCCAACAATAGGCTCACTCACGCCGTATAAAAATATTACTTTCTACTATGATCATTAGAATTAAACTTGCACATTTTCTCATTTCTAACACAACTCGATATAGACATGAAACTGTATTTCTGCTTATTATTTAATGCCACAAACCTTGTCCAAAGATCATTGTTTAGTCATGTCAAATATTACCCTTTAGTATTTTCTTAGAAGAATGGAGAACTTATCTGAAATGCCACCATCAAAATGATAAATTACACTGCAGTCATATTTATATAAAATAAACTGAACATGATAGAGACAATTCGAAAACAACTTCAAAGACTAATGATGTAACCCAGCTAGCCTTTAAAGGTGGGAAAAACACTGCATCTCTAATTTGGAATAAACATACAATAATGCAATTTTAGGAGACAGGAATCCCTGCAAATACTCTCCTCTAGTTCACTTGGTAAAAAAATCCTTCAGAGAATTATTATTATTTTATTTTTTATTTTGTTATTAGTGCATTTAAAGGAACCCTACAGCATTACAAATAAAAACCTTAATAATGCTGAAATGTTTAAATTAAAATTTTCATTCTTGTACCCCCTCCTCCACCGCCCCCAGGATGCCTTAAATTTTTAAAAAAAAATTATTTTGTAATATCTAATAGAGCAGTGATAAGATTTCTGTGCTCTGACCTTGGGAGGCAATCACTACCAATGATCTCCCAGCCAATCCACACAAATACTCACAGTGAAGGACTAGAATACTGGGTGCATGCGTGAGAAGCATTGTGCTGGGGTACACTGCAGTTAGGAAGCGCACATTCCCGACTGTCTGATTCATAGGCTAGGACAACTTAAAACCTTTATAAAATTGATGCTTTCTCTGTAAAGCTAAAGTGTTTCAGGGGTTACTTTTTTGATACATTTTATTTAACTGCGCAATATTTATCTAAATGAAGCATAATGTTCTGTAACAAATCCTGACTGTTTAATGAAATGTAGAATTACCCCCTAGTAATACCAATTCCTAGAACGTTACTGTAACCCATATGTGTAGGTTTCTAAATTGCACTCAGATTTATAAGAAGCAGGATATCTTGTACAAATAAAGACTCTAATAACTCCAATTTCTGTAATTGATTAATATAATAACTCTATTAAGGCTTGAGACATGAATTTCTTGATTTTCCACGAATGTTAGTTATGTGAGAATGTAAAATTGACTGTAGTTGCAAAAAAAATATGTTACAGTTAATGGGCTTTTAATGCTGCTACACGTGTTCCATAATATCCTTTATAGTTTAAGGTGAGTCTGTTAAAGGTTTAATCTTTTATACAGTATATATAGTCATTTCGCTATTAGTAATGGCATAATTTTAATTTTTGAGACTCGGCTTCTAGGTCTTTATTCTGCAAAGGATTTATTTAGGATTTTAATGTTATATTACAGAATTTAGGTAAATGTAAAATCCTCCTCACTGCCTAACTAAACTGCTAATGGTACTGTGAAGACACAGATTTTATTTTTACAACAGAACAAAGAATAAAATAAAGGTTATAAATCTTTTTCAGCTAGCACTATAAGCACTGGTATTTGTCCCGAAACATCTACTGATGGCAATGTGTGATTACACAACCCTAATCGACTTGTACCTCTCTGTGAGTTTTGGCAATGAGATCATATCATTTTGATTTGCCACTGTAAGGAATCACATGGTCTAGATGACACAACTGTTTGATGGTTACAATTCTGTATTTCAGGCAGATCTTAAATATGTTTTCAGGAGTACAATCCTTTACACTTTTACCATAGGCCATAATCTACATTCTATTTTTGTCTACATGCTCCAATTGGTTATATTATATGAAAATATAGTCTAGGCCGGTGGTTTCCATTTCTCAATGCACACCAACTGTCCAGTCCAGGATTTAGACTTGCTTTAATTCTGTTTCAATGAGTATAATGTCAGAATCTAAAGGGACAATATAGACACCCAGGCCACTTCAACTCATTGAAGTGGTCTGAGTGCAGTGCCCCTGTCCCCTTAACTCTGCAGTGTTCATTTTTGCAGTTTTTATAGAAATTTGACCCAAAACCAAGGCGCAGAACCTGTAGCTTTATTGATGGCACACAAATGCATTTGTCACTTAAACCAAGTAAATTACTATCTAATCAATCCCATCGGCTGAATAAGTGCCAGTTAGCTTGCTCTGAACCTTGACACAACTGCGGAAACTACACCAGGTGGTCACTATTTTATTGCAACTAGATGGCAGGAAGACAAGCTTGCAATACGGAGAGTTACTACTACAAAATTCAGAACATGTGATGTCATTAGATGTGGTACTTGATCAAAGCTTACTTTTCACATCAGTGATTAGTCACAATCATGTTTTAGTCTCAAACAAATTCTCCTCCTTCCATTTTAAAAACATGGATAGGATTAGATATCTGACTCCTCCAGAATATCGCAGAATGTTAATAATAAGCATCTATGCCAATACACATGGACGACTTCATTGCACTAGATGTAGAGCTTCCAGAAAAAGAATTATACCGTCTGCAGATAGCGGAAGATGCTGCGCCCAGGTTACTAACTTACCAGCCACCTCCTACATCCTTTACAACTGAAAATAAGGTTTTAAATGTAACATTATCTGCATTAGTATAACATCATGATAGTGTAAGATATATCTCCAACATAAATCTGCAGTACAAGCAATACATTTAAAATGTAGCAATAAAAGTTATTTAAAAAGCAATATCCTAGATAGTGTATCCCTTAAACTTCGTAATTGTAACTGTTTGTTTTATAAATATTACTTTATGTCCAAGATTTTTAATTTGCAAGGTTATATTTTATATCTTATATCCTTTTTTTTATGTAGTTGGATTGTTTTAAATTATATGTCAAACCTAGTACAATACAATTCTTAGAAAACAATTCAAAATGGTGAATAAAAATGCTCTCACTCAATATGGAACATCGAAAGCCTTTGGAATCTGAATGACGCCATTGATTACTTGACAAACTGTCACAGGATAGCACGGAGTAACACAGTGTTGAGAGGGATATGTGCTTATCTTCATTTTTGCTGATATTTTCTTGGCTTTATCTAAAGTCTTGTTTCGCAAGCCCTGGATAATGGATTTCTCTTGACAACAAAGTGCTGATTGATCATTTAATTATGTTATTTGAGTAGAGATAATTGCTCATCAATGTGGTAGCTAATATATTGTGCTGCACCCAATAATAAGCATGCAATAATACAGCATATTAATGAGGCCAAAACAAATCAAATGCATTAAAGGTGTATTGACGATTATCTCTCATTTTAAAGCGGTTGTGTATGCGTTAAACTGTCCACTACATATTTTCACTATATAAACGGAGAACTTTATATCAAAGCAGGTTGTTATTTTGTCTTCTGTTACTTTAACGCTGTTTGGCAGTACAGAATGTAAAGAGCAAGGGTCAGCAGAACGCCTTAGAATGTGAATGATATCATTTTAAAAATGCATGAAGCTGTCAGTATCACGAATGAGGCAGATGTCTAAAGAAGACATTAGATTCTCACCTTTACTTTGCTTGCTGTCCAGAATCATAGACAGGATAGTGCAGTGATATGGAATACAAAACACATCTGACACCAGCACTTGTCAGCCGGCTGAGAAGAAGTGCCATTTGTGACAGGGATTGTGATAAAATCCCAGGGGATGTCACATTTTCAAACAAAAGAACACCGACAATACCGGGAGAGATAAAAAGAAAAAAAAAAAGAAAATATGTGAAAAAAATATATTTTTCTATCATATTTAAACATGATTTTAAAATGTCACAGTTAATGTAGTTCTTTATGTATTTTACTTTTCTCAGCCATCAGTGTCCTTTTACTAATGCCGTTAAAGAGTTAACATTGAGTTGCGGTCCAACAGTACATGACTAGCTACCGATTGCTGACACCTAACTAGACATTATCCTTGATACGCAATATTTCTAAGTAAGGCCTGCTGTGGTGTAAAGAAGCATAGTGTTTTATTTGCAAACAGAGATTAGTTAACAGAGATTGTTCTTTACAAAATGTGGAACAAATAGACTTGGAGAATCCGCCACGTCAGCCACTTTTCTTTTAAGATTTTTTTTTTAGTTTTACTATTTGAACCTACATTTGGCTGTCATCATAAATGTTTAAATGAGTACTCCAAACACCATACCTACTGCATTCACTTCAGTGGTTTTTGTGCCAAGAGAGGCCCTGACTCCTACAGTAAGTATTTAAATCATTTTAGCATAGTTTGACAACTTACCAGAGCAGGACTGCGTTTTTTTGGGTGAGAGTATTAGCTAAGATTTCTGGATCTGCCATCCAGTGGTTATGGTGCGTTGAGTGTTTCTTTCATTAATTATCTTGTTTCCTGCACACTGTACCCCATTTTCACTCAGTGAGATTCACTACTGCATCTAATATCAGCATTTTTGATGGAGTCTTTAAAAAAATAAAATAATTCTAAAGTTTAAATTAAATTTCAATTAAATCAAGAGATAATCATATAAAGTAGAGTCTGCTTTGTCATAGATACATGCTGATTTCTATCAAAATGACACAAAAGGCAGAGCTGCAGTCAGCTTCCATCAGAGGCAGCTTGCCATTTCCCGTTAGCCCAATAGTCGTCACCTCCAACAGCGAGTGAGAGCAGACATCATGTTTTGATTTGCAATAGATCTGAATAATATCACAACTCCTGAAGGTCAGAAACTGTAAAGTGGATTATGACAGTACCAAGCAGCAAGTATGTAGCTCCTTTTCTACTAAAATATAAAATAATAGTAATATAAAACTAAAATTTATTTTCAATTTAAGATATATATGAGTTAGAAACTCTTCTGCAGTTAATTCAGATAAATATATCTGTCTTTATAGACATAGGAGCACATAGCTCACAAATCTCACCATTAATGGAAAAACAAAATTAATGTGCAGTGGTTAGAGATGTCCCAACACTGGACACTGCCAGCTCTCCTCCTACTAGTGTCCCCCCATCCCTCACTACTAGAGCCCATCCCTCACTACTAGTGTTCCCCTACCTCTCACTACTGGTGCTCCCCCATCCCTCACTACTAGTGTCCCCCCATCCCTCACTACTAGTGTCCCCCCATCCCTCACTACTAGTGCCCATCCCTCACTACTAGTCCCCCCCTGATCCCTCAATACAAGTGCTCCCCCATGCCTCACTACCGTGTCCCCCCATCCCTCACTATTAGAGCCCCCCATCTAGTGTCCCCCCATTCCTCACTACTAGAGTCCCCCCAACCTGCACTACTAGTCCCCCGACCCCTCACTACTAGAGTCTCCCATCTAATGTCCCTATCCCTCACTACTATTGTTCCCCCATTCATCACTATTGTCCCCCATTCCTCACTATTGTCCCCCCATTTCTCACTATTGTCCCCCCATTTCTCACTATTGCCCCCCCATTCCTCACTACTAGAGCCCCCACTCATTTACCTGATCTGTAGGCTGATTGCAGGCTGGGAGCTGCTAGCTCTGCTTGCTCTGTGCTATGCCCCTGTGGACTCAGGGTGTAGAGAAAAGCAGAGAGATGAAGTTCCTGTCCCTGCCTCTCTCCACACACAGCGCCATCTACTGGCCGGCGGCGGTATTGCGTGTAATTTTTAACTACAGAAAAAAATAACAGCAATTGTATTGCCGGTATTTTAGCAATACCGGCACTGGCCAGGCAACCTGAAATAATGGTTGTGCCGGTAAAATACCGGCCAGGTGACAACCCTAAGTCTGTAAGAGCATTCTGGGAGATTAAGTCCACAACATCTGGAGTGTTAAAGGAACACTATAGTCACCTAAATTACTTTAGCTAAATAAAGCAGTGTTAGTGTATAGATCATTCCCCTGCAATTTCACTGCTCAATATACTGTCATTTAGGAATTAAATCACTTTGTTTCTGTTTATGCAGCCCTAGCCACACCTCCCCTGGCTATGATTGACAGAGCCTGCATGAAAAAAAAACTGGTTTCACTTTCAAACAGATGTAATTTACCTTAAATAATTGTATTTCAATCTCTAAATTGCACTTTAATCACATACAGGAGGCTCTTGCAGGGTCTAGCAAGCTATTAATATAGCAGGGGATAAGAAAATCTTAATTAAACAGAACTTGCCATAAAGAAAGCCTAAATAGGGCTCTCTTTACAGGAAGTGTTTATGGAAGGCTGTGCAAGTCACATGCAGGGAGGTGTAACTAGGGTTCATAAACAAAGGGATTTAACTCCTAAATGGTAGAGGATTGAGCAGTGAGGCTGTATACACCAAAACTGCCTCATTAAGCTAAAGTTGTTCAGGTGGCTATAGTGTCCCTTTAAAGGTTGCCTACCCTGTACTAGACTGAGAGCTCAGTGTTGAAGTCAGGTGTTCAAATACATCATTAACAAGGTCTTGTCCAAGCTCTGCACATTTATGTTGCTTTTTCCCAATGAAAATAAAGTGAGTTTTGGCTGTTTCTTTGCAGAAACCAGCATCTAATATTGCTGCAAATTACTGACACAAAGATGCTGACTAAATAGAGCTTACTATCGTAATGTGTTGATATTTAAAAAAAAATGGTAAACTGAAACTTTTATTCTGCACCTTTGATAATTATACATTTGTAGACGTGTTTAAATGCATTAGGAATAACATAACTTTTAGTAACATCCTGTCATAAGCTGTTATTTGCATTATTATTTTTCCTGCTTAACGTCACACAGTATACATTTATTTATAGCGTAGTAAAATTATGCAGGGAATTTCATAATTGTGCTTAATCAACATCAGTTTATAGTTACATAAACTATCTTAGTTCTTGTTAGCCTTTCCTGAACATAAAATTAGCCCGAGAATTTTTAGTTGCTTCATAACAATATGTTAAATAAATATAATGTATATAAGTAAAGCAGAACAGAAACAGATGGCCAGGCAATAACATATGATCTAAATGGAGGCATTCTTACCTACTTAAGTGCAATATTCCACATTTATATTACAAGTAATGCATACATTATTTATCTTGCTCCCCGTAAATGGAAACAGGGATCATTTAAGCAACAAAAAGATCTTGGGAGGGGGCAGCAAAGAAAGAGAAAGATCCCAAATAGAGAGAAACATAACATTTGGCACTAAAGGTGCAATATGAGGAAGAAGTGATAGTGCAACAGAAAAGCTTAAGGTGCTGAAAATTGGGAATCAAAGATAGAGAGCAGCACAGAATGAGTTGGACAGAATTATTGGACAGAATGGAGAAGGCAAGAGGATGAAACATGGAGACATGGTGGAAATGAAGACAGAATGAAAGGAAGGAATTGTATTCAGTGGTGGCATTGCGTGTGGCCATATCATAGAAATGTTATAGCACTAGTATAAATAAGAGGTACCAATGCACAGATATATATTAAGATTAGAGGATGGAATGCTATTGCGTAAGGGCTAGATAGAGGATGGAATGGTATGGGTATAGGCAAATTAGAGAATCGAATGTGGGCAGATAAGAGAATGGAAGCATCTGAATCGCCGAAATTCACCCGAATTTTAATTCGGACCAAAACGAATTGCACATGTCTAATTTTTATGTACATCTTCGATATAAGCAATAAACTGCTATTTAACACAAAAGGTTATTGCTCAGCATCTTCTACCTCGATCATATAGCTACTGGCTATAAAATGTACTGTGTTATTACAATTGTTATAGCAAGACTCAAAATGTCCACCTGTGCCCTCAAGAGTATAAATTTACTTCTAGTGAGTGTGCCTTGGACCTTCCCGACTTGCAGTGTCAAGTAACTTTTAGGCCTTTTCATTAGTGAAAGAAATTTTGAGCACTGGTTAAACTATTCTGCTATTGGTGGTTTTGTTATCTTAAATTCTCTGCTGAGATATATATTGATAAATGAATATTTACCTATAAAGTAACACAAAGACAAATCCACTGTATTCATTTTCATTCCCAGAAAGTAAGCATTCCACTAAACCACCTCCATATCTTAATCTCTCTTGCAGACCAGAAGATGTGCTTTTGAGGCGCACCCACGATGAGAACGTCCTTCTGCACTGCTTCCTTTGGCCGCTAGTTACGTTTATGGTGGGAGTCCTGATTGTGGTGCTCACCATCTGTGCAAGAAGCTTGGCTGTTAAAGCGGAGGCGATCCAAAAAAGAAAATACTCATAGAAAGGAGGAGACAAAACAATGACCACTCCAGTTCAAACCAAAACCCCAGATTACCTATAATCCTCTTGTTGCCTCTTCATCACTGTTTTTCTGAACTTGGTTGTTTGAGGATGAGGGACTGATGAAGGAATATTTTTCTCAGACTTATTTTTGAACTATTGGTTCCAGTGGGACTGATGCCCAGAATAGTTCAAAGCTGAATCAGATATGTCAGGAATAATGTAATGACTCATATTTGGCCAAGTGTAAAGTGAAGCAGTCTTAAAGAAAGTTTCATTTCACCTTTGCGATAAAGTATGTTTTATTTGGTATATAAAACATCAATCAAAAGATTTCAGTTTATTTTGTATCATGTAATTCTAAAATATTAAAGTGTGCTTTTTTATGTCCTATGTATGTATTTTTATAGCCAATTTATAGATATTTTTTAGATCGTTATTTAATTTTATCCTTCGTTGGCTTTTGCAGACAAAGTTTAGAAGACAGTTTTGTATTGTTAATGCAAAACAAAAAGCTACTATTGCTCGTTCTTGGCATGGGAATGATTGCTGTCTCTGATTATAAATGATACTGTTACTTTTTCTAGAACTGTAGTCTCTTCTACCAGTATTCAAGGCAATAGTCCATAATTAGAAATTAGAAATTCCCAATCTAAAAAATCCCAATCTAAAAAATCAATAAAACCAATTCTGTTGGTTGAAATTTGTATTTGCTAGCAAAACCATGAATGAGAGCATTTATTGCAATGACCGATAAACATTTTTCATTTGAGAATTCAGCAACCTTAAACAGGGATTAATGTAAAGTTATTCTCTGAAAGATGTCATGAATTAATCTCTGGAATTAACACAGAAGGATAGGGGCTGCACCAAGGGGAGATAAGATAGTCTATGTTTGAGAGTCCAAGAGTTCACACCAAATGGTGTCTTTGTAATAGATTCTAGGAATTTGGGAGTAGTATCCTAAATAGTCCATATATAGGAAATCCAAGAGTCACACCAAATGGTGTCTTTGTAATAGATTCTCGGAATTTGGGAGTAGTATCCTAAATAGTCCATATATAGGAAATCCAAGAGTCACACCAAATGGTGTCTTTAGGATAAGTTCTTGGATCTTGGGAGTGGTATCCTAGGTCAGTCTCTCCAGTTGTTGGTCATATGAAATGAAACAAAAAAAGAGGACTAATAGTGCAGTGTGTAACGTGTGAAGTGGTTATGATAAAAAAAGAGAAAAATTGCACTCATGTTTAGCAGAGCTATAACTAGGGGTACACTTCAGGATATATGATGTCCTCTGTCTTTGGGTTGTCTGGAGCTCAAATGACAATAAGAGAATGAGGGGCAAAAATAGTGCTCTCAGTAAAAATAAGAACCAGGTGTAAAAGAATATATAAAATGTACTTACATAGTGTTGAGCAGGCTTACTGCTCGATGGTATCAGCTCTGGTGGTATGATCCCAACCTCAGATTTATTTATAGTGATAATAAGAAGCCAGGTTAAAATAAATAAGATATAAAAGGAAATTGGCACAAACCAGGTAAATTTGTCCAAAAAGTATTCCTTTAATAAAGTAACAAATAAGTATAAAAACATCCAAATACGCGTTTCACCGATGTGGCTTTTTAAAAAATATCCCATTTTTAAATAGCCACATCGGGGAAATGCGCTTTCAGTTTTGCAATAGGGCTGTTAGGCTATTAGGTCAACATATTACATTGCAATCACACCTTTTGTACGGGTTTCACTGGGGCTTAATTATTGATCGTAAATATGAACAATAAATGGTTTTTCAGATACTACAATTTATGGGACTTTGTGGGTTTTTATGCTCTCTTATCACATACAAACATTAATCACATATAGAGGTCTGCGAGGCAGTTATTAATGAGATGTATAGTTCAAACTGAGAATGAGTTGGTAATCAACATAATTGTATAACATAATTAAAAGAGAAAATGCCACTTTTCCAAGAGACCACGTCTTTTTTTATGAAAGATGTCTAAATAAAGTGAAGCCATAAGATACAAGACTGAAGATCATCAAGCAATTCAGAAGAAGATAAAAAGATCTAGATCGATATATATACTCTAAACTCTATACTCAATTATCTAAAATTTGGTGAAAATGCAAAGAGCTATGGATTAATAGAATATTACTTTTAAATGTGTTTTATAAAAGCAAGTTTTGGATAAGCCACTCTTCAAGTAGACAGATACATAAAAGGGTTACTCCAAGCACCATAACCATTTCAGTATTCTGAAGTGGTCATGGTGCCTGGTGTCTATACTTGCTGCATTTCACAGACTGTAGTGGTTATAATGATTGGAGTAACTTTTAATGAGGTCTATATGGAATGTAAATGGAATTTGCCTCCAAGTGTGCGTGAGACTGAATGAATGAGATTGGCAGAAATAGAATCAAGGGGACCAGCTATTGGAGGTAAGGAAAGAAATGCAGGTGAATGTTCCTCAATAGTAATATTAACAAGAGAAAGGAGGATTGACTCAATTGTTTCTTCTAATTGTATTGTTATTTTACTTGAAATGAAAGATGTCAGTAATTGGATAGTTGAGAATGAATGAAAAGAACACAAGTTACAATTGAAAAAATAAATGGGAATTGTATCATCCAGAATAGAAAAAAAGAGGATGGAACCTTTAGTAGAATTTATTGAAGAGAAGTAGGACTGCAAAATGGAAAGTGCGAACAGCTTGAGTATTGGGAAGTAACTGGTCTGTCATTAGTCTGCTGCCATCCAGGGGTGATGCAAATCCGGTCTCAGCTAGAACAGTGGTGTCAGGATAATCAGGTAAACATTTAGATTCCTATGTGCAGGCATAGGCAAGGCATAGAGAGAAGTATTACCAGACCATCGAGTGGCTGGACTTACCATGAAATAAAGATACTGTAAGGTGTAATCTAACTAGGCAAAACCACAAAACAGGCCAAGGTCAGGATTACCATGGACAGGAAAGTCAGATTAGCTGAGGTCAGGGCAGGAAGCAAACAAGGTCAAAAAACGAGCCGAATTAAGAACAAAGTAAATCATGAACAAAAGGCTACAATATCACAAGCACTTAATGATCTAGGCAAGGGCTACAAACAATTGGAGGACTAGGCCATAAGTAGGCTGAGCCCAAGTCAAGTGGTGTTAATAGGACGCGACTAGCTGTGTCAAAAGTAGATGTTAGAAACTGCCGGAAAAATATTACACAAGGTGTCAAATGAAGTGTGCGAAATAAAAGACACTAGTATCGGGCATGTTGATAATGCTGGACTCACAGGGATCCTGACAAGGGCCTCTCAATCTTTTTTTAGACTAAGGCACCATTTCAATAAAAGTTTTTTTTTTCAAAGACAAAACTCTTTTATGGATTTTTTTAACCTTTATCAGCAGCTGAGAAGTTTGCATAGATTCAATTTATTAATTCTACTTGCTTGTCTGGTCAGATGGGATTCTGAACGTCAATATTGATCCTTACATAAAAAGCAAACAACAAAAAATAACACACATATAAAGACAACAATCATCATTTTGCATTCTGGTTGTCAATGTATTTGTGGCACACTTGGAGATGACTTGAAGGAGACCACCACTGGATTGGATGATATGAACGAGATGGACGATGTGAACAAGAATGGGAAAAAAAGAACAAAATTGGACAACAAATGGTATAAAATGTTTATTGCACCCAAGTGTGAAGAAGAATTGGACCAAGTGAAAAGAGGTTAAAATAAATAACTAAATGTTAGTTAATTGTCCGAGATAAATCCTGAATACCTATTAAACGCTGGAGAGAAAGGTTGAAGTATCCGGGCATTGAGCATTGATGACGAAAATGACATGATTACCTGCAATGTTAAAGTTATAAGGTTCGTATGAAATACAATGTCGCAAACTACCATATTATCTGGTTTTCAGTCTCATTCGGCTGTAGTAGACAGGTATTGATAACATTACAAATGGACCAGTAAAAAGTGCTACAGGCAAAATGTCCATTGCATAGTTCTTAAATTGTACTCATATCAACTATATCGACTTGTGGGTAAAAGTCATATACAAACTGTGCAAATAGAACTAAAAAGGCTGAGTAGGTATATTAATACAAAGTAGGAAGCTAAGCTAAACAGGTTTAAATATTTTGCGGTATTCTCTTATTGCTGGAGCCTTGTATGCAGTGTGAAAACTCGTTAAATGTCGACATTTAAATAATAAACAACTGTAGCCAATTAATATAAAGAGAATAGATCCCAATGCAGTCATTTAAACAATGTGACAAACATATTGTTTTCTAAAATGCCTTCAAGATTTAATCAGCATTAGGAATAAAAACACTACAACAATATAATTTTCTGCTCCATAAAATATATATTGGCATGTGTACCTAATTGATACAGACTATTAGTACCTTATTAGAAATTTAACAGGGGGTAGGACTTATAGCAGAATGAGAAAATAGTTTCATGTCTAAATGTTCACATTCCAGCAGTAACAATTCATGCTGATATCTCATAGTATAAAATGATTGTACAGAAACTCTTACCTGCTCTGTGGAATGCTGTGAGCCAATCGACAAAACTATGAAAAATCTCCTTATTTCTAGTTAGCAGAAAGCCCAATATCCAGACATTTGAAAGAACATCACAGGAATTCAGCTAATGATATCAGGTTTATGGGCTTGCAATTAATAATAATAATCCCAACAGAAGGGTGACGGCCCGGGATCAGAAGTTAAGATAAAGGGAATTCAATTGGATTTACAGGCTTAACACACTTTCTCCTCAAGGTCTTAATGAGGGGCTTCCCTTCTCTGCTTTTTTATGACTGCTTTTGGGATGCTTATCGCTCATCATAGATTTTGGGTACCACCTTTCCCTTTCTTTATTTTTCTCAGGTTACTATTTGTCTTAGTTTGATGCAATCACTTGTTTCACCAACATATTAATTTATTATTATTTTTTTTGAATAATTATAGCCCTTGCAATCCATGGTCTCAATTTGAGGCATTGTTGCCCTTATGATGGCTCTCACACCTTTATTAGAGTGTTGGCAAAGCCAGATGAGACACTAGTCGGTATAACGACTTTTTCATTACACACTATGCACATTCCTTACCTGAAAGGTGTTGACAACGAGAGATGCGTATCTATCCTGTACCATCACAGCTTATTTTTATTCTGCTTGGTTGGGAATTATTAATATTATTTGTTTTATCAATATTATTTTCATAATGTGCATCATAGCATCAATTAACAATTCAATATTAAGATTTATAGTCTAACCAATCTATGTTACAGCTCAAGGTGCGCTGTGAAATGTATTCTATTGTAATTAATTTATCCTGTTTAAGGTATATATAGGCATCATTATATATCATATAGACATCATTTTGTTTTTGTAGTTGTCTCTCACACCAACAGCAGGTCAATGTTACATTTAGAATCTTGTTGCTAAGTAACCAAATGAAACATTTTGCGATGTTTTGTTGCCTGGATGAATGGAGAGAAAATTGTATCCTTAGATCCCTGTTGTCTTGAGATGCTATTTCAGATTCATGGTAAAATATCCAATGTGTCCTGTAAATTTGCTTTTAAAATATATAATGATTCTGCTTTTCGACTGCACCAAACTCAATTTATTTTCACAGAAATGTTGATATGCATATAGCATGAGTTTATACTTAATCCCGATTAACAAAATCCTTCCTGTGCCTGTCGCTGGATTTACAGTGAAGTGAATTAGGTTAACACTTTCACTTTCAGATGGACCTCAAGGACAATTATAAAACAGAAAATTTGGGGAACAACATTATATAATAAAGGTAAGTATTTATGGAACTTCTTTACTATCGTAAACAATATAAAATTATAAATATCAGGAAAATGAGCAGCAATAAGTGCACATAGGCCTCAATTTAATATTGTTATATAAACATTTAAAATGATTTAATCTTGTAGAAAATATTTAAAATGTGTAATATTTTGATATGTTTTGATGTACTGTTTGTTTTATATTTGATATATTTTTTATATTTTGAAAAAAAATAATTTCAAAAGCTTTCTTCCGAAAATGTTAAATCAAGGTCAAAATCTGATATTATTCGGATATTATTATTCAGGTTTTCTCGTGCCCCAAATTGTGTTCGTAAGGTTAACACTAAACAGACCACAAATTTGCAGGCATCTTACCTGTATTGCGGTTTGCTGACAGCCATATGACAACTCAGTTTGAATCAGGACAATGTATGTATCCTGAAATATTTTTTGCATTTTAACTATACGGTAAATATTGTAACAAGTGAAGATTCATATTGATATTAACATATATTAACACAAAAAATATATATTTTTCTTAAATGCTTGTGGTTTGTTTTCTAGGATGTTTTTGATGATTTTTACAATAAAATTGAATTTCTAAATCAAATCATCATATAACTGTGGGTTAAAGCCCTCTTGTTTATACATTTTTGCTATAATGTACTTTTTATTCTAAACCTTTTTATGTTTCTACAATATTAAATGAAAGAAAAATAAAAATAAGTTGCAAACACTATAAATAATTGCAATAAATATGTTTTAATTTTCCATCGTATTATCTTCTTGTGGTTGATGCAATCTTAATAAATGCTTAATAAATGTATATATTATGAGATCTAAAAAAAAGCAATAAAATTGAGAAGAGAGCAAAGCCCATAAAACAAACCATTCTAACAATTTTATTCTTTAGCAAGAAAATAAGAACATATAAAATGAGCAAACACACAGAGGCAGTTACATATCTTAACATTCCTTGTGCACCTTTATACTAGCCATTTTTTTTAAATGCAACTGTTATTGATCAACATTATGAACAGCAAATACACTGACAGCTATGAAAGATGATAGACGCACGTTTTACAAAGTAATATGTATAAATATTCTGAGATGAACATTAAAAGGCATGTGGGGCAGATTAAAAATATTGTAATGACCCAGGAATGCATTGGATTTTTTTTTTTTTTGCCTTGTTTCGGTAAAAGTCATCTACAGCAAAACCAATAATGTTTACAAATCTTTCTGAAGTAGTCCCATCTGTGGGTAATATACAGATATATATCTGGATAAGGAGATCGGGGCGGAAGATTGCCAGGTCTTTGCAGAGATGAAGATAAATTTAGGTTTGCAAAGAAATTGGACATGTAGCATGGATGGAATCCACGGTTATTGAAACATTCTCTGAACATGTACATTGTACTTTTTATGGGTTTTTTTGTTTGTTTTTCAATCTGTACCTGCTATTGTGTGTCTATGGCAGAGATGTAATTGGTCAACATTCTGGAAAAAAAAGTACTTTGCTTCATGGATAGTCTTATATACCATTGAAATAGAATAAGGAACAAGGCAGAAAGGAAGTCCCAACGTATCATGTACAGAATGTTCTATTACTGACTTATTTCTCAGAATGTTATGTCTATGGTATGAAGATTGTTGCAAATGCAAACTTGGAATTTTATATTGAATGCAAAATACTGGGGGGCGGAGCTTGACCGCCGAGCCGTGCGGTCGCATCTACCACGAGCTCCGATCCGGGGAGAGAACCCGGGGTACAAGCGACGGCTAACAAGCCCACAAGCATCAGAGGGTGCACTACCCACGTTAGGGATGCCCCACTGAGTAAACCAACACCACCCCGGTGCCTGTCGACGCCGGGAAAGCGGAGATCCACATGCGGCCTACTGGGGCTGAAGCAGGGGGGAGGCGGCCGCTCCCCTCGGTGCAAGAACCCACAAGCTACTACACCTCAGCATACCCCCCCCCCCATGGACCGGTCTCTGAAGCACATACGGACCAGCATGGAACAAGACCACACCAACCACAACAAATGGTGGGGCAACAGACCGAAGAGGTACAGCCAAAATGGCCGACCAACCTGAGCCGAGCAGGCGGAGCACCTGCACAAGGGCACATATGTCCCCTATGACAATATTTGACCGGACCTGCGCTGGTCTCAGGGCAGCACTGCGAAACCGGGGAGCAACTCACCGCCAAGCTGACCGGAAGGTGGCCTCATGGTTGCGACCAATAGCGCGACTCAGGCACTACATACAGGTACCCCAAGCATCCAAGATGGCCATCAGGCAAAATCGATACCGAAGGGCATCGAGACGGGACCCAGCGCCAGGCCTCTCGGACACACGCTCTCACCCGCCCACAAGCAAAGCCGAGATCTACAATCCAACAACAACGCACACTACTAAATTACCTGACCTAAATCCCGGCTACCAGCACAGCACCAAGCGCCATTCCTCAACCAATACTGCAACACAAGTGAAGGGGAACCTGCACACCACGAAGAGATGTCCCGGAGCTCAACCCCCGAAAGGGAGACACCGGACCCTGCGACCGCTATGACAAGAAGAATAGCAACAGCCTGCTGATCCTACCAGCGCTGGGCATAGGATGAAGTGCCTACCACACTGCTTCACACGGGTGAATGGACTGTTTAGAGCACACGATCCAGCTGAGTACCCAGACCCTAAAGCATAACTCAAGCCACGAATGGACTATGCTCATACGTCCTCATGTAAACTTGCTAATCTATATACTCAGACAACCTAGCCTGTAGCACTAGCGACACTGCCACGTTTAGACTAAACTTGTTCAAAAGCTTTATAATGCTCAACCTGCATGGCTGATGTTACAAGGTTATCTTGTTTATTCCTCTCTGACACCAACTGAAGTTTACATATTCTTGCTAGCCTAAGTTTTCTCTGTCCTTTTTCATTATTTAATTTCACATTATTTTAGCTGGTATTAAGTTTCCCATGCCTGCATCATTATAACTAAGCTGTACCTTTATATCGCCCAGCTGGCAGCCATAGCATACATGTAAAAAGGCCACATATGTTACTAAGCCTACTTATACTGCAGTAAGCATGTGTACTTATATAGAATATTAGACAATGACTACGCTAGGCTTAACCAACATGTTTAACGCTCTTTACGTCCACTTGCAATTAGGGCACAGCAGGTTGACATGTTACTACATACTCAGCAGTGAAATAGCCTAACCGCACTAGCTTGATCTACGAATTAGCATTTTAATACAACATTTATTGTACTGTTACAAGCGTTGCCCCAGTATTGTTTATTGTTTATAGTTATATAAGTGAGAATCTTAATAACTTAAAAAATGTGCCTGACTAACGTATGTCACGACTTGTATTGCAAATGTTTTCCAACTTACCCTGATATCGCTGTTGTGGCGCACCAGGGCTACCTGTTACTTTTGTGCACAACAAAAATAAAGAATTAAAAAAATAAATAAATACTGAACACATTAAAGGTTTGGTTAAAAATAAAACAGAACTGTAAAGTTTTCTGGGACAGAGGAACCATTTACCTATTTTGGTGTTTATATTCTTTGAAGGATGAGTGAAAGAAATAGTGAATTTTATTAAAGACACGGAGGCTCCTATTATGCTTCTCTTTCTTTAATTCTCCCTCAGCAGCGAAGAGAGATATATGCAAATGAGAGAAAAAATAACAAAAACATTAGCATATGGAACAGTGCTCATAGGTATCCACCCCCTTAGTATATAAGGTGTAGCACTCCATGCTTCTTCCTCTTTCTTCGCTGCTCCCTCAGAAGATAAGTACACTCTCATAATTTCATTTGTATGTGTACACTGTGGGATGTTTCAGAGATTTATAGCTATTAGATTTATATCTTTGTGGTATTACTGTGGGGATACTCCTTAGACAGTTTATCCCTCTTTTTCTCTGTTTTTCCCACTTATTTTTCTTACACTGCCTGTGTTTATTCTACTGTGTTTATTCTGCTGTGGCCGGTCCCTCTCTGTTAACTAAGTATTCATACTATTTCCCTCGTCCAGCCCCCTCCCTCCGGTTGGGGCTCCCTACCCGGTCACAATCTGCCGGTTTTTTCGCCAGGGGGACCCATCGGGAAACCCGCGGCATTTCCCGGCACTATTTGCATCACCGCCGGCCGGACCTACTTTCGTCCGCGCGGCGATTCACTTTCCCTTAGTTTCCCGCCGCTCGCGGACTCCGCGCATGCGCGGTAGCTCGCGGCGGCCATTTTCTTGGTTTCTGGTCGCCGGTTTTGGCGGCGGCCATATTCTCTACTAGTTTTCAGTGCCGTTTGACCCCTCCCTCACCGGATTTCGTTCCGGCAACCCCTCATACTAGTACAGTTTGATTTTTCTCTGCATATATATTCCTGGTATTAACCTTCCATCTCCCTGTACTTTTCCATCCTGTACCTGGGTTAATCAATCCTAGTACTCTGCTTTTTCACTCTATTTTCTATTTGTTATTGTCTCACTTGCACTCTATTTACTCATCATGCAATCTGGTGACATATGCCCTGGCAAACATAGCCCCTCTATGGCCACTACTGATCCTGATCCTCAGCTCGACCCTGGGCTCATGGGCTCTGAGGAATTCCAATCCCTTCTGGACACCACCATGTCCAAATCTATTTCCAAGGCCATATCTTCAGCCATGGGCGCGATGTCCTCTACCATCTCGGACTCCATCACGCAAGCGCTTAAACAGGTACAACCTCACCCTACCCCTGCCTTGACCCATACCCCTCCTGATGGGAGGCAGCCAGGCCACAAAGCGTTAACCAAACGCAGACATTCACAAGACCCTGACTGACATGCCTCAGGCTGTCCATGATGGCGCGCAACAACCGCGCAATAGAGCTTCTGGGCGAGCTACGGCTACCAGAGACTGGAAAAGGGCTAGAGCCCATGATATACTGTCTGACTCAGACGAGGAGGGGGATGAGGGGTCTGACGCCCCGTACTCTGACCCGTACGAGGACGAGCTCTCAGAGGGTGAAAGCCTCCAGGGAAAGCAGTTCCCTTTGACGGCAACGCGTACCACTGCTCATGCAGGGACGCCCGAGACAGAAGCAGCCCGTGACCCTAAAGAGGTCACGCTATTCGACCCTGACAACCTAAGACACCCACGCTCTGCCGAGTGGGAACCATCTGAACACATCGCCCGATACCTAGCCCTCAGGGTACGTAAGTCCCTTTCTCAAGAGAGCCGTAATAAATTGAGAGCGGAGTGCCCCCGACCCATAATCCCTGATGCTGTGGCAAAAACCCCAGAAGTGGACCCTCAGATAGCCCAGTTTCTAGCCAAAACAGGCTGGAAGGCCAAGAGGGGACTGGACTACTCCCTCCGTAATTGTCAGGACAAATTCCTAGACACTCTGGGTCCTGTCACTAAATTATACGAACTGCTGGAAGCAGCTCAGTCGGGTGAGGCTCCAGTAGACTTTGAAGTAGCGTTTGGATGGCTCCAACGCTTGGTCTGCATGATCGGCAATGCCAATACTGCTATGTCGACAGAACGCAGGAAGGCCATCCTGCTGAAAATCGAACCCAAGCTGGCTAGTATGGCCTCCTCTGAACCAGGGGCCGCGGCTAAGGGTCTCTTGTTTGGCGAATCCTTCGTCAAAGACCTGGGCTCCTATGTCAAAACATTCACGGCGCTGGATAAAGCCCAATCATCCATGAAGAGGGTATTCCACCAAAAGGTTTTCGGTGGGGCCGGTAGAGGTAGGAGCCGTCTATCCGGCCGCAACCCCCGGGGTTTCTCCAGACCGGGCAGAGGCTCCTCCAACACACAGAGACAGACCCAGGAACGTTCCTACACCCCGTTCTTCCCTTCTCGAGGAAGATCTTGGAATGCCCGTGGCGGCAGAGGAACAACCCCAGGAAAACGCCCTTATGGTGAGTACGATTTTTCCCCATTTTTCCCATATAAATGTGGGGGGCAGACTGGCTTTGTTTTCTCAAACGTGGGCCACTATCACGTCCGACAGTTGGGTACTGCAGACTGTAGAGGGTTACCAACTAGAATTGACAGGTCTTCCCTTTCAGGTTTCCCTCCCGCGTGTGCCACACATGCCACAGTCTCACTACGACCTCATCTCCACGGAGATAGAAACCTTGTACAACAAAAATGCCATAGAGGAAATCCCTCTAGATACCCCAGGTTTTATAAGCAACCTGTTCTTGGTGCCGAAGAAAGGCGGGGGTGTCCGCCCAGTTATCAACCTGAGGCCCCTCAATGCCTTCATACAATATCGGCATTTCAAAATGGAGGGCATACACTGCCTCCGAGACCTCCTTCTCCCAGGAGACTGGATGGTGAAACTCGATCTGCAAGATGCATATCTCACGATCCCGATAGCACCAAAACACAGGAATCTCCTACAGTTCCGGTGGGGCACAAAGAAATGGCGCTTCTGTTGCCTCCCTTTCGGGCTCTCCTCCGCTCCCTGGTGCTTTACGAAAGTGCTGAAACCAGTGGTAGCATTTCTCAGATTACACGGGATTCGCCTCATTATCTATCTGGACGATATCCTCATACTGTCTGGGACACGATCCCTTCTGCTGTCACACCTGTCGTGGACCCTTCACCTCCTGCAGAACCTCGGTTTTCTAGTGAACTGGGAGAAATCGGTGCTACAACCCTCTCAGCAGATGGAATTCCTAGGATTCCGAGTCGATTCAGTACAACAAATCCTGTGCCTCCCTTCAGACAAGATGTCCAACATCAAGAAGGAGATCAGGAGGATAATGAACCGTTCGGACATTTCTCTAAGACAACTGGCTCGGGTAATCGGCTTACTAGCATCCTCTATACAGGCGATCTTCCCGGGACCGCTACACTATCGGGCGCTACAACGCCTAAAGGCTTCCTGCCTAAGGAAGGGTCAGTCGTACGAATCCAACATCACGCTGGACGAAGAATCCAGGGAGGAACTGGACTGGTGGCTGACCCACATGGAAGCATGGAATGGACGGGCAATCTTCGGTTCCACTCCAGATATGATAATCGAGTCGGATGCAAGCTTACATGGCTGGGGCGCGCGCTGCGGCTCCATATCCACAGGAGGCAGATGGTCAGTAGACGAATCATTCCTACACATAAACTCACTGGAACTACTGGCGGCCTCATTTGCCATTCGCAGCCTCACACCCAAGGGCGCCTCATGCTCGATCCTCCTCAAGTTAGACAACGTCTCGGCAGTCAGGTACATAAACCATCTTGGAGGTACCAAGTCACGCATCCTAGCGGTTTTAGCTCGAGACTTCTGGCATTACTGTTTACAAAACAATGTGTCGGTAACCGCGGAACACATACCGGGCCTGGACAATTACACCGCGGACTGGAACTCCCGATATCTGAGGGATTTGGGGGACTGGAAGCTTCAACCAAAAGTCTTCGCCAGGATAGCTCGACTATGGGGGCCCTTGAGTGTGGACCTCTTTGCGTCCAGACTGAACACTCAACTTCCTCAATTCTTCAGCTGGCGACCGGACCCGGAAGCCTTGGCGACAGACGCTTTCCTTCAGGACTGGACCGGGGGACGAGCATACGCCTTTCCCCCGTTCAACCTGATTGCTCGGACTCTAACATACATTCGACGCTTCAGAACCTCGTTGGTCTTGATAACACCGTGCTGGAGATCCCAACCCTGGTTCCCTCACCTTCTGGAAATGGCGATCGACTTCCCACGGTTACTACCGGATCAAACGTCCCTGTTAACCAACCCAGATGGGGAGAACCACGACTTGATAGAACGGGGAATCCTCCGACTCATGGCATGGCTCCTTTCCGGGGACCCTGGGAAATCACGGAAGTTTCGGGAACAACTACCCAACTCTTGGCGAACGCCTGGGTACCGGGAACAAGGCGCGCATATGCTACGGCATGGAGAACTTGGTCCGATTGGTGCCTGGAAAGATCAGTGGATCCCATATCAGCTTCTGTAAAGACGGTACTGGACTTCCTCACTCAATTGTTCGAATCGGGCAAGGCATTCCGTACAGTCAACATATACAGGTCTGCTATCTCAGCAGGTCATGATACTGTGGACGGGACTCCCCTCGGTCAGAACCCCCTGATATGTCGCTTACTCAAAGGTATACGTTTTTCACGGCCACCAAAACCCAGGTACGGATCCTTTTGGGATGTCAACATAGTGTTCAAATTCCTGGAGGAATGGCCCGACAACGCGACACTGTCAATCAAACAGCTGTCCGCTAAACTACTCATGATTTTATGTTTATTATCCTGTAAACGTGTGTCAGATGTAAGGGCTTTGGACTGGCTAGCCCGCTCATTCACTCCAGAAGGGGTGTCTTTCGATATTTCAAGAAGAACTAAATCAGCGACTAAACAAGTTTTCTATCCACACCTCCCGCACCAACCGAAGCGGTGCCCAATTCTATGCTTAAAAGAATACGAAACCCGTACTTCTTCCCTAAGACCGTCAAACTACGGCCCTTTGTTCATTTCACTAAAGAAACCGCACCTACCAGTATCCACACCTACTCTCGCCCGTTGGGCCAAATGGTTATTGGCCTCGGCCGGGATAGACGTTACAATTTTTTCGGCCCATTCGGTCAGAGGCGCTATGGCTTCTAAAGCATCGACAGTAGGGTGCCGGTTAGAAGACATCCTGAAGGCCGCAGACTGGTCTACGGAATCCACATTCCGGAATTTCTATTTTAAACCAATCCAACATTTCTCGGACAGAGTCATTGCTCAGCTTTGAAAGAGCATAATAGGAGCCTCCGTGTCTTTAATAAAATTCCTAGATTTTACTATTAACATGACGTAAAGTCATGATTTTATTAAAGACACGGAGGCGAGTATTATTCCCTCCCACCCTCCCTGGGTGGAGGGATTGGTTTTTTCTCACGGATACCAACCACAGATCAGTTGGATTCCTACAATGTAGATACCTGTAGGTGCGCTCATACGTCTCTCAGGTAGGTGACTTTGTGATATAGTAGACATAATCTTATATTACCTTTTGATATGTCGACATGACTACTACGTTATACGACTTAGTTTTTACCTACATGAGGTTACATGATGCAACCAGTTGCCGACCATATATTACCATATTTTCTCCTCTCTTTTAGCCTGAATCATACTGTCAAAGTGGTGGTTTTCCGTTACAAAGCGTTACAGTCTAACCTCAAGGATTGGACATTACCTTTCGCCCACTGTTCCTGTTCGGGCCAAGTTACAGTTCGGTTATGGATCTGCTCTTCGGATCACGGAAGAAAGAGGAAGAAGCATGGAGTGCTACACCTTATATACTAAGGGGGTGGATACCTATGAGCACTGTTCCATATGCTAATGTTTTTGTTATTTTTTCTCTCATTTGCATATATCTCTCTTCGCTGCTGAGGGAGAATTAAAGAAAGAGAAGCATAATACTCGCCTCCGTGTCTTTAATAAAATCATGACTTTACGTCATGTTAATAGTAAAATCTAGGAATTATGATGTTAAGTACTACATTTGGTGGTTTTCAATAAAGTCAAACATTTGGATATGGCACACAGAGCACCAGGTACAGTTATCGCATCTTACTTCTCAATGTAAGGAACAGCTCCCCTGCTCTCGCAACACTAGACCCCAGGAACAGCCCTGAGAAAGGTAAGAAGAGGAAAGAAGACTCACAGTTACAAAGTGTGAATGTGTATGTATTTGCATTAGTGTGTGTAATCGTGTGTCTGAGTGAGAGAATGTTTGGGTGCTGTATGTGTTTTTGTGTAAGCATCTGTGTATGTAAGCATTTGGATTTGTGCATGCACTTGTGTGTCTGATTGTCTGCAATTCTGTGTGTGTCCAAGTGCAAGTCTTTCCCATGTGAGCATATCACTGTGTGTTTTTCATGGTCCTATTGTGATCGACTAAACTTGATTGTTTTAAGGAACACTCCAAGAATCATAATCACTACAGTGTGCTTTTGTGGTTATGGTGCCAGAAGTGCCTTGGTGCCCAACCATTGTTTGCTAACAGTTTTACTTGTTACCTCGGGGCCTGTTATGTCACGATTCGGGGAACCCAACACGCTGGCACACACACACACACACAAAAGGTGCCGTACCGGACCTTAGAGTGGCCGGGCTAAGCACACACAGAATAGTCAGGAGACAAGCCGAGTAAGGGGAACCAGAAGACAGAATAACGATAAACAAGCCGAGGTCAAAGGGTAGGAGAAAGTCACAGAGTCAGATAAACAAGCCAGAGAGTACGTAACCAGAAGCACAAGGTAAGTAGCAATACTAGAAAGCAAAGACCACAACAGGGCAGGGAGGAACAGGAAAGGTAAGTATTTAAACCATAAGGTTAATTCTGATTGGATAATTTCCAATCAGAATTAACAATCACACGTGGGAGATATCTAGACCTCCCACTGTGATTAAGGCACTGTGCCTTTAATGCCGGGTCAGGTGACTGACCCCGGCGTGTATAAACCTGGGCGGTCTCCCAGCGTGCAGCGTCATGTATGCTGCCGCTGGGGGACGTGGAGGGAACGGCGGACGGCATCCGAGGCTGGAAGGATGCCGCTCGCCGGACCCACGAGGAGGAGGGGACCGCGGACGGCTGGAGGGTGAGTACCGCGAGCGGAGTGCAGCCTCCCCTCGCAGCCGGCCGCGGGATCCCGACATGTTGTGCTTGCTCCCTGCCTTTTTGAGAGCCATAAGCTCTCTGCGTGTTCTAAGTCCAGCAGTGCAGATCTCGGCTCCTTCAATGAGAGTGATCAGCTGATGCTCTCAGCCAGTGAGCTGGCCATGTACTCCAGACCTTAGCTCAGTACAGCTAACAGAAGCTCTAGCAAGAGAGGAGGAAGGGAAAAGGTAAGGAGTCAAACTATTAGGAAATGGTTATGGGCTATGCGCTGCAGTAGTTTTGGTGCTTGGAGCTTCAGCTTGAGGTATAGGGAACTTTTTAACTGATATGGTAATGGTAAAAGTAATGTAAAAAAATATTGGGACTCTGAGATAGTGATCACTTTGACATCTTTAACTGTTCATCAGCAGCCCTTAATGTGTTGATAAATATTGGATGCCGGATTGTAATTTTACTAATAGTTAACAACTGCACATAGAAAGGCAGGATGCGTAGCCATCAAACCTTAAGGAGTTAAAAACCACTAATGAATAGTTAACCACAAAATCTGGAAGCTGGTATGGACTGAAGCCTCAGACCTTCAAAGGAGGTGGAAAGGTAGAGAGATTGGGCTCTGGCTTCAAAACTTTGGGGTTCAACTGTTTGCTAATGGTTTACCTCCTAAAGGTACAATGGCACCACCTCAAGGTAATATTGTGCCTAACTTGGATTTTTAATGTTTGGTCTGAATTACGAACCAGAGTCTGAACCCAAACAAAACAAATATTGTAAATAAAACAATCATTCTGATTAATGTTTTTGTTGTTCTGTAAATTTTCAATGCTCCAGCCATTATATTCATTTTGCTGATGCTAAAAGAATACTGGAGAGTTCCAATTGCCATCGTATGATGAATTAACGAACTATAGATAAAAAGCTGATGAATGGGTCCAGAATATTTTCAAATTTCTGCTGATTGAACTTTGTGTATCTCTAAGAAAATAACGAAAACAGAAAACGCATTTATTTCCTGGGCACTGTTTGAAGTTCAGCATGCACAAGGCATTGTTTCAGTTGATATTTTATATGGTCCATGACACATTTTTTAAGTATGCAGTTGCATTTACAAGAACACAGTACTTTAAAATGAATTAATCAACAAAATTATACATAATCAGTTTTACACTTCAAAACAACTTGGATCGCTGCGGTATAATTTTCCAGTTTTTGTGTGTATAGATTTGTATATAATTTGATATTTTGACTGTTCTGTTTATCATTTTGACTAAGTTTGCATTTATTCTTTCATCACTACATCAGAATAGCTATTCGTTAAACATATTTTTTTCCTGTGTTGCAAAATTATAATAATAATTACAGAACCAGATGGACAATAATTCTGAATGGCTGAAATCAAGACTGTCATTTCATAGGAATTTACAAGTTTAACCCATGATTTCACATACTTTTTCTTGGGATGGCAGAAAACGTATTTGCCTTGAGAGCAGTTCTTCTGGGCTCCTGGTTGGGACCCAGATTTGGAGTGGTTCCTCAATGGCAGTAATCATACAGTCCCCGATAACTGCCTAAAGTATTTCTTCATTGTAATAGGACTGTTTTTCTCTCTATACTGAAGACCCCTCTGATACTGGGAAGAATACCTCCCTAGTGTCCCTATTTAGGAAGGATAGTCCCTATTTTGGGGCTAAATCCCTCTTTATTAAGATGTGGTTAGAAATTAGTCTATGTGGATAAGATACATTGTTCTTGTTATACATGAAATTTTAGTTACATAAATTTTTAGTAAGTCACCTGATATTTATCAGTCTGGCCCCTTTCCTGCCACAACACCCTCCTACACCCCAAAACTTTAAGTGTCCCTATATTTCCTTTTGAAATGTCGGGTGGTATGGAGTAGGGGCTTTGAGGATTTTTGTTTGTTGGATAATATATGATATTTGCAGACAGAATCCATAAGCTAAGGACGAGTTTGCAATTTGGTCCCTTTTAAAAAAATTAATTTAAAAAAAAGGTAAAAATTACTGATTTACTGGGAATCATGTTGTTTTTTTCTTGAATAAACTCCTGTCTTTTAAAATTAAGCAATGCAGTGCCCACTGAAAGAAAACACATTAATAAAAGAAATGATATTGCTTGTTTCAGTCTCAGGAAAACTCGAGTGCTTTGTTGACGGCTGCATACATTCTATTTTCAGTGGCCGAGTAATGTGAAGAGTCATTCAACATTACTGCCATCACAAACAGTGAAACGGAACCTTCTATATTCATTGTTGAAAATGTCATATTCAGAAATAACTTTCTTTTTTTAATATGCATTAATGTTTTTTAATTGTTATAGATATTTTGTAGCAAATTTTTATTAAAAGAGGGACGCAAAGAGTCAGTCATTTTCCCTATCCAGTGTGCTTTACAAAATATAGAAGTTGCTTATAGGCTGTATTACGGACAGACAGACATATAATTAAGCATACTGCAATAAAAAGTAGTACACAGGGACACTGACGCATCAAAACAACTTTAACTTTATGAAGCGATTTTGGTGTACAGATCATGCCCCTGCAGTCTCACTGCTCAATTCTCTGCCATTTTTGTTTCTGCTTATGTAATCCTAGCCATTCCTCCCCTGGCTGTGACACACTGCCTGCATGAAAAAGATGGTTTTATTTCCAGTCAGATCAAAGCTTATTTTAGAAGTTTTTATCTTCTGCTTTGTAAATTGAACTTTAATCACGCACAAGAGGCTTGCTCCTGCAGGAACTAGAAGTCAATTAACAGAGCAGGAGACAGGAAATTCTAAAGTAAACAGATTGTGCAATAATGGAAGTAGTGGCACTGTGAGGTACAGCACCAGACTGAGAATAAACCGAATCATGACAACATTACTTGCAGGGAGGTGTGGCTAGTGCTGCATAAACAAAGTGATTTAACTCCTAAATGGCAGATGATTGGGCAGTGAGACTGCAGGGTCATGATACATACACCAAAACTGCTTCATTAAACTAACATTGTTTTAGTGCCTAAAGTGTCCCTTTAATCTCACATTTTGTAGCACTTTTGTGCAAAGCTCTATATAAGGTGGCCCATGGATTTACAATCTTAATCTTAACAGCAGATTTAAAAAAAAAAACAACATATCCAGCTTTAATAACTTACATATTAATTTCATCTCTGGAATTTTGTCCAAAATTATGAATTCAAATATCAGCTTTACTCTCTGCTTTTTAAAAAGATTTATTACTAACCAAAAAAAAAATAATTCTCTTAGAGTTAACAGTGAATTAAAAAAAACATATAAAAAGAGAAATAAAAATGTAAAAAAAAGTTGAGCACGTAACCAGATTCCTCCAGGGGCATTAAACTGTTACAAAAAAGGAGTAATTGGGGTAAAGTTTAAATCAGGGGGTTTAAGAGAGAAAATAGGAGAAGAAAGGCATCCCTTAATCTATTCTCACAGGGTCAAAAGGTTCAAAAATATCAATTGCTTCACATTTAGCTGCCATTAGTTGCTACATCCTAATGCCATGACATATTAAATGACAGCTATCACTAATTAAAAAAAAATAAAAAAATTATTATAATATTTTTTAAAATGTCACTTTAAAAAAAAAAAAAATCTAGCTAAGCAGTCATGTTGGGTCAGACTCTCCTGTAATCTGTCCAGCTGGTGATCATCCTTTCTTACCTCATTCTGTGTTTGCTCTCTGTGTGAAACGGAAGCAACAGGCAGAACCTTATGTCTACATTATTTTATTATTTTATTGGAAATGTTAAAATAAAGATTGTAACTCATCTTTATGCCTGCTTTGTCTACGATTAGCAAAAAAGGTAAGAAATCAAGAAGGCAGCCTTTTTTTCCAGTTGTTAAATTGCTCATTTGGTTAACTGTAGAGCCTGCTCAAAATTTCTGGGCATGTGTTTATTTTTTGAGAGAGTTTAGGGGTATGTCATGCAACTTTGTGCTCTCCATAAATTAAATATTTTCCTTATTCTGGCTATACATTGTGCTAGTTAAATCGCTAACAAATGTATAGTTTTCACAATAATTCTGCGACAAATATCGCTCACCCTCCCTCCTCTCAGACAGACTATTGGCATATGTCGATGTCTGTTTGCTAGGGAAGACCCTTATAGGTTTTACTCTTGACATGTTTCAATGCATTACGCACACATCATCTTTTTCACTCTCTGTTCCTGTGAATACCTGGCAACTAAGCCTTCCCAAACATAGGGGTCCCACAAAGGAAGCTTGCCTCCAAGGGATACGGGCAAATGGCGGCACTGGATGCGTTAGAAAGTAGGTGATTACGCTGAAAACGCGAAGAAGCTCCATCCAAAGTGAATGAATAAACACTATTCTCGGACACTTAGACAGTAAAAGTGAAAGATCTGCAGAGAACATAAGTTTTTATAAAATGTTCACTTTGACTCAAACTTTCATTCCTCTGAAATTCATAATATAAGTATGTTACGATATTTAATTGTAACATCTGTTTATCCACTGCTTTGGAAATTCAAACAATTTGCATTAAGTGCCCTTAGAAGAAAAACCACTGTGTAAAATATTGATTATTACTATATTTATCCATAAAAATTATGTGTTGTTGAACGCAGTTCTGTCAACAAATGTTTAGAAAAAAAATGAAAATGGTCACACAGCGCCAATATTTAAATGACACGTCCATACGCTTTCTCAGTAGTAAACAACTTGTGATGAAAATTCACAAGATTAACCCCTTAAGGACACAACTTCTGGAATAAAAGGGAATCATGACGGAATATTTCCGTCATGTGTTCTTAAGGGGTTAAATAGAATCCCATTTGAAATGCACATCAGTTTATTTTGCGGATGGAGATTCTTGAAGATTATAGTATGGACTATAAATCGAATATTGTGTATTTCATATGAATAGAACTACATTACACTGGTATTTTGTGAATATAGATCAGCTTAAGAATACATCTTAATATAGATAACCCAGTCACTATTTTATTTAATTCATTAGTGTTGCAAACTGCTATTTGTAACTGGCCCTTTAAATGGCAAATTGCCCTGCTTCCCTGGGTTGTGGAGAAGCCTATTTGCCAGCCTCCTTCCACATGACTATGGCCCCTGGGAGATTGTGAGAACTTATTCATTTTTATTGGGTGTGTATGGCCCTTTAAGACAGTCAGTGGGCATATTGTGGCTTATGGACTCTTTATGGGACTGGTGCTGGCCCTTTAAACACCTTTTTGGGACATCAGGAAGATTGGGACACTGCCCCTTTAAGACGGTGTCCCCAGACTTGTTTGGGACACTGCCCCTTTAAGACGGTGTCCCCTGTGTCCCCAGACCTGGTTAAAACTCTTTGTGCCTGGCTATTTCCCACTTGGTTCAGTAAATGGGGCTTACTGAACCAAGTACCACACAGGCAGACCACCCAGAAGTGGAAGTGTGCAGGCAATTTACCTCCCAGAAGCTGTGGTTAACCGCAGCTTAATTGACAATGCTGGGTGGCCTTTGTTCGTTTGCCGAACACGTGGCGGCGGCCATCTTTGTTAATGCGAACGAGGTCAGCGGTATGTGTAGCCAAATTCATGGAACTAAAATCGGCTACACATTTCCACGAACACCGCTGAGCCCTACCTTCTCCCACAATGATTTTACAGCTGCAGAGACTAAGTCCCATTCGGCGATGGGAGTCGTTTTTTCAGCCTGATTTCAGCTGCAGAGACTAAGTCCCAATCGGCGATGGGACTTAGTAGTTTTTTCAGCCTGAAATAGACCGGCCGCACAGCCCAAATCTATGGAACTGTTTTGGGCAGGAAAATGTGCTTGCGGTCGGTCATAAAGGGACCTCCAGCTAACTTTTTAACCCCTGGATGGATTTGTCTGATTTTTGGTTATGTTTATATTTAATGTGTGCTGATTCCAAATATGTAAAATGAAGATTGGATGTGTAGTTTTAAAGTTATAGTACATGTATAAAAACTGTATTTTTCCTGCTTGTGTTAATTATGTTAAGCATTGTGTGCCATAATTAGATCACATGCAGAGGGGAGGAGTTTTGTATGTAATTGCTGAGAGTGTTTTCTGTAATGTACGTTTATGATTGGTTGTTCTGTAAACCCCTGTGGGCGGTCCTGTATGTGTTAAACCTGCATAAAAGAAGGCCCTTTGGTGCCAAGTAAACAGATCTTCTTGACCCTCAATACGTAGCCTTGTCTCGTTATTGGAGGGAACTGCTATATCACACTGGGGATTGCTATGCTCTGCATACTCCCCTGAGCTTTTAATCACTTAGCTCTTTTAAGAGCTGTTCCTGTTACGCTCTCCTGGAGGAGAGGTCTTCCCCACACGGTCCTGGAGGACAGAAGCTGATCCAGGGTGGAAGGAAGACGGCGAGACTCCAGTTAAGCTACGGCGGTTGTGGAGTCTGCGGTGGTTGTGGTGTCTGCTGCAGTGTTTGGAGTCCTCAGGAAGCGCTAGGAGCATCCATCAACGGAGGGTACTCGGTCGGAGTACAGGGAGCTCCGTTACAATTAGTAATTAATGACATTTTAAAAATGTGACAGTAACGGAAATAATGCAATTTTGTGCATAAGCCCCAAAAATACACTTTATTTAAATTTATAAATTAGCTTTTTTTTTCATTCATTCATTCATTCATTCATGTGAAAGACAAAATAATTCTGGTGGTGATTTACTAGATGGTGTTAAAAACTGTAAAATGAGTTTTGTTTGTAAGTCACAAAAACTCTGTGCCATTTGTGAGAAGGAGCCAGTGTCTGACTGCTCCACCATGATTCCACCATTTCTGCGCATGAATTTCCTAATGTAAGTGCTGATGTAAGTTCCCACACAAAAAGGGAAACATCATTGCTATTTGTTGCTAAAACGCAGAAAAGTAATAATAAAAACACAAAATATTGCATTCACTTATGCAGCAAAAAGCCCCACACTGCTGCTCATGCATTGGAAACATGCAGGATAAATAGAACAAACAAGAGGCTGCGCAAAAAGTTGCTGTGTGCACACCAAGGTGCTACTGGTATTTATTTGAAGGACAGAATATCACAAACTTTTCGGGTATTCCCTCTCTCAATGCACCATGTCCCTTGTCATGTCAGGGACATGGTTCATTGAGAAAGGGAATACCCGAAACAATAGGAAAGGAAAAACTGCCCGATGAATGGCACCTAGTCTACCCATCGTCCCTAGCCAGTGGTATCGAGATTAATAATAAAGATGAGTGTCAAGTCACTAGTCAAATGATAACTTGCCTGAGGGATTCCCAGTCCACCAAGTAGCTCTAGGGCTAGTGGAAGACCAATACCTCTTTCAATGTTTAACCCCTTAAGGACACATGACATGTGTGACATATCATGATTCCCTTTTATTCCAGATGTTTGGTCCTTAAGGGGTTAAAACACTAATCTCCATCTATACCCAGTATAGTACATAGCATAGGTCATAGGGATGCCCAAGCTCTGAATCCAAATTGTTAATTCATGCTTTCTGCATAGGTCCAAAATCTTATAAAAACCAAAACCTCCTCTATGTCCGCTACCATGAACACCTGGACAATGACTACGACTGCCTGAAACCAGACTGCGGAGATATTATATTATTGAGATATCATACTCTCATGTACGGCAGGTCTTATATAATGTGATCCCAATTAATTACACACATTACAGTGCTATATCTATTGGAGATATTTACTAATGTTGGCATTACAGAACCTCTTTCTTTTTTTATTGGTTTTGGAATGTTTCAGCTGCTGTTATTGTTCTGGTAACCAACATTCATCTACATAACATTTTATAGTGAAATCTAAAATATTATAATGGTGTTGTGTTTATATTAATTGTAATGCAATATGTAATTTTATTCCAGCCTGGAGGCTGCTGCGTATTCCTTGCTTCTATTTTTCTTTTTTTTATTCCAAGAGCGTTATAATTTTCCAGAGACAATCTTACTTTTGCTTACCATTACACTTATGCCTATGGAGGTCAGAGAGTCTCATTTTCAAATGAATTTGCTAAGATTATTGATTTTGTCCTTTATGTATTCTGTAAAGAATGTTCCATTGCTTTCAATATATTTCCTTTTCGTTGTGCCTAGGATATATCTCATTACATTTTTTGCATTATTCACACTGGCCTTACTGGATTTGTGAGGGTGACAATTTACGTCATCTACAAACATTGTAGTGTCATTGCAAGAGGTTCAACTGAGAGCAGGCACAGAAAAATACATGAGTTAATTAATGAATAAATAAATAAATACAATTATATATTTTTTTTAATCATGATTTCAAAATGGCAATCAGATTTCTCAATCAAGCCACTGTTTTCTTATCCACTAGTATAACTTTAGATATTTTAATTTGATTAAAAAAGTAATAATAGCATACAGTTTTTTTTTGTTTTTGTTTTTTTTTAAATCTCCATAGACTCTGCTACATTTATATGTTAGACAGAGAATTCCAAATCATTATTGTTTTACTGAAAATAAATCTCCTGTCTTCAATTCTCAATGGATGAACTCTTATCATATGCTCAGCTCGGTTAATAAACAGGTTGTCACAGATCATGCATCTATATTTGTATACTGTGCTATTATATCTACTTTGATGCCTAGTAGAAAAAAAATAAACTAATGCAAATGTTGTCTAGCCTTCCTTTGCAACTGATATCTTTCATACCCCTTATTACTTTTTTAGTCCATCCAGTGGAGTTGTTAGATTGAAAAAATATGCAAGGCTTAAGCTAAATTGGTGACCCCTTCCCAAAGCCCCACCTGTGCCCCTCACCAATGCTATCACTAAACATGCCTCTTGGCACACTCATAGTTACTTATAGACACACACAGATAGATACAGATGGGCAAACACAGACATGCACAAGCCCACACATGCACAGACAAGAACCAAAATACACACAGGTACATATAGGCACACACAGGTTCACACAGGCACTTACAGACACACACACACACACACACTCTCTCACTCTCTCACACACTATGATCTGTACCCTAAAACAGCTTTATTAAGCTAAAGGTGTTTTGATGCCTATAGTGTCCCTTTTAAATGATTTAACATAATTGTGTTGCAGAAGGCATTGCTAGCATACAAAAGGTTAATATAATTTATATTATATATATTTTTTTCTGTGATGGTCAGTTCCACAAACCTGTTGCATGTACCAAATGTTAGTATTACCAGCTATGTTACAGCTTTTAGAAAAGATATCAAATGACAAATAGGCTCACGTAAGCAACCCTAGTCATCAGAGATCACCTTTTTACTCACAGTGATTTCCTAAACGACTTGTCAGAAAACCCCTGAATACGGCAGACGGACACTAACCATTGTAAACAAATGTTTTCAGAGAGCGTTCCTCGGCGACATCATCCTCTCTGCTTGTAATCACATAAGTCACTTGACCCCTAATGCACCCGTTACGTGATCGAAACGTCATATTATCTTTAAAGTCTCTGTTAAAAAGCCACTACTTCAAAACTGTCTGTAACCTAGCAACTACAATAAAAGGACACTCATTTTTGGCACAGGCTTACACAAACGCTTAGGAAAATCGCTGGAAACAATGCAAAAATATTATAGAACACTATTTGTAAATTTAGTCTTATGAATAGGTGGCCCATTATAAACGACAGAGGCTTTTGAATATAAAGTAACTCAACAAGAGTGGAATAACCCAACGGCTGTGGTATTCTTATATAAGAAGAAAATATGAGGGTGGCTGCACAATACAGCCATTATGCAGAATAATAGAAAAGAGAATGGAAGCTGCGGGCAAAATACCGAACAAATACTTTGCATCTGCTGTAGACGAATATGACATAAGGCTAGTGGGAAGTGTAGGATGGAATAAAGGATCGCAAATGTATACGTAGCTCTCTGCATTGTGCACACAGTAATTATATTGCTGCAGATTTTAATTACATGCTGTTTTGCGTTTTAGAGAGCTAAGCTACGCATCCCGAACTGTCATTTTAGAAACGCTGGCCTACAGTCGATAATTCATCCCACTATGCTTTGAAATACAAGCAGGGTAATCCGCTAAACCGTGAATTGACTGGAACTGATTAGAGAATTTCAATTAATAGGACAAAAAAGCAAAAGTGGAAAAAAAGTCTCCAATTTGGATATTTGAGGGATTTTAGTGTTTTAAAGGATTCTTGTGTTATAAAGGTTATTGTTAAAGGGATCCTTAAGTGCCAGGAAATCAAAGCCGTTTTCCTGGCACCATAGGTATCTAAGGTGCCCCACTCCATCATGCCCCCACGGTCGGAAGGGGTTAAAACCATTTTAGTCACTTACCTGAATCCAGCGCCGATGTCCCTCCGCACAGGATGTCCCTTCGCACATCCTACTCGCCCGATGCCGGAGCTCGTATTAGGATTTCCCCATTAGAAAGGATTCATTTAATGCTTTCCTATGGGGAAAAATCTGACGCTGGAGGTCCTCAGGCACAGTGTGATCACTGGCAGATCCAGGGGGGGGCAACGGGGCAATTGCCCCCCCCCAGGGTCTCCCCTGCCGGCTAATGCATGGCTGGCATCGTCCAAGTGCCAGCCCTGCAATGGGCCTGCGGACCAAAGAGGGAGATCAGAAATCTCCCTCCCCGGTCCTCAGGCACCGTGCTGACAGCCGGCAGGGGAGGGAGTGAGAGATGACCCGGGAGCTCTTACCTGCAGCTCCTCTTGGTCCTACATTCGCGAGCACGGAGCGTTGCCGCGGCAACGCTCCAAATCTCGCAAGAGTGAACTCTCGCCCTGGAGCAAAGAGCTAGAGTTCACCTCACCACCACTGGGACCACCAGGGAATCCCCACCGGACCACCAGGGATGGAGAAATGTCCCCCCTCCTCCTCAATAAAGGTAAGAAGGGAGGGGGGGACATAATTATATTAATTTTATTAAATAAAAATTTTAAAATATATATTAAAAAGCTACCCTCCTTCCCCCCCATACACACACTGCACACCCATAGACACATTTCCCCCCACACACAGTGCCCTCATACACACACTGCCCCCCATACACACACTGCCCCCATACACACATTGCCCCATACACACGGCCCCATACACACACATTGCCCCCATACACACACTGCCCCCATACACACACATTGCCCCCCACACTCTGCCCTCCACATTGCCCCATACACACACTGCCCCCATACACACATTGCCCATACACACACTGCTCCCATACACACACTGCCACCCATACACACATTGCCCCATACACACACATTGCCCCATACACACACTGCCCCTATACACACATTGCCCCACACATACATACAGTGCCCCCATACACACACTGCCCCATACACACATTGCCCCATACACACAATGCCCATACACACACATTGCCCCATACACACACTGCCCCCATACACACACATTGCCCAATACACACACATTACCCCATGCACACACTGCCTTGCATTGCCCCACACATACAGTGCCCTTACACACTGCCCCACACACACATACAGTGCCCCCCATACACACACTGCCCCACACGCACATACAGTGCCCCCCATACACACACTGCCTCACACACATACACTGCAACTCTCACACACACTGCCCCCTCACATACACACTGCACTGCTCACACACACTGCCCCACACATACACTGCCCCCTAACACACACACTGCCCCCATACACACATTGCTCAATACACACACATTGCCCAATACACACACTGCCCCATACACACACTGCCCCCATACACACATTGCCCCATACACACACTGCCCCCCATACACACATTGCCCCACTGTAAAATGTACTTTGGGTTGGTGATAATGTAGAATCTTCTTAATTTCTTCTTGTCTTCAGTTGATTGATATATACGTCTTTTGTATATATAGTCTTGGGCCAAATGCTCGCCACAATAATATATGTCTATATTATTGAAAAGTAGTAATACGCAATCTGACTTACGGTTTCTTCAGGTTTATTCTTTGTTACAGATACATAATAAAACATAATAAAGGATATTACAGGATAGTAGACATTCAACAGCAGATGGTAATTGCTGGACTTCTGATGGGAGAGTTACATCGTTGTACAGAGCCAAGCCAAGAGTGAGAGCGACCTCGTGTCCCTCTGTTACTATATAGATGTGCTAATACTAACGTCAGCGTTTACCTCTAGCCATATAAGGACAAGACCCCCGAATCCACATTCCAGAGCTCTCGGACAAAGAAAGCCTTGTGACTTATTGATACCATCTGTTACTTATGTCAATCCACACATCCATATATATAATCAATAGAAACATAGAATATGCAATATTCTACACCCACACATACATACAGTGCCCCCCATACACACACTGCCCCAAACACACATACACTGCAACTCTCACACACACTGCCCCCTCACATACACACTGCACCGCTCACACACACTGACCCACACATACACTGCCCCCTAACACACACACTGCCCCCATATACACATTGCCCCATACACACACATTGCCCAATACACACACTGCCCCCATACACACACTGCCCCCCCATGTACACATTGCCCCATACACACACTGCCCCAAACACATTGCCCCACACATACATACAGTGTCCCCCCATACACACACTGCCCCCATACACACATTGC